ACCTACAGTTGAGGTCAAGGTAGAGGTGCCGCTAAGAGGCAAGCATCATTCTTGCTTTTCCACCATCTCCAACCGCCCCAAAACAAACAACCGGCATTGATCTTTCTTCACCCGCACAAGGCAACGGAAACATTGCCGGCCCTAAGCCCATACTTGCTTGCCTTGCTTAGCACCAGGTCGGGTAGCTTGTGCTAGGCCGATTTAGAGGTGCTGCTAGGTCAGTAGTTGGCGCATTATGCTAATAATCCCCAAGCGCAATCCTCAAAAGGGTGTGCTGCAGAACTGAATACAGAATCGGACGGCCAGTCGTTGGGCAGTCCCTGGTCAACGAAGTGACGGCTATCGGGAGGTGTGTCTACAGCCACAGTACTCGTAAACACTAGTTGACTGGTAAGCAGCAAACCTCCCGTACAGTCGCCCCCCAGACTTGAAAGGGTGATCCGAGAGCCAATCTCGAGCTCCATAATCGATGCTCCATGACTTGCATGCCTCATGTATGCGCATGTACAAGTACGGAGTAAGCTGCTGTGGACACTCCGAAGACTACTAGTACTACTCCGCCTCCAGCTTAGAACAAGAGCCAGAACGACCACATCAATCGAGCGGCAGAATACGAGTATATACTCGTACAAGCACGAGGACTGGGTACAGCACAATCATCTTTTCCCGCGCCCTACGCTGCCTCCCCCGTGCCTCCGAGAGATGCAGGCGAGCTTCCAGAATTCGAGCCGGAATTTCTGTTGCAACCACCAGGCACCAAAACCAGTAACCCAAGGGATCAGGGATACCCCTGGCACGTCTAGGGCGGTAGGCGCGCCTCGCGTCAACTGGCTGCTCCTCGCCGACCTTGTCCTCTAGCGGCGGCTGATGACTCCTGGGGGTGCTTGTAATACTTCGTACTTGTACGGTATTATGATTGATCGATAATGAGATGGGCTCTCACCGCAATCGCTCTTCGTTGCAGCCGTCGTGGCTGTGGGCAGCGCTCCCCCCTGTGCCCGATATTTGCGCACTGTCTCGAAGTACATGGAAAGACCAAAAGGCCTCCAGTTGACCAAATGCTACTACCTACCCAGTGCCTTGATCAGTTACGAGTACATATCCGTACCTACGTGACTGAGACCTCCTGTGGCCACAGAGATGCAGGTACAGCCACGCACGCGAGCGACAGCACCAAGCACTCGGACGCACATGGGAGCAATCAACTCAAAGTCCAACTTTAGCGGTCTCCAACTAGCCCCTGGACAAGGTTGTTGGCTCCAGCTGGGAAGCAGAAGCACGGGCCTTGGAAGCAAGCGCTGCTCAAGTTCGCACTAAGGAGAACTAATATGGGCGGAGGACTTCGTATACGGGACAAGATTCGTCTCCATGCTCCGTAACCCGTGGGATTTGGAGTTGGATACGGAGCACTTTGACCTATGAGGGAGGGCCCCTTTCTCCTTGAACTGGCTAAATTACTGGATATAGCTAGCTTTTGGCTTGAACCGTCTTTCCGTCTTCGCCGCTCGAATCTTGTTTCCCCCTTGGTTATCCTCATCACCGACCCTCTGAGGCTTGACGAACTCCAGACCGAGCAGAGGCGGCGGCGGTATGTTGCAGCCCACCTTCTGCAGCTTCCGTCTGCGAGTACATTTGGGAATCTTTTTGAGTGCAAGGACGGGAAATTGCCTTACTTTGCAGATGCAGCAGCCTGCCTGTTCAAATTGGTACAGGACAACTGGAAGAAAGCAGATGCAGGCCGTTTCAGGACACCCCACATATGATGTGTCACGATCTTAGCCAGCCACCCACTTGGACTGCTCAACCCAAATTGATCCTTGCTACGTGATCAACCTGGATCACGAAATGTTATCAACGGGGACTGCAATCACGGGCCATTGCGGATGCCACTTTGATTATCAGCACGCGAGTCCAACTACCAGTTTGATTCGGGGCATCATGAGGAGTAACGAGCATACTGTTTCTATCTGCTGATTAATATAGGCTGCCCCAGGAGGAACTACATGTTCGTCCTTGTGCATACAAACGGCCCCTCTGATTCATCCAACCAACGTGGGCAAGGGATCAAGCAATCATGTAACGCCACGCCTCTCAGCAGCTACTACGTCAAAGTCTTCAACCGACCAAATTCGGCCGACCGCCGATCACATTTAATATTTCTGTCGATCGCCTTCTTCAACTCGGCGCATTTATACCCGATTGGCGGCTTCTTATCACTCCGATCTGAACGGTGCTCCCGGTTCACTCTGCGAGTCTCCCTAATAACTATCGTCACTCCTTGTTACTCTGCCGCTACCAATTGCTCTCTGTTATGACCCCAGATCGACATCTGACTCCCATCCGGCTTCATTAAACTCTTCTGATTACCATCCTGAAGTTCCACCCCATGCTCATCCATCGACTTCAACTCAGCTGTGACAATGATTCGTACCCAGTAACAGTAGAAAATACTCCGAACTCCATATACATTACTACCTACCTATCGTGTTACTAGCCTCTCCTTGTAAGGTACTATTCACCCCCTTAAATGTTGCAAGGGGGAGAAGACTGAGATGTGATACTACTACTTCGTACACATGAAGTCTCAGGCAAAAAAATGGTTTGCGGTCGTCATTGTTTACTCGTATGAACTCGTATGATATGCGTCGTCAGCATCGGGCCACATACCTAGTCTTGCATACACGACGTCTTGCCTATTAATAGATGGCTCGTGGTGAGGACACTGGCAGGTGTATCCCTGAAATTATCAATAGGTGGTTTTAGGTTGGCAGCTAGCGTTGGGTTGGAGTGGCACGGAAAACGCCAGTAATAACAGACCCTGCTTGACGATGTCAAGCTGCATGAGTGTGCATACATGCAATCGTGGTCGATTTATTTTTAAAATAACTCCTATAAAAGTGAAATTTATTTAAAGATACTCTAGATTTATTGCTGTAAACACCGCCGCCTACGCCCCAGACCGCCGTATACGGGATATCTGACATTCTCCCCTATACATCTGCAGGATACGTCGTTCTGCTGGTATGGTAGTACAAAATTCTGAGCGATACTCATGCAACATCCATCCATTACAGTCGTACTTGTGCGAAATCAGAGCGGGCACGTATTGATGCATATGCTGTGCTCTGTAACCCATCGGCTCTTGACTTCCTGTGAGCCGGTGTCCTCGAATCCCAGCACGGCAGATGGCCGTCAGACCGGGCCATCGGGCTTCTATCCCCCTGTGCTTGGCCGTGGCTTGGCCCCCTCCTTCGTGAATCGTGAATCGTGTATCGTGATGCCTTTCCCCCCTTGCTCTAGTACATGTCTATGAAACGCCATGCATTCGCCCAGCCGCACTATCAACTCAAGTTCGGTAGCCGAGTTGACGCTGGTCTGGTCCGTATTTGGAGCGTTTAGACAAACGCTCTGTAGTAGTCATTGGCTCGGCTTCCTTAACCCGCCTCTGTATCAATGAACAGCTCTTCCAACTCTCCTCGCTTCTCATCGAACGGGAACACGGGCACCAAGTTTGCCTGTTGACAAGAACCCTCGACATCCCATCTCGCCTCTCCACCCAATGCCCAAGACACCAAAGATCATCCTTCCATCCGCCGTCAGCCGCAGGCCGCTGTCTGCACCCTTCTCCTGCACCAGGAAGCAAACCTGCTCAATCTCGCCCGGGTGCAACACCGGCTTCTTGTCCCCGTCGGAGCTCCAATTGCAGTCGTGATAGCCCAGGCCTTCCTCTGCGTCCAGCACCACCTTTTCAAGCTGTATCACATCCTCGCTGCAGTTCTCCAGCTGCGCCTCGAGAATCCATTTCCCGATGCTGCTGGCATCCGTGTTCAGACTGCTTACCTTAGTCCGCACGATCAAGGACGCCTTGCATATAAATTGATATAGCTTTCTAAACGTCCGCGTTCGCCCACTCGTCTCCGTAGCCTCAGAGTAGCTCACCGTCACAGCCAGCACATGGTTGCCCTCCTCCTTTAAATCAAAGCCAACAATCTTCTGCAGCGTCCCTCCCGGCTCAAGATCTACCCCTCCTGCGGCCGCCGCGCCGTGCATGTTCGCAGGCCCGAGTTCGAGCTTCTGGGTGCCTCCCAGGCCAGGGGTCTTCATCTCAGCCTCGATACGAACATCGCGTATGCGCTTTGCTGCATCGGGGGGTAGATCGTTGTTGGCGCAGAGGGTACAGCTAAACGTTTCGCCCACGTAGGCTGAGCCGAACGATACCGGAAGGTTGAGGACCGGACTGAGTAGGAAAGGATCGGGGTTCGTATTGGAGCCAGAGTAGGCAAGTGAGGCGGGCGCTGGCTGTGATTTGGTGTTGGGAGGAGAGAATGGAGGATCTATCGGATACTGCGTCACGAGCGATGGCTGAGAGAGCCTGGATAATTGACCTAGGTGAGGAGCGATCCACTCAATTGACTAGTGTTTGATGCGTACCTGAGCACTTTGACAGAGACCGAATGCGGCTCCTTTATAGGATCGTGAGAAGGATACGCTTGATGGCTCATTTCTCCTCTGGTTGCTTTCTACTGGCCGGTTTATGAATGTTTAGGACGTCAGATTGTTGGCGGACGACCAAGGATGCGGGACACCTTGACGCTGCTGGCGCTGAGCTCCTTATCGATAAGCAGCGAACTCGCTATTCTTAGCACTCTAGCGTCCGTAACTTACAGCGGGGTCCTCCGTATTACCTTTCGACCATCTCTGTTGGACCTGGGCAAACCTTGGGAGCCTCTGTATCTGGATTCTTCATTGCGCTTTGTAGACTCTCGTAAACCATCAAAGAAAGCTATTTTGGGTACATTTGCCTTATGCATTACCTGATATGCGCTATCAAATATTGTTGCAGAATGGCCAGCAAAAACGTATACCTAGAAGTGTTGTGGCGTGCCTGAGCAGCAGGTCGTGTCTCTCCAACCTCCGTCCCCAACCTCCGATAGCCGGCCATGCGAGATTTCCTCTCTCCTTCCACCTCTCCATATTCAATGATTTATGCGTGCTAATTACGGATATGAAATCTTTCGTGTAAAAGTTACTCATTGCAAAGGTCTAGTACTTTGCTCAGCGAAAAGGGAGTCGTTCTTCCTCTTGTCATTCCTGTATCGTTCGCTCATTGGGGCGAGATCGCGCCCATGATATCCTCCGCATCGTCAAGGCCCTTTTTAAAAATGGCAAAGCCAAATCTACTGCTGTGCTTTGATGCATTCGGCACATTATTCAGCCCCAAAGGCGCAGTCGCCCAGCAATACGCTGAAGTGGCTCGACAATGCGGCATCACCGGGTTTAGCGACAATGAGCTTTCATCTCGGTTATTGGCAGCCATCAAAGAGGAAAGGGAGCAGAACCCCAATTACGGCAAAGCAACTGGACTGGGCGCTACAAAGTGGTGGACAAATGCGAGCAAAACCCATGTTATTCTTTGAAACAACCCATTCTAACATTTGGCTAGGTGATTCACAAGACATTTACGCCTCTCATCCCTAGCGACGAGGCTCTCCCCCTTACTCTGGTGCCGAGGCTGATGCACCGGTTCTCTTCAAGCGAAGGCTACGAAGCTCAGCGCGATCTTGTCCCTGCGTTAAGGGCACTGCGACAGCAGAAATCGCTGCATGGCTTCGACAAGGTTGTCATTGGAGTAGTCACCAATTCCGACGACCGGGTTCCAAGCATCCTTTCTTCCTTTGGGCTCAATGTTAGCCCAGCGCGGTACGGCTCAGAAGAACAAATAGATGCGATTCCAGGGGAGCAATATGACATTGACTTTCATTGTATGTCATACGATGTTGGTGTTGAGAAGCCGGACACACGGATTTTCAATGCCGCTGAGCTCATGCTGTCTCGAATCATCACCACTCGACACGGAGAGACTCCTTCTGAAGCCGACTTGCAGAGCTGGCAGAAAGTGTATGTCGGTGATGAATACGCCAAGGATGTCGTCGGCTCAACCGATGCAGGGTGGAATCCTGTGCTACTCGATGTTGAGGGGGCTTCTACTCAAGTGGCTAGCCTAGAAGATTGTCCACCGCAGGCTCTCCAAGATCTTTTCAAAGAACATGCCGTTGTAAGGGTGCGCTCGATACGAGAACTAGCCGCATGGCTCACTGGGGCAGAATGGGGAGCAAAATAGAAGGTCGCAGGTATACATCAATCGGATCCCTACTCACATAGTACAGTCACTACCTTCATGGATGGCATCACAATGCCCTGCAAGGAAGTAATTTACACGGCAATAGAATCCGGATGCCATTTGATCGAGCAGTTTGCCGATAGAGTCAACTAGGGGATTTACAACCCTTCACTGTACGCATCACATCTAAAATTATATCAACTACAGAGGCCAAGCGCGTATAATCTGCTATAAGCTATGGGATCGAGCTTAGCTTCATACAATCAAGGTTGCTACTTGACCCGTCACGTCAAACATATTTCGTAAAAACCACTGCTATTTACTCTGGTCCTGGTTGATGTCTACAACCTGTGCTTGTCAGCAGTCAAGACTTCTCACACAAGACCAAACACTTTTCCTGTTTGCACAATAGTTATCAACAACGAAGATAATGGCCTCGTTCAGACCATCTCCCTACCACTGGATTATGTCTAAATTCAAATTCTGGCTGGACTTGTCAGTTAAATCCTTGTTACCAAACCTAAGAAATTTGTTCGGCGCGTTTGAACTAGCAGTTCTGCGCTTCCCCCAAGCCTTTCGTGTACGAGATCTGTAGCCCCCTGTTGTCAACCATGCATAATACAAAGTCAGCATAACAAAACGAGTAGCAAGCTCTTATGTCAGTCATGGAGACGTATTCCCCTAAAGCCCAGGAGGAGGTGGAACCTAAATTGTTTAGTTAGTAATTAGTGCCGGGGTTGGGGGTGACGGGAGATGAGTGTACTTACAGCGCTGAAGCTTCCGCCAGGAGGAGGCGGCCCAGATGGTGGTGGAGGGGGTGGTGCAGAGCTTGGGGGAGGGGGAGGGGGAGGAGCCGCTTCGGCAGGGGGAGGAGGCGGCGGCGGAGAACCGGATTGACCTGGGGCTGCAGCATGTGAGCTCTGACCTGGTGCTTGAGTCTGACCTCCATAATACTGTTGATACAAGGCGACATAGCTGCAAAGCGTTAGCCATTTGCGGGAACTCGCTTCAGGGAGGGCTCACTTACTTAGCATATCCTCCCCAGGCAGCGTAGGGATCAGCTCCGTTGTAATATTGAGCATATTGAGCGGCATAGTCGGCGGCATTTGGAGTGGCATTGGCTGCAGGGGCAGGGCTGTTGGTTGCACCACTATCCGAGTTGTATCTGTTGTACGAAGAATATGAGTTGTTGTGAGAGCCACCATGCGACCTGTCGTGGGATCCCCGGTGGTGATGATCGCCATATCCACCACGGTCATTATTGTAGCGAGGCGGCCGGGCCTTGAATTCCTCGTACTGTTCCTTGACGTTTGCAATCAAGTCCTCGCAGAGCTCCTTGGCCTTGGTGACCATATTTGGATCGGGTCCGCTGCGATTATCAAGTCAGTAAGGCAAATCAAAACAGAGAGACGGTTTCGTTTTTGGGTACATACGTGACGTGGAGGAACATGGCTTCATCGCTTTCATGGTTAGTGGAGGCCTCAAGGTAGCCTGAGCCTCGGCCTTTGATCTGAACACGGCACCCAGTTTCTTGCTGGATATGCTTCACATAGGCACCACCGTGGCCGACTACCTGAGCACGGAGATTGAAGCCATGAACGGGCTCAAGGGTGATGGGAATCTTCTCCTCGGGCCATTTGCGCTAGAGCACAGTGTTAGCTGCAAAAGGGGGTAATCAATAGTTTCGGGGCACCCCATACTCGTCCATATTCATCTCGTTCAACTTGCGGCTGCTGCTCCTGGTCTCGACGTCGAAATCGCCGCTCGTCGACCAGTTGAGGGAGCTCCTGCTTGATTAGATCGTTGATTTTTTCCACGGCAGCTTCAAGCCCAGCCTTGGATGTACTAGTGATGTGGAGATATAAAGGAGGGTTCTATTTGCCGACATTAAGGCAAGCAATGGGTTAGAAATGAACATTGAGCAGAGTAGCAATCAAGGGCATGTCGTCTTACCGCTGCGGTCGCCATGCTCTTGTTAGGGTAGTAGCTGCCACGGGTCGTAACATCTGGCAAATACAAAGTCAACACCGCCATTCTACGTTCTAGTTTAGTCAAGGATGAATGCATACCGGCGCCAGTTTCATTTCGGATCTAGCACGACATTTTGTTAGCGAGAGCGGAAAGGGGGAGAGGGCATTTGCAAGCCGGCAGTTTCGTGACTTTAGTGTCCTCGACTGTGGTGTCGTGGATGTTAAGCTGACAAACGTAGCGGTGCAAAAGTGTTTTGAGGGTTGGTTACCATTTCCTGAGTAGAGCCCTTGGTCAACAGGTATCGATTTCGCAAGTCGTTGACCTCGATGTCTTGGATGTAGTCGCCATCAGCAACATACATCTCGGCCTTCATTTCATGGTCGCCTGATTCGGCAGACTGTCCGCCTGCAGACTTGATCGGGGGAACGTCAACATGCTGAGGAGCCTTTCGTGCTTGCAGCTGGGCGTTGATCTTGGCAGCAGCAGCGGCTATTTACAAGATTAGCTGGATGCAGTCGCAACGGCACGCGCATTTGCGCCTCGGCGGATTGGGGTCTCAGGACGTACCAGCAGCCGCGGCGGCGTCCACCGGGGGCTTTTTTGTCTCGGAACTCTCCTCCTTGGAAAGGGGACTGCGATCTCTCCCCTCGTGGCGGCGCGTGGGTGGAGATCGAGAGCGCCGGTCAAATCTCGATGCTCGCCTGGGCTCGGGCTCCGTTTGGTCGAAGCGGGAGCGCTTGGGTCGTCGCTCGGAGTCCTCCATCGTGTCGCGCACAAAGAAGTCCGTTTGCAGGTCAATGGCGGTTATGATTCGGCCGCTAGGTTGAGAGGCTGCGGGAAGCTGCAGTGCGGCCGGGGTTGTGTCGTATTGCGGTTAAAAAAATCAGTCGAGCGATGCAAGGCTGCAAGGCGCGAGAGCTCGCGACGTGCGTGGATAGCACCAGTTTTAATTTCAGATAAGATACTTGGGTACTTGTACAACCCAGCGTGGTTAGCCTCGTGGGCACTGCGGCTCGTGCGACCGCATCGGAAAAATATACTCGCGAGCTTGGGACGGCTACTATGTATGTGACTTATGTAATACAGGCTGAGTTAAAGTTGAACCCATGGGGAAAGCACTCTGTGAGATGGCCGTGAAGGCTGCGGTGTCGGAGCTTTGCTGATCAAGGGTCTCTAAAGTGGCACTCCAACACAGAGCGAGCCCTGCTGTGAGGGAAGTTACAGCTGGGTACTGGAAGTGCAGTGTAGTGGGAGTCGTTGGTGAATGTATCCAGAAGTAGTGCACGTGTCACTCGAATCCAAGAGTCGTAGCATGTCAAAGGACGGCATAGGATGAATTCAAGCCACGGATTTGAAGTAGCAATGTATGTAGTCACCCAGCAGGCGCTCTTACGTGAGGCTGCAGGGCAGCCGTCTGCTCCTATGGGGGCCATCACAAGCCCGACTAATACTGCGGAACCAAGAGCCCCCAGAAAGCCAATGGGGCTGCAAAATGCTCAATTGGATAGTAGATGAAAAGACCTGATGATGAACACCAGATAAAGATCATCATGAAAATATCCGGTGTTTCCATGAATATTGAGGCGGAATCTGACTCTTCCATCCAGATCGCGGGGAACGGACAGATTACGCGGGGCAGCATCTGCCTTCAATTGGTACCATTGCGACGGATTGCCACAGCAATGCAGAGCTGCGACGGCAGGTGTCTCTACCGTATATGCAAGTCCCTTGCCTGGAGTCATCCACGGGAATTATCGTAGCGTCCATAGATGAATTACACGTGCAAAGTACAAGTACCGGAGTCGACAACGCAGCCCGACCTGATCCGTGCTAAGCCGCTGCGTCAGTCAACCTCCGGTTTATCGGAGCGCGCCTCCAACTTTCGAGGCCACTAACTTTTCGACTTTCCCTTCCTCTCCTTCCCCATCGACTCAACACCACGGACCAGTCTGTCATCAACTCCATCGCCCGAACTTGCTATCCTGCAGAGATTGCCCTGTAATCGCTACAGCATGGCTTCGCTTCGGCCGTTGGGCGCGTCTTTGCGCCTCGCCGCTGTTGCGAGGACGACGGTGCGACACAGCTCGTCGAGCAGCTCAACCTCTGCCATCGCCTACAAGGCCCTGCGACGCCGCTCGGCTCCTCTGCCCATCACTGATGCTCCTCCGGCATGGTCAGCTCAAGCTGCCGTCTCCAACATCCTGTATGAGACGCCCACGCCGTCCATGGCGCCTCCGAAGCGCCACATCCTCAACTGTCTGGTCCAGAACGAGCCTGGTGTGCTGTCTCGTCTGTCGGGTATTCTCGCTGCTCGAGGCTTCAACATTGACTCACTAGTTGTGTGCAACACCGAGGTGGAGGACCTGTCTCGCATGACCATTGTCCTGACTGGTCAGGACGGCGTTGTCGAGCAGGCTAGACGTCAATTGGAAGATTTGGTGCCTGTCTGGGCTGTCTTGGACTACAGCAATTCTGCCTTGGTCCAGCGTGAGCTGCTCCTTGCCAAGGTCAACATTCTTGGACCCGAATACTTTGAGGAGCTGCTGGCCCACCACCGCGAGGTGAGCAACGGCGAGCAAGACGGCGAGCCTGGCAACGGGCTTGAGCGCACCCTCGAGGAGTCGGCCAATGACTTCCACCCTATCAAGCTGGCTGCCAGTGAGGCTCTCCGACACAAGCACGAGCACTTGAAGAACATCACCTACTTCACGCACCAGTTTGGAGGCAAGGTGTTGGATATTAGCACTACGAGCTGCATCGTTGAAGTGTAAGTCCTGCATACCCTCGGAACGCCTTGGAGTATCGTACTTTTTTACTGACTTGATAACAGTTCTGCCAAGCCGTCGAGAATCGATTCATTTTTGAAGCTCGTTGCTCCCTTTGGAATTCTCGAGTCTGCCCGTACTGGTCTGATGGCCCTGCCTAGATCACCCCTGCATAAGCACAACGAAGAGCCTATTATCAAAGATGCCGACGAGGTTGTTGATGCCAGCCAGCTTCCTCCTGGTTAAAAGCAATTTTTTCCTAATAATTCTTGCGAGTTTGTATGTAGCTAGGGTCTTTGGACACTTGGCGTCTAGCGGGGAAAGGATCGTTGGTTTAGGAATTTCACGAATTCAATTTTACTACTTGTGTGTTACACGCATACATCCAAATTCTCCATTTTAATAACTCCTCGTAAATCACACAGGTTGAACTTGCTACTCGAGAACACCCTTGTTTACAACAAATCCTTCCAACGCCGCTATGAAAAGAAAAGAAAAAAAAAAGAGTCAGCCCCATGTCGTTATGTATGAGTAGTTGATGCAGAAGCAAACTTACCAACGGCAGCCCAAAGCCGGTTCTCTGCCTCAGGGAAGACTAGAGACCTGGGGCTGTAAAACACTTCGTCTGCAACTTCCTCCGGGTGTCGGGGCAAGCAGTGCATAAATTTCCAGTTATCCTTGGCGCCACCTCGCTTCGCCAATTCGTTTGTGATCTGGTATCCAGCGAAAGCCTGCAGCCTCTTCTGCTTCTCAGCCTCCTGTCCCATGGAGATCCACGTGTCAGTCACCAGAATGTCGGCATTCTTAATGGCCTCTTCCGGAACGGTCGTCTCTGAGAGCTTGCCAGGCGATTGCACGCCGTGGGCGGCCGAGTTGATGAGCTGCCTCATGTGATCGGGGATACCGTAGCCTTGGGGCGAGGCGACAGCGATGTCGACTCCTGTCTTGACGCAGCCAATGGCAAGATCGAAGAGCACGTTGTTGGAGTCCCCAACCCAAGCTACTTTCAGGCCGTTGAGGTCGAGGGTGTTGTTGCTTGACAGAGAGGATGGGAAGGCCTCGTAGATGGTGAGAAAGTCAGCAATAGTCTGCAGCGGGTGGAAATCGTCTGAAAGCGCATTGATAACAGGCACAGCCGAGTGCTCCGCCAACCCGGTAACATCTGAATGGGGGCCAACTCGGGCCACCATGCAGGATGTCATTGATGAAATGACAACAGAGGTATCATACAACGACTCATTGACCTGTACACCGTATTTAGCGATGAGTTGCCATATGAAGGACCATCAAGAAGTACTGACACCAAGCTGAATGTCGTCTTTACCTAGAAACATGGGATGACCGCCAAGCATAGTCACCGCCGCCTCGGTTGAGACTCGCGTCCTCGTGCTCCGTTTGCTAAACATCATGGCCACTGTCTCGCCGGCCAGGCCGCCGCTTAACCGGGGCACGCGACCGGACTTGACGTCCTGTTTCCGAGCAGCGGCATTGCGCACCAGAGAAGAGAATTCCGAGGGCGTGAGGTCACTGATGGACATGAGATGCCTGGGCTTGGCGACCTGTGAGTAGGCACGGCTCTGAAAGCCATTGACCGCGCCCCGGAATGCTCGCGCTGCTACCGTCTTCATGATTTTTTTTATTGTGGTTTGTAGCAGCTTGAACAAGGTTTGCTTAGCATCCGAAGCCGCAACTGTGATTGTGGGGTAGGGAAAATACCAATTGGACTTGCTGAGGTAGAAAAGAGCTAATCACACGAGTTCAATGTCGTTATCGAATTTATAGCTACTCGAGTGGGCAGATGAAATGTACCTAGGGAGAGTCATAAAAGAGCTTAAAAGAGCTGTTTGAAGAGTCATCGAGCCGATTGAGGTTGGCGAAGACGGAAATGTGGGGTCGCTGGCTGTAGCTATCAAGCTCCACGTTACATGTACCCTAGCGGTTTTGGGGGCAATCAATATGCAACCACTTTAAAGATTTACAAGGTCTGGAAAAGGATGTAGCTATACAATACCCAATATCAATAAACAATGAGATGCTCTATGTAGCATCATGTGCCACATATTTAATAGCGGTAATGGCAATTATAGAAGAAGTAGCAATAGCAACAGACAAGGTCATACTTTAATAGGTGTCGGGTAGCTCTCGTGGGGTGCTGGTGACATGGACTCACGCCAGTCCCTCCAATCATTGTACACATGAAATCATCGTCAGCCATCTTAAAATTTAGGGCACAACTAGAGAGTAAATATAATCAAAACTAAAAGTTTTATTGTCAATGTATGTATCAGCAACAAATGGTTGCGTTATGAACTATATACATGTCCTTGCAGAGCCGTAAAGCTATGTACTTGGGTATAACAGGCACTCTGCAAGGCATTGGGATGTAAATCTCATGATGCTAGCACTCATCTAGCGTCTCACAAGAAGCTCATCGCCATCAATAATTTAGTGCAGGTCGGGGTCGACATCGGCAAAAGTGGTGCCGACGGAGATCTCATCGTACCAGACCTGGCGGAAGCTCTGGGTGCCAACCATCTTGCCATCATCGTGCCAGCTGTTAGCATACAGACCGACACGGAACTGGAAGACGCTGTCATCATCAACGGTGGTGGCAACGTTGTACTCCTCGTGGACCTTGACGCCGTCGAACCAGACCTTGAAGTAACCGGTGTTGTCGGACTTCCAGTTGATCTGGAGCACGACCCTGTGCCACACTCCAGCACTGACTGTGGCAAGGTTGCCGCGGGTGACGATGTTGCGGCCGCAGTTGGGCTGGCGGTAGTGGCCGTTGACGTAGCGGCCGTAGAGCTGGTTGTTCTGGATCCAGAACATGCTGGAGGGCATCCAGTCGTCGCCACCGCAGCCGGCACCGGGGCGGTTGGCAATGAACTGGGCAATGTTGTAAGACTGAGACTGGAACTGCCAGTCCTCGGAGAGACGGAAAGCGAAGCCGTAGAACTGCTCCTCGCCACGGACGTAGCCGCGGTTGTGGTCGACCTCGGAGTGGTAGCGGTCCTTGTAGCCAGGAGTGTAGGTCTGGGTCATCTTGAGGGCAGAGTTACCCTTGAAGACAACGTTGGAGACCTCGGAGACGGTTCCCTGGTTCTCCTTGCGGACGTAGTCCCAGCCGTTGAGGTGGCCATCGTTGTAGAAGCTTCGGGTGGCGCTGGCCGCAGGCAGGATAGCCAAGACGGCGGCGAAGATGGACTGGATAGCAACCATTTTGGCGGTGGTTCTCTCTTTTGCTGGTCTTGTAGTGATGAATTGAAACTGAGACCCGTGTAGATCGCTTTGGAGGGAGATGGTTCTCGAGGAAACTACCGATGGACTTGAGGTTACTTATACTTGTGCTTGACTATATGGCTTACTGAAAGGGACAAGGGGTGTGGCATCATTTGCGTACGGCCACAAGTATAGACGCCAGGGTGCCTAGCTATGATCATGTCTACTTACCCAAATAGTTAATTCGATAACAACAATCCTGTAAGTTCTACACCTCGAGGCGTGGATGATTCGGAATGGTAGTAATTACTAGTTTGAGGGACTTGTCATCTCATCGGAGAAAAATCCGCCGTTCCTAAACGACGTTCCATAAACAAGCTAACCAATATGCTTGTGCCATGTCCCCGGTAGTGGAGTGTCAAACGAGAGAGTTGCCATGATATTCGTCGGTTGGATCTCGGCGGATCAGCGAGCCAAGCCAGCTGTATGCATCGCGAATGCCAGATTAGGTAGGAGATTTCTGAGTGATGTGGGTTGGATCGGGGTTGGATTCAGCTGTGACTGGTGGATTAAATTCTAGAGCAATCCTGGAAATCAGATCTAAATGCAACGACATGTTCGGTTTATCACAAGGCTGAGCAGTTCATAGTACGGATCTCACATGTAAACTGTCCATCTTGTCGTGTGGAAAGGGACCGGAGTCGCCGGTCACTACCGGTTGAGAATCCACTCGTGAAACATAGTATATCTAACTCTGCATGGTTGTATATTTAAGTTTAATGCTAACAATAGTGGTGATAGGACTGGAAATAGCATCTTTGCAAGGTTGATACTATTTCATCAGCCTCACCTTGCAGTCTAGTGCTTCGACGATTCCATACCAGTGGGTTTAGTGTAGCTTGGTGTCTTGACACCATCCACTCGATTCCTATACTCGTATTGCCCGAGCAGAATCTGGAAGGTCATATGGAAGTCGTATTCGCTGGGGTATCTTGCAAGTTCCGCCTTGGTACTAGCTGGTGCTCATTAGGAGGCCTCGGGTATAGGCTGACGTGCTCCTCACCCATTCCGGGAAACGAGTTGCCTTCTCTATTACCCTAGACAGAGATGCCTGTTTGTAAAGTGATTAGATCCACTAGTGTAACCATGAAAGTAGAGTAATTTTTAAGTTTAGTTTAATACTACGCGGCCAGAGTAGTAGGGTATCATCGTGGAAGCCGCGCGGTTCACGATTCCATGAGCATGTTATTGATGACACAAAACACCATCTTTTGGAAGCAGCGCGGGACGACAGAAGTGCCCTTTCTTGAGCACTGTTGATGAGACGTTTTGTATAAGAGCATATTAAAGCATAACAGCCAGGGTTACAAGAGTATCCCCCAGTCTTATTGATCAGTCCTAAAGTTGGGGGGGCACTCTCCAACCTGGGATTCGGTGTTGTGACTATAATGCGAGCAAAGACCGAACATATTATGGTTGCCTGCGGAGTACATGCTTGCAAGCAATGGTGTCACCCAATAATCGGCAACCATGCAGCTACTGTTTTTACTCATACACGAACAAAAGATGTGGTTATGGACTCAATTCCAGGGGTTGGCGCTAGTCAAGATTGCCGAAAAAGGAAGCTCACGATATCTTGGCACGGGGTCGGGTGTCGGAGATATTCCTATGGTCAACGAGAGAGGAGAATGGCTTGACAATGCCAAGGCTCTCTCTACCCCATTTGCAAGGTCCTGCATTTATACGCAACGAATGATTCCTCCAATCGCATCATGAGGAGCTTCAAATGAGGAGAGTGGCTTTGGCATGTAGCCTACTGAGTGGCCCTCGCCGTGGGCTAATGCCTTCATCAAAAGAATAGTCCCGGAGGATCTCGGCTCGCGTCCATGAGAAAGCACGCATAGCATCGGTGGCTTGCGAAGATGTGAGAATTAGAAGGAGAACGGGTACAGTAAGGTGAGTCAAATAGATACATCTTTGAGACTCTTGACTTAGAGAGCTTGATTCATCTGGCAGCACTACTACTAGGTACTAAAAGTCGATGACACATGAGCCCCACTGTTGTTCTACGAAGATGCAAGTGACGTCTTTATGCTACACAGTACATGTGTACTCTCAAATACGCCAATAGTAGAACACTATAGCTACACTGATATCTTCGTAATCGTACTGACTATCTGCCTTTGTTTCTCAAATCTATTTGGTCTTCTCACACGCTCATACATCAATGAAGATAGCAGCAAGAACAGGAAGCTGCACTGTCACTGCTAAGCTAGCCCGGCTTGGTCTAGCACCACCACCAGCAGAAGCATTTGGAGCGTGACCACACTCCACAAAGCGATTGACAGGTACCTGATGGCGCTGTTCCGTACCTTGCGGAACGCTAGCCCCTGCACTAAGTTTAGCAGGCAGCCTCTGCGAGCGCTAACAGCGACATCTGTTGGGTGAAACACCAGCAAGGAGGCACCAATCTGGCGATTTCGGGGGTTGAAGAAGCGTGACTAAGCGCGCGTGCTGGTCGCCACCCAATGAGATCAGCCATCCACGTGCGCCGTCTCCGTACTGATCCGTTCCTATGCCCGTCCAAACGCTGCTCCACTCCTATCGCTCAATCGTGACGACAACAACAGCCGCCCTAACCTCTGTGTATCTTAACTGCTACCTTTGGGCATCGACTCATCCCAACGCATCGAGGCTCGTCTCAGCAGTCATTATCCCTGCACGCTCATCCAAACCTCCACTCACTGCAGTTATCCGCCTGGGGCCACCCTTGACGCTGCAGAGCTCTCCAAACTGCCTCCAGTGAGAGGTGACGCATCGCCAGGGGACGCATCATCCAGTGGCCTACTGTGCTCGATCTGACCCAACGCCCGGGCTCGCCATGCCTAATTTCATACCTGATTTCCGGGTAGCAGTTAGCTTCAAGAAACCGTTGTCCCGCTCTGCCGATGGCTCGACACTAGACAACGAGACGCCAGAGGCATCCGAGACGTCTCCCCTGCTCTCGTCGGAAACCGAACACAGGCCGGCAACTGAGTCTTCGCCGTTGCTTTCCGATGCCGAGCATCAAGATAGTGAAGAGGACGAAAGCGATAGCTTGAACAGGTCTCCGTCAAAGTCAGAGAGTCGTTTGCGATGGCCCTCCATTATTGCGATTGCAGTCCTGGCCGCCCTCACCGTGGTGGTCATGGTCCTTGGCTTCCTTGTTCCTCCGGCCGTCAAGTCTTACGCTGAGAATGCTGCTGTCCTCGAGCCAACCGGCTTGTCTCTCGAATCTCTCACTCCGGATGGAGTTCGCGCACGAATCCAAGCCAGCTTCAGGCTAGATGGCTCACGAGTCAAGGATGATACAGCAAGACGCCTCGGCAGGCTGGCTACTAGCATTGTCAGGACGCTCGATACCGACGAGACAAAGGTTCGCGTGCATCTGCCAACCTATGATAATGCTCTCTTGGGATCTGCCGTTGTGCCCCCATTGAGTATCAACCTGGTTGATGGGCAGACAACCGTGCTGGATTTTGTTGCTGATCTCAGCCCTGGAGATGCCGAGAGCCTGCGCCAGATAGCCAACGACTGGTTAGATGGCAAGCTCCAGCAAGTCAAGGTGACCGGCTCGGCAGCACTGAGTCTCAAAACTGGCATTCTCCCTCTTGGAACTCACGATATTGTCGAGTCAATGGTCTTTGAAGGTCAATCTCTCTACCGCTCCTTTGCCTTGTTATATTTTGGAGAAAAAACAATATCATGAACAATCATTGACGTATATTTTATTTTATGCACTATTTGCTAATTCCATTATAGCCAAACAAATTCCTTCTATCCCCGAGTATAAGATTGACCGCCTTAACATCCACGATGTTCCTACTGGTGATGGTGGACGGATGGCCGTTGGTGCGAATGCTTCAATCGTCGCATACAACGACTACCCAATTGGCCTCACTGTTCCGCAACTTGCTTTTGATCTCCTCGTCCCCAACTGTGACCCATCTGAGCCCCATATTATGGTGGCTACTGCTATTACTGAACCAATTGATGTGGAGCCGCATGCTAATGTTACTGTTGATGCCATTGGTCTCATCAATGACATTCCCGATACGCTTACTCGAGCCTGTCCTCTTACCAACATGTCGCCGCTGGATAACTTTTTTAAGCGGTACATGCACGGTGAAGACGCTCAGATTTTCGTCCGGGGCCAGGATTCAGACAAGTCGGACATCCCAGAGTGGATCAGATCCTTCCTCAGCAGTGTCACTGTCCCAATCAGCTTTCCGGGACAGTCGTTTAATGATGCCATTCGAAACCTCTCGCTCACAGATGTCGACTTCAAGCTTCCCAGTCCATTTGCGGATCCCAGTGATCCGGACTCGAAGGCTCGCGTGTCCGGAACGGTCGAGATTCTAGCCGAACTTCCTTCTGAACTGAATGTGGATATTGGCGTCAACAGTCTCCGTGCCAGTGGCGATCTTTATTATAAAGGCAAGAAATTTGGCGAGCTAAACGTGGAACATTGGCAAAAGGCCAATTCGAGCAAGACTGTCGACCCCGAGGATGAGAAATCGCTGCTCCAAATCACTTCAAGGATCACCAACGTTCCCCTTGACATTACTGATGGCGACGTCTTCAGTGATGTCATGGGAGAGCTTCTGCTCGGTGACAAGGATATCCTTCTTGATGTCGAGGCTCGTGTCGACATCAAAGTCTCAACTGTGCTTGGAAACCTCGTTCTCAGAGATGTTCCCGCAAAGGGCAAGATTCCAGTAAAACGTCTGTCTTCGCCTTGGTAATCTTCATGCGCGGCTCCCTTGTGTTGGTAGCATAACGTGTCTTCCCAATTGCTGAATGAACGATTATGGCTACCTCGCAAGGCGCCCAAGGACAGCTCTGCTAACAAAATGGAACAGAGCTTCCTGGTAAATCGCTTACGGAAATTGAACCACGCGTCTCCAATTTGGTCATTCTTAATACAACGAAGCATGCTGTTCACATGCAAGCGTCGGTCAACATAACGAACCCTACGCCTTATACGGCCTCTATACCATTTGCAAACGTCCACGTTTACCACGAGGGGCTGTTAATCGGAGAAGTTGTCGCCAATCATCTAGACGTACATCTGGGCAACAACTCAAACTTGGCCGTCTTCGCCACCTGGGATCCAGTATCTTTGGGTGGAGAGAAAAGCCACAAGGCTGCCGCTCAACTCCTTTCCGACTATCTTTCGGGCAAGAACACAACACTTACATTCAAAACTCATAAAGGTAGCATCCCTGGGATGCCTATCATTGGTGATGCTCTCTCCAAGTTCAACATCACACTGCCAACGCCACGGATCAAGCTTCCTGGCGACAAGAGCGGCAAGAATCAGGGCAAGAACTTTGTGAGAGATGCCATCTTCCACGTTTTCTCCTCCACTGCCACTTTTAGTCTCGCATCACCGCTAAAGCAAAACGTTATACACATTGAGAAGATAAACGCTACTGCATTTTACAACCATACAGAACCTGTCGGCCACATCCTCTACGATGAGCCGTTTGATGCGCCTCCAGGGGTGACGGAGACTCCCCGACTCCCTGTCATCTGGTCAGCCGATAGTATCGGTTACGACAAACTGATTGACGCAATGGACGGCTCATTGAAGCTGGATGCCAAGGCAGAGGCAACATTAAGGATAGGAAATTGGATAGAGACTGTCCATTACGAAGGGCGAGGTATTGGAGCTAGGGTCCGGATATAGACATTACATTTTCATTTCTTTCACTTTCATTTACGGTATTGATTTGGGAGCAGCGTTTGGGAATTTTGGTTCAAAGAATGATTGGTATTTTCCTTTAGCATACAGGTTGATATTTGAGCAATTTATACGTGAAATATACAATGATATACGCTTGATTTAATCAATAAATTCACCATGTCCAGATCCATATTGACTGCAATGATTTGTGCTAATAGTCTTGGTGCTGGATAGCCAACTTGGGGTACTGACTAGCAAGTCCTTTCAAAATGCAAATGTACGTTCTACGAGGGCCGCCTATTTACGACAACACTCATGATACAATTAAGGGTGGATTACTGGAGAAGAGCATGGACATGCACATCACGCTACGATGCATTTGGTAGGCCGGCATCATGACGCTTAATGGAAAAGGGGGATATCAAGTGACGAACCTGGAGTAGGCACACCATGTCGATACCGCTCTAACAGTGTCAGCAAGGGATGAAATACATAGAGCGAGAGAGAGAAAGCATATAACAAGAAAAGGAGTATGCACCTTTGGTTTTTATAAAATATCCCTAACAAAGAGTCCCAACAAGCGGTATAATTAGTAAATGGATGCAGGTATTCCGGCAAAAGGAGTCCAAAAAAAGAAAAATTCCCATGCAGCCCGTCTTGCTGGTGGGCTTTTAACCGAGCCGAACTCCCGCTTCCCTACGCTTCTTCAGCTGCTGAGCCGTCGCCAGATTCATACCGGCATTTTGGCTTGCGTCGAACATGCTCTGAGCCTCGCGCCGCTTCTCGTCGTCAATTTTCTTGAGGCGCTTCTCCGTCTTGCCCTTGCCGCTGCCCTTTCCGTGGAACTGGTGGCTGAGATGCTTGAACGCCTCCTTTTGATCCAATCTCCGGCCATGATCGTCGACGTATTTCAGCTCGACGTTTGGCTTGTAGCCAGCATTAAAGAGCTCAGCCATCCGTTTAGACTGTTGGTGATCTCTGTGAGTGTTTTGCTGACGAGCCCATTCCTCCCTTTCCCTGACGGACATGCGGTCTAGTCTGCCGCTCATCCTATCACGCTCTCTCTGTTGTCGTGTTTGTTCATCCAGCTCGCCTTCCAAAACTCGCTTCTTTGCAAGAAAGTCCTCGCGAGCTTTGAAGTCTTCATAATTTCCGCCTCTGGAAGATTCAAGAAGTCCTCGCTCTCGAAGTAATGCGAGAGCTGCACCCATGCCCTCGCCAACAACCTTTTCATCTTCGATGCCTGCATCTTCTTCCTCGTCTTGTTCCCTTTTGATCCTCTCTTCTTCATCTTTCTGGGCCGCCAGGAGGGCTTCTTGGTGTTCTGCTGCGTAATCGTCCATTTCTGCATCTTCATCTTCACCACCCATATGGCGATCCTCTTCCACTTCGGGACTTTTAGTGACTTGCTTCTGCCTCCTTGACTGGCGGTCCTCATCGTCTGGCTTGCTCAAGCCGGCGACAAATTCGGAAATCTCCCCAATTACCAGACCACCGCCTTGTGCTTCCTCGGGCTCCTCTTCGTCCTCCTTGAGCTGTCTTGCGATATCTTCAGGACGTGTCCTTTTGCGCTTTTTCAGAGCATTCTTCCGTTGGATTGCTAGTGATGCTTGGAGGTCCTCGTCATCAGCAAAGACATCCGAAGCAGTAGCCTTCCGCTTCTTAGCTATGGAAGAATCTTTAGAATCGATGTCCATAGCGCCAGTATCCGCTGGGGCCGCATCTAGAGGGAAAATGTCATCCTCATCATGCTGTTTCTGCCTGGTACCCTTGCTCCCCTTCTTCTTCTTGGGCTTTTTTACTTTGATCTCTGATGGAGCAAGATAGTCGGATGAAGGTACGGCGTCATCTGGTATAAATTGTTAGCGGTGATCTTAATGGGGAAGAGTAGAAAGAAAGATGGGGGGGGGTTGTACGCACCTATAACGTCATCAAGGCTTACTGATTGGATTTTCTTTCCCTTTCGCTCTGGCTGATCAAGGATATCTGATAGCTCGGCAATAGCTCCATCGTCATCAAGAGTGAACTTTTTTGCCTTTTTGCCGTTAATCTCCTCATCGTATTGTGCCAGAATAGTGCCTTCGCCGTCGTCATAATCATTAGGGTTGTAGCCTTTTAGCTTCTTTTTGAGATCCAGTCTCTCAGTGAGCTTCTCTTGTTCTCTGATGTTTAGGTTCTCAAGCTCGTCTCCCTCTTCCTCATTCTCGTCAATCGTTGTATCCTTCAAAGTAAGGACCTGTTCGTCTCCGTCTAGGAAGGCTGTCGAGTCGTGTGCAACCTTGATGCCAGCAAGGTCTTTGGAAGTGTATTGTATGGCAGCGGCAGCGGCAGCTTCTGATGCAGCAAGATCCTCCTCCAGCTTCCTTGCTTTATCGATCTTCTTTTGCCTCTTCTTTTGGCCTATCAACCATGCCTTGGCATCCATGTCGCCACCTTCATCTTCATCGCCGAGCCCCTTCCCTTCGAGAAGCGCAAATCGCTGGGCCTTTTCACGGGCTTTTCGTACGGCAGCGGCCTTCTCTTCGCGTCGTTTCTTGGCAGCTTCGTCATCCTGGACCTTTTTATAATTGTCGTAAGCCTGCGCCTGGCGAGTCTCGACTGTGCTCGCTGGTTCCTCGCCATCTGACGCCTCGGCTTGAGGCGATGCTGCAGCTCCGGGCACCGGCAAGGGCTTCATGCCCAGCGATATCCGGATGCGGTTCGTCTCCTCGATCGTTGCTGCGTCCATTGTTGCTATTCGATATTCTGGTCAGACAAGATGGGGTGAGTCAGGTTGTCGCGAATATGAAAGAATGACTACTGGTAGCATTGATATTGATATGTCGGCGCTCCATAATTTCAAGTTAGTGGTAGCCTACTGCCAAGGCTTATCGCCCGCGAAATCAGTTTTGCCGCTATATTTCCGCTCACGTGACCATCTCCACCACCCCAATCTTATCGCAATGCCATATAATGCCGTATCGTGAAATTTTCTTCGAGATTTTCTCTCCTTCTCAACAAACCACGGATCTGTGCTCAGCGGTCCTCTGCGTTCACGCGCTAGGGTCGACTGCTGTGCAGCTCGATAACTCTATGGAGCCATCAACTTGCTATGGTGTCAATCATCCTATCGACAGGTCCAAGAACAACTCGGCCTCTGGCTGCCTCATTCGCTGTCGCAAGATGGCTTGAGTGTTGTGGCTGGAGGATTCGGGGGCCCCATATTCCAACCCTTTTTTCCAAGGCCGTCGGCCGATGAGGTTGAGGAAAACCATGGGTTGCCTACATCTCGATGCTGGTACTAGCATTTCTGTCTCTGCAGCGGCCGTTGAGCCTCACGTTAGCCTTCTGACCCGATGATGCCATCTGACTAGCTTCACGGAGTAAAAATGATTAATTGTACAACTCGGACGATAAAATAATCCACGAAGTAACCCCGATGAGCCGGCCATGTAAGAAAGGATCCCCTTGTTGGTGGGGCAGTTGGGAGACCGCTTACATGCCTCGTGACATATTTTGAGGGCCGCGGCAAGCCTGTTTGGATTCTGTCAATGATGATAGCTGCTGTACAGTATGATGACGGTATGTTGGCAAGTTGGCTACGCGTTGAGGAAAACGCATCGAACACCTCATCCAGCCTAGCCTAGAACGTGCTTGGATTGGTTTGATTACTTACCTCATGCGTGTTTCAATGCATGTGAAGATCTACATAGTACACCAGAGGGGAGGGAAGCTTGTCTACGATGCATTACCTCATATCAGTACTCGAACTGAGCTACGGCCCTTTTCTTGTCCCCTTTCTGCCGCTTCACACCATGTTGCAGTTTTCTCCTTTCCCCAGCACGTGCGAAGCAGCTCGGGCTTGGCACAAAGATCCAGACGCATAGGCGAAGATCTTAGTCCACATCTAGGCTGTCATCACGAGTCCTCGGTTGCTTGTGAAACCTAGCTCAGCTCCAGGGCTCTCGTAGTAACGCCGACTCGGCGACGCCACCCAGAGAAACTTGCATGATGCTAGAAGCTGAAAATTTTTCTAATTGCTGCCGTCTTGTCGCTTCTGGTAAGTACGCGACACGTGCTGTCAATGCACAACACACAAAAGTTCCGGCCGTTGTGATGGGATTTGCAATTTCGATGCCGTAGATTCTAGGGTAGGGCGACTAGTACCGGAGGCTAGAGGCGGTAGTGGACGGGAACCTGGGCAAGCCTGGCAACTGCGAACTGAGAACAGACATGAGCCGGGATGATGCCCCACGGGGGAAGTTGGAGATGCGGAGCAACCCCTTGGAGCTTCTACTCTCCAAGTTCTGCTGACTATGATGGTTCGTTTTCGCTTTCGTCTTCACCGTGCTTTTCTTGGAGGCTAGCCGAGGGTCTGCCTGGCTCCTTGCTTCGCCTCCCCTCCCTCTCCTTAGCTGCGCATGTTCTCCTGACAGCGTGACTAATGACGCGTTGCCAGCCCATTCGCCTGACGCATCCTGGCATCTGAGTCTAGCTCGTCACGCTGGCCAGGCAGAGCAGCAAACCGCAGGCATGATTGGGCCGTGCCCTTGTTGGCATCAGCTGGCCATCCGCTGCCACCCGAGACCGCATCACCGACTCGTCGGATCTCTCCGAGACGGAGCTGATCCTGGGCGGCGAGACGATTGAAAAAGGCCGTCAGATCCCGTAGTCAGAGCGAGAAAGAGAGAGTGAGGCTCGTCTGTCTTACCTTCAGCCAGCCCGCGTCAAGAGGAGAAGTCCAAGGATAGAAGAGCCGAGAATAGAAGAGAGCCGAAGATCCTTGCAATCGTTGAACTATTGTTGCTGCTATCGCCGCTGCCTGCTTTTTTTGCTTCTATCCCGCAGCCGCTGGGTGCCACCCGCCATATTCGGTCGGCTATTCTTTCGCAAGTCTGCACCGCCCGTCGCGGCACTTGGGCCCGGAGAATCGGCCCTTTCACAGAGTTGCGGCCCTCAGTTCCCCATGGGGACGATCCGCACATCCACTCTTGGCCTGTAGACCTTTTGTTGTCGGTCCGAGTCGGACGGGACTGAGCGTTGAGAGTAGCATCTACGCACGACTTTGCGGGCAACGGCCGATCCCATTGGACCAAGTCGGCAAAACGAAAGCCGTTGTTGTTATTGCGAGAAGTGCTTTGACTCGCGGCGCTGGATCATAAAGATGCCTGCCTTCGCCATGGACCTGGCCGGCCACTCGGCATCGGCTCTGTCTCTCAACGTTTCCTCTCATACATCCTCCTTCATTCCGCCCATCATGCACGTGTTGTCGACTGCTGTGTTGCTTGGCTCAGTTGCCGTCCAGAAGGTTCTGGGAAGACCAGGATCAAACGGCCTGTCCGACATCACAAAACGTTCCGTTGATAGCTTCATCAGCGCAGAAACTCCTATTGCGTTAAACAACCTCCTTTGCAATGTTGGCCCTGATGGATGCCGTGCGTTTGGCACATCGGCTGGTGCTGTGATTGCTTCTCCCAGCACAGTTGACCCAGACTGTAAGTTTGGCTTATACCGCTATATCTTGGATATGTGGATCGTATACTAAGACAAGTGAAATTGATACAGACTACTACATGTGGACGCGAGACAGTGCCCTTGTCTTCAAGAACATTGTCGACCGCTTCACCCAGAAGTATGATGCCGGCCTGCAGCGCCGCATCGAGCAGTACATTTCTGCTCAGGTTACTCTTCAGGGGATTTCGAACCCGTCTGGCTCCCTCTCGGACGGTTCCGGACTTGGTGAACCCAAGTTTGAGTTGACGTTGAACCAGTTTACTGGCAACTGGGGTCGCCCGCAGCGTGACGGCCCAGCTCTTCGGGCTATTGCCTTGATTGGCTATTCGAAGTGGCTCATCAACAACAACTATCAGTCGACGGTGTCGAGCGTCATCTGGCCCATCGTTAAGAATGATCTCAACTATGTTGCCCAATACTGGTTAGTACTAGCTTGCTGTCTTCTCCTCTTGTTTATGAACATTTCTAACTCTTTCACTACAGGAACCAAACCGGTTTTGACTTGTGGGAGGAAGTTAATGGCAGCTCATTCTTTACCGTTGCCAACCAGCACCGAGGTATGTAGCAACAACTCACGGCTCGTCACATTTAACCGGAAACAATTGCTAACCAATTCCTTAGCACTTGTTGAGGGCGCCACACTTGCTACAACCCTTGGCCAGTCAGGAAGCACCTATTCCTCTGTTGCTCCCCAGATCCTGTGCTTCCTCCAGAGATTCTGGGTTTCTGGTTCATACATTGACTCCAACAGTATGTCTATCAGCACTATCAACTTTGATGAAATGGAATACTAATCACTCGTTGTAGTCAACGTCAATGAGGGCAGGACTGGAAAGGATGCCAACTCTCTTCTCGCATCTATCCACACATTCGATCCTAGCCTTGGCTGCGATGCCTCTACCTTCCAGCCCTGCAGTGACAAAGCTCTCTCCAACCTCAAGGTCGTTGTCGACTCCTTCCGCTCCATCTACGGCGTCAACAGTGGAATTTCTGCCAGCTCTGCCGTTGCTATCGGCAGATACCCCGAAGACGTGTACTTTAACGGAAACCCTTGGTATCTTGCCACGTTCGCTGCTGCCGAACAACTGTACGACGCTCTCTATGTCTGGAAGCAGGCCGGCTCCATCACAGTGACCTCCACCTCTCTGGCCTTCTTCCAGCAGCTTGTTCCCGGTGTCGCGGCTGGAACTTACTCCAGCAGCCAGTCTACCTACACAAGCATCATCAACGCCGTCTCGGCATATGCTGATGGATTCATGAACGAGGCTGCCAAGTACGTCCCTGCTGATGGCTCGCTCGCCGAGCAGTTCGACAAGAACAGCGGCACGCCTCTGTCTGCCGTTCACCTGACCTGGTCGTACGCCTCTTTCCTGACAGCCGCGGACCGTCGGGCTGGCATTGTTCCCTCATCGTGGGCCAGCAGCGGCGCTAACACTGTCCCTTCATCCTGCTCCGGAGCGTCTGTGGTTGGATCGTACTCGCGTCCCACAGCCACGTCATTCCCACCATCGCAGACCCCTAAGCCTGGCGTTCCTTCTGGTACTCCCTTCACACCTATTCCCTGCGCTACCCCGACCTCCGTTGCCGTCACTTTCCACGAGCTTGCCACGACGCAGTTTGGCCAGACGATCAAGGTCGTTGGCAGCGTTCCCGAGCTGGGCAACTGGAGCACGAACGCAGCCGTGGCTCTTAATGCCGTCAACTACGCTTCTAACCATCCTCTGTGGCTTGGATCGATTAACCTCGCGGCCGGAGAAGTCGTCCAGTACAAGTACATCAACGTGGGCTCGGATGGCTCCGTGACCTGGGAGAGTGACCCCAACCACACCTACACTGTTCCTGCGGTGGCCTGTGTTACCCAGGTGGTTAAGGAGGATACCTGGCAGTCATAATAAGTGGATGGACTGGGATTACAGATTGAAGATGGCAGATGGGAGATTGAAAAATTGCCAATAGAATCAGTGGGATATATGAAGCAGCCACTGGGGAGGGATACCTACCACAATTATGCGTTACAGCGTGTATATTAATTTTAGCCGTTACGAATCAAGATATGAATATATGATATGGATATGGAATAGTCTTTCGAAAAGTGATGAGCCCGACTGCTTGGCCTATGTGTAGTGACCTACATTGAAACACGCCGCCAAGTGAAGCCTGTTTTCATTTCGAAGCCGACGTGATGAAGAATATGCCAATAATCAACCACCCTAGCATGTGTAACACTGTAACACTCTCATTTGCCTGACGGCTGACAAAACAGCAACAACGTTTACATTCCGATGAACCAGACAGTGCCCAAGAAAAGAAATAGACCCCTTTGCATCCTAATTTCACTCAGTAGCACATCATCCTCTTGTATTCCATCGACCCCCAATCCCTTTCCGTTTGCATTTATTTTATCTTTCTGTTCTTTACGCAAACTCATCATCTGGAGCCTCAATCGAATTCTTGACCTTGACCAGAATGGCGGTCATCCAGGGCTCCAGCCTGCTCGTGCGATCAAACTGGAACAGCAGCTCAGTGAACTTATCCTGGCTGTGTTCGTCAATGGCGTCGCACAGGTCGGCGATCAGCTTGTACTTGTACTGGGAGGAGAATTCGCCATCCTTTTGCTGGTAGGACTCGAGGGCACGGCGGGTGCCGACCATGTCGCCGGTAGCCAGATGGCAGATGCATGCCTTGAAGCAGTAAGTCGAGAGACTCCATTTCATGGAGCCGTTGCCGAGCATGGTCTTGATGATGGAGTCGTAGGATTCGATGGCGGCGTAGTAATCCTCGTCCAGAGCGGCGAGGTCGGCATATTGGGTTAATAGCTTGTTGGCATTCCTAAAAGCTCGCGCGCATTAGCAATCAATCAACAGCAGGGCTCTTTGGCTGAGTGCTTAACACCGGGGGAATACGTACAGCTCTCTCTCCGGGCGTATGCGGTCAGCAGCCTCCTTGTAGGCCTCGCGCGCCTTCTTCTTGTCATCTTTCTCAACCTCGTAAATCTGACCGAGATTTTCTTTGATTCTCGACAATCTATTCGCCTTGTTCTCGCTGGTGGACTGCTGGATCAAGGCAAAGGCCTTTTCTCGGCATCGGATCGCCGCATCGGGATCTTCTTTTCGGTAGGCGTCAGAGGCATTGACGTAGCTGTCGGCAGCATCGGTGAGTTCCTTGAGGTTCTTCTCTCGTACTTCGGCCGCTCTTTCGTGTGTCTTGCCGGCTAGGATATCTATTCAAATAGTCAGCCACTATGATGCGCTAGACAAGTTGCTCTGAAGCTCCCTATGATCTCATCATGGAGCTCCAAGGAGAGCGGAGAAGCAAAGAGCAGAGAAGATGCGTACTCTCTCCCTTCATCTGGTATGCCTGAGCTGCCTCCTTGAATAATCGGGCAGCATCCCAGAACTTCTCGTCCGAGCCGCCAAACAGGCTCCAGCCGCCGCTGCCCTTAGACACGAGCTTCTCGGCCTATCCTCGACGGTTAGCCAAGTCCTGCCGCATTTCCCCAGCCCCAAGCAAGAGACAGAAGAGAGGCGCACCTGTTGAATAAGAGCCCGAGGATCATCCATGGTATCGAAGTTGTGAGTGAGGTGTATCAAAGAGGTGTATGGGAGAAGTGCTGGATGCGTAAAGATGGAATCGCTGGCAAGAAGACGGGCGCCTGGCGCTGAAGCGATGCTGTCTCTGGGGGTGTTTCAGAGCAAGTACCCAGTAACAGATGGCCGGTGGCCGCTGGCGGTACAAGTGGCGGAAGCATGTTAGGTGTGACTTGGACCTATGACGATGCTGAGGTGGCTAGTGGGGGTGGGGCGCAGCTACAGACTTCAGAGGCTGGTGCTTGAGTTCTGGATACTGCCGGATCTAGACTAAGCCGCCTCTGCTATCGTTCAGTATTTTGTACTGTCTTTTGCATGGTCAAAAATCATTGAGTGGATATCATTTACATTGAAGGTATCACCAGTCTCTCATTCACCTCTCGGAAAATCTCTACATTCAAGCCAATCACTACAAAATGTCGCTCTGCGCCAGGTGTCGTCTATCATGCCTCAGGCAAAACCTTCGCCCAAGGCAAATAATGGCCACTGCCTCTCTATCAACCAAATACTCGCCATCCTCAACAGCCCATGATATCCTCTCAAAACCAACCTGGTCTGTCAGCTCTCTACTTCCATCTGAGTCACATTCCGCACCAGAAATCATCACTCCAGCCCAGCTGCATCATCTTCTGCGTCTATCTGCTCTCCCCTTGCCCAAATCTCCAGCCGAGGAGCAGTCCATGATTGCAACGCTCCAGAGTCAGTTGCAGTTTGCGCGAGCTGTACAAAGAGTCGATACCAAAGGAGTGGAGCCACTTCGGGCTATTAGAGATGAGACAGAAGCTGCAATCAAAGAGATTACTATTGGATTGGAAGATCTAAAAGACGTGTTGGCAAAAGAGACCCTCGTAGGGCACTATCAACGGCCTAGGAAGACCAAGGAGCGTATTGAGTCTGATGCCGAGAACTGGGATGCTTTGGCAACGGCATCAAGGAAAGCCGGGAAGTATTTCATTGTTGAGAGTGGGAAGAAGGCTGAAGCGGGGGAACCCTAAATAACATTTCCCTCTTGTTGGACAGGGCCTCCTGTAGCCCTAGGATATATATATCGGTATATGCCTAGCTATAGGTTCCCCCATGCCCATCTGTTTTTTCTGTACGATACCCTTGATGACAAGTAATAAACCGATATTTCCCACCAAAAAAAACCTGTTAGAATAGTCTCGCCGTATGCTCCGCATCTCCGTCCTAGCATCCAAAAGCTAGGATAATGAATAAACGTGTACATTGAACCCTTTTAAGCAAACCCAAACAATATGTTCAACTCCAGCTGTGAGGTCTCTTCCCAGGAAGTCGATTGTGCTACTTGGGGACCTCTTTACCCGTATCCTTCGGCTTGGGTTTTGGTATCTTCTCGTAGGCATTTGGGCTCGGTGCCCTCTTCTTGCCGTTCGTTCTTTTGCCCCGTCCATGATGATGTCTATGTCCATGCTCATGGGAGTGGCCGCAGTCGTCCTTGTCACCGCTAGCCTTCTTCTTGCGTCTAGGTTCAGCGTCTGAATCCGAATCGGACGATGAGGAATCGGATGAAGACTCGTCGCTGGACTCGTCGACTCCCTTGGGTCGATGATATATGCAGCACACTATCCAAACACTGTCAGCTGCGTCTCCAGCTTTGCCCGTCGCGCCGTCGCGTAGTAGCCAGATCATCAAAGAGATGATATGATGATCCCCTTGCACCTCCTTGCAAGGCTTCCGCAAACATACCTTTTGAGCTTTTGCGACCCAATCCCTCGTTGTCCACCACGTCCTCAGCCCACTGCACCGATCTCCCGTTCGAAGTATGCCCTCCCCTCAAGCGCAGTATTACTCTGGGCGAACCCTCCTCTGTCTCTGACTGGATGGTATCTGTCGTCGTTTGTGACGCTGTGGGCGGTTGCGCGCTGCGCTCTTGCTGCTGCGACATGGTGGCAACGGCGTTTGATGTGTACGGACTCTCGGTGGGATGATTATTTGTTTTGCTTTGTCTGGGGCGTGCCTGTTGATCGCGCAGCGAATGAAAAGGAAGATTGAAAGCTTTTTTGCGTCGGTATCCGGAAGAAGGAAGGTTTTGTGTGGGTTTCGGAGGGGAAATGGATAAGGAATGATTGACAAGAGGGCTGTTGTTTTTTGTAGATGTCATCGATAGGCCAAAAAACGGCCAGGAACAGGTATTGGCCCCGCGGCTCCCCCAACAGGCATTTACTAAGTCAGGTGGCGTCATGCTGAAAGCATTGCCCATGATTTAATTTATAGTAATCTGCCCATCAGTGATAATGGAATATTTTGCTGCAACTTGCTTTTTTCTTCTTCTTGACTTTCAACCTTGATTTAATAGGTGCTACCTGATTTTATCGATAACTATACAAAATATATGGCATTTGGGTGTGGTAATAATATACATATCATACAGTCATCATTATAGTAGTATTGTACAAGGTCTTTGACATGTGACACCAAATTATGCGTCCCGGTGCTCCCCCCTTCGCTGCTTTTCAAGCTTCTTCGCCCCCTTCATGCTTCTTCTCGGGCGGCTCTTCTTGTGTTCCGCCAGCTCGCGTGGCTTGTTGTTCAGCCACCCGTTAATCGGCTTTCTCGACCCTATAAATTTGCCTTCAGGGGAGTAGATGTCAATGGCCGGCCAGTCTGGCGATTCCTGAGGCTGCAGCTGCGCCTTGGGCTCTGTGGCCTTGTCATATGCGGCTGTATCCCTCCTCATGCTGTACATGTCGGAAAACGGGTCACTCGTATCCTGAGGCGCCTCTCTTGGTCTTGTTTCCTGCTTCATTTCTCTGGGCGTATTCTGAGACTCTAGAATGCGCTCCAAGGTTCGTCTGCGAACTTGAGCCACAATCTCAACGTACCCGACGCCTTCGATGAGGATATCCACAGACAGCACACGGAATGGTAGCTGATCGACGCTCAACCCAATAGCATTCTTTCTGGTTAATGGCCCAGATCTCTTTTTGGTTACGTCGTGTTCAAGTTTGAATGTGCCAGCATGCTTCATCTTGTCTCCGGCTCCTGGCAAAGTGATATTTTCAAGGCCAATGGATTGGTGGCTTTGGTTTTGGAATGCAACAGCCTTCTCCGTTGAAGTCAGATGCTCGTGAAGTGGGGTAAAATTGTACATTAGAAAGATCATGTCTGGTGTTCGAGGCGTGATTCGAATCAACCCTCCACCGAGGAGCAGCGACGATCCGGGCTTGACAGTAACCTGCTCAGGAATGATACGCTTTTTCATAATGAGCGACTGTCTATGCTCTTCCTTCACATAAAGCTCAAGATCACTGCGCGCCAACCCGGGCAGATCGATGAGTTCTCCCTTGCCATTGCCAAAGGGAATGCGGATGGGAGATGCAGTTGTCCCCGGAAGTGACGAAACGATGGGCATGTCTGGATAATTCTGGGCCGGCTGGGGAGGGGGGAGGAGAGATCCGAAATTGACAGTCGCCAAGCTGTCGTCGTCCTCATCTGTCGTTGATTTGCCAGTAGATGAGCCTCCTGGATGTGTCGAAACGCTGGTCCGTTCAGGCTTTTCGATCATTCTGCCCTTTGGATAGATGGCCTCAAAAAGTTGACTCTTCCCTACGTTGACTTTACCCACCATCCATCCAGCGCCTCCACGGTTCCAGACATCTTCCTTGACAGTCTTGGTCCACCATCCCCGTCTCGCACTGACACACCTGACATTGCCAAGACGAACTCGCTGGCCAAGTCTTCCCAAAGCGTCGCGCAAAACGTCCTTCAAATAGGGCATCATGGCATCCACCATCTCCTTGGTAGGGCCAAGGAGATCGCCCCTCGTAATAATGAAGCTCATCTCGGTCTTGCGATCGTTCTGGTACTTGCCCGCTCGGGAGCGTCGATTGCGCGTGCGCAAGGGAACGTCGCCCAGCAGCACATTGAGTCGCGGGATGAGAGACATGGGGAAATCGGCAGCATCGATGACGTGGTAGATGTGGTTGTATTTGTGAGGCGACTCCTCAATTGTCTCGCGCAGAGACTCGACGCTTGGATGGTACATGGTGAGCTTTGCGGTGTCGCCTTTTGTGCTATGATGCAGCAAGTCATGACAGCGATCGCAAACAGGTGCTTTCTGATGTGATGTTACTGCGGGAAAATTAGCATGAAACTATATTCGAAATTGAAAGTGAAGATGTATCGTACAGGTCATGGCATCGTTGCTTGGCTCATCACCTTCAATAAGCATTGCGGGATCCAAGCCAAGCTCTTTCAGCTTGTTCTGGTCTAACGATCCGAGCGTAGCGTTGACAATCTTATCCTCATCCCCTTCAAGAGGATTTGAACGTCGTGCAACAGGGTGCAGCCATTCTCTCACCCTCCTCTTGCTCACATCAAAGTATCCAAGTTGGTCTGGATCCTCAGTCTGCGTGAATGCGCCACACCCAGAACAGGTCAACGGCAATCTTCGTGCCGGCTTCTGTGATGGTTCAGGCAATGGCGACGTCGTAGTCGATTCATTATTGCTGGAGACAGCTTCTGTGTGGTTTGCTCGTCGCTGGGAAATGCTCGTTGCCGCTCTTAGACTTATACTTGAGAGCCTGCTTGATAGTCCTACAACAGCAGGACACAGATATAGCGGCACTCCCGTTGAAGACCCAGCTTCGCCTACTCTCAGGGCCTGCCTAAGCAGCCGTGCTGTCAACGCCCTATGCATCCTCGTCAAAAGAATTGCGTTGGATCACAGTTCATGAAGCACGATAGAAATTATGTCATAAGAAAAAAAAAAAAAGACCCTTCAGAAAATGAACCTCTAGAAAATCAGCGGCAGTTGACATCCCCCACTGTCGCGTGGTTCACCCCACCATAAAAAAAAAGTCCCGGATGATTAGCCGGCCCGCCAAACTCCAACGGGTTCGCAGTCTGATTTTCTGAATTGGATTTCCTGGGACGACTTTTGTATGGTGATTGAAAGCCCGTTGCGATAATTGCTGCGCATCACACCCAGTCAGTAATTGGACCCTCGCCACAGCCGAGGCGCAAAGACACAGGCCAAGATGAGGTCATTAGGAGAGCGGTTAAACCTCCTTCGAAAGGTAACGTCTTGAAATCTACCGTGTATCTGCCATGGTGTGACAATCGCTAACCAAGAACCACTATAGAAAGTAAGAAGATAAATGTCCATGCCACTCTCGTCACGAACTCGACTTATACAGCCCTCTCACAGCTCATTAACATCAAATGCGGCCCCGGCGCAGCTATCCTCCCCGCGGAGGTCACCCGGATACACATGGACTTTGCCATCCGTCTAAAAGGCGGCCACATGGGAGCTAGGTTCGTTACCCACGGCCTCTCACGATGCCCCTCAAGACCGCCCCTCTAATGCAAGCTGCTTCGCAACAGGAAATTCTGGAAAGAATACCTCCCCCGCCTGAAATACCACAACCCTTCCATCCCCATGATCGTCAACCGCCACGACCAGAACCAGCTCCCCCCGACCATGTCCATCTACCTCCGCAAGGCCGGCTCCTCAGCCCCAGCTTCTTCCGAACCCCTCGCCCAACCTTCATCATCTCGCACCAACCTCTCCAAGGCGCAGCCTCCCACCGCGGATGAGCGCGTTGTCCACATCGACATGACCAACAAGCATTCATCACATATCCTCGAATTCTTCATGGCCGAGACCCGTGCCGTTCCCTTGCAGCCTACAAACGAGGAGATTGCCGAGATGCAGGCCCTCGAAACACTACGCAAGAACGCAGACGTCGACCGCGAGCGGGTACGACTTCTGAGACTAGAGAAGAAGAAGGAAGAGGATATGCTGAAGCGAGCAAGAGCCGCGGGTGGCATGGCAGAGCAAGAGGAGGCATAAAAAAAAGGAAGCTAGATATTTGTACGATAAGCGGTTATTGTTTGAGTATATGGCAACGTATCGTCCAAAAAGAAAAAGACGTATGGGCTGGATGCTAAATATATGACATGTGCTAAAATCCCCTAAGTATCGCAGACGCTTAACGGCGAGTACCTCGCATGCAAATCCAATCCAGGGGTATCGTGTGATAGTCAACTGCTCTAGTCCATGATAACAATGTCCAAATATGCTATATGCTGAAAAAGTTAAGTTATTGAATGGCGACTGCGATGTGAGAGATGCTGATTTAAATATACGGGCTATCGTAGCTACGCTGAGCCGATAATGGCTGCTAACCCTTTATTTGAGACCGAATCCTTCGCTTTCATGAACTGCTCTCCACAGCATTGACTCCAGTCTTTGCTTTGAAGTGTAACGCCAGAGGGACAGCATATTGAAGCACGTTCTGGCGATGGGGTACCTCCCACAGTCATCGCCCAAACAAGACAGCTTGATTGTTAGCGACGCAGCCCCCATCGCCGGTATGCGGTCACTTCCAGTAACAAATGTGAGTAGCTTGCGTTGGTCGCTTGGAGTAGCTTGTTGAAACGTCTCCCAGAACCAGCCAACGACCGGCTCTGTTTCATCTGGTTGCTTATTCTCCCAGTTATCATACTCTGCCACGGCTCTTAGAGACGCGATGTCCAGGGGCTCATCAGAACCTCTGATAAGGAGCTCAATCTCTTCAGGTCGGAAGAGGGAAAAGGCATTACCACCGCAGACTGTATAAAAGCCCCTCTTGAAGGGCTCAAACTGTCTCTTGACTGCTACGTCAAGGACGTGACGTACATAAAGATCGACATACTCGCGCCGGTTCTCATTTGTCACTGGCTTGCTTTCGCCACCAGGGCAGAGAGGGACTTGTACCTTGGAGCCATATTTATCAGTTTCAATGACAAAGTCCAAGCAAAACGTTTCTTCGACGTCTCCGTCAAAGGCCAACAGTTGTCTTAATCCATTCGCAAGTCGTGGAAGGTATTCAGCCAAATCATCTAGCGTATATCTCATAGGGGATCGATGTGTTATGATTGACCCAGGGGGGGAAGGAGCTGAAGCGAGGAGTTTTCGGAAAGCAAATGGAGGCAAGGCAACATCCAAAATGGTAGAATTGTAGATAGCCAAGCCCATAACAACACCAACCAAAAAGAACTGGTCAGAAGGCTCGAACGAGTTTGGATTGAAGTAGCAATATTGCGAATCGTCATCATAGATGAACATTCCTATACTTGAATTAGATTGACGGGTTTAGTAGTTGATAGGGTGATCATCATACCATAGTCGGGATTGAACACTTCACGGATGAGGAGCAAAAACCATTCTTTGCGCAGACCGCCTGCATCGATTCCCTCCTCTCCTTGGAATGAAATGCGAAGACCTTTCTTCAAATCTTCTCCGCCACTACCAATGACGCTGCTCACTGCTGTTAAACTGTCATCGACAAGGCAGTCTCGGCGTACATCAAGGACTAGATATTGGTTGATGTTCCTTCGGGTCATGATGCTATCGAAAAAGGCATCTCGAGCTTTGCTTTGCATCTGTCGACGGGCATCGTGCTCAAGGATGTGTGTTTTTGCCCATATGCTCAGGAGAAACGGATACTGGCAAAAGGAGAATTTGCCCCTCTTGGATTCCCAAGATTCAAAATCGTCAATGAGGTCGGCGTAGTCTATCATGGAATTATAGAAATCGGTAGGCGGAAGAAAGTATCCGGCAACACGCGCTGCTCCGTTCCAAGTGACTTGACCATTTGGATGAGCATCCTCGCTGCGACGAGTTGGCATCATGTTGTTTGCAAAGAATAAGAGAGATAGCACACGAGAAGCAGCTTTGATTTGCCAGTCATCTGAGTAGCATATCTTCTTGGTTGGTTCCTTGGTCTTCTTGGTAGGCCTAGGCCCGCCTATTGCATCGTGGAGAGACGCACCGCCGTGCCGACCAGCTCGCATCTGTGGTATCAATCCAGCTGTTGGGTCTACTGCTTGCTCAGTTTGCTTCTTCTCACTTTGTCGGATCATCCTATACGTCAAAAACCCTGATGCCAGCTCTTTCAGTTTGATGAAGCGCGCGGCATGGTACCTAGCCAGCCAAGTTATCAATTGGTTTTGGCACTCTGCCGATGCATTTGAGATCAAGCCCAGTATTCGTTTGATGACCCCGGAGTACTGGCCAGATAGGGGGCCTGAATTTCCAGCAGGGTTATTTGCATTCGTGTGCCTCGAACGCATGGACTTGGTCATCTCTAGCTGAAGTAGCCCATGGAAATTTTCATTCTCCGAATGAAGAGATGGATTTTCCATGATTATCAGCAGGAATCGAAGATCCATCGGGTCCTTAATTGGGCGGCCAGGTCTTTTCAGCAAGTTTTCCGTGACTTTTAACAGCAACCGCTGAGTATGAGCCTGCCCCTTGAGCACATCCTGCTCGATGGCACGAAGCTCTTGCTCAGCAAGATGGCCCAGAGACAGATCCGCCGAGACCTCTTCGTAGATTTTGAACCAGCCTTCCGCTGCATTGTTCACGACCGAGTACCATTCGTCGATATCGGCCCAATTCAGCTGCGGCGACCTTGTTAGTGGAGGTGGTCTGTGAACATGAACCGGCTCCTCCTTGTTGGGAGCTCTTTTCGGTGCCATAGTATCCTGCCCGGTCCACCACAGCCCATTTTCCGCAACATCGCCCAACAGTAACAATTTCGGGTCCAAGTCAACTATGGGAGAGTCAACTTCCATCTGAGATGGCCTACGAGGCGCACTCTTTAACTGTGCGGGCTGCCGCACGTCCTTTGAGGGGACTGAAGGACGTCGAGGGGTATCACTTGCGGATCTCGATGTATATCGAGGATGCTGTGTGGAAAAGGAAGAGTTGATACATTCAAAGTTATTGAAACAATTTGTAATGTAGTCTTCTAATTGCTTGAATATCTTTCTAGGATCATCAGGCTGGCCAGCAGACCGATCGCGGGGGCGCGAGCTGGTATGATTATTGTTGCTGTTGGGCGATGAACCTCTTAATCCTGGTTGCTCATTTGAAGACGAAGGATACGACCTAGACATTGCGATTGGAGGGTTGGCATTTGAGGTATTGGGATGTAGTGTTGGCTCCTCGTTCAAGGTATACTTGGTGAAGGAGCCCTTTCTTTGTGGAGTGATATCCAGTGGTCCATGAGTCCGTATGACAAGATCAGGGTGTAGTCGATCTTGCTGCAACGGCCAGTCGTCGCCAGTCTGCTCAGCCCGGGCCTCGGCTGACAAGCCGCGGAGTCTCCTGAGAACATATGATCGCAGATTTTGCCGGACCAGATACTTGGTCTGGTCGAGGGAGATGGGCAGATTGAGTTGACCAAAAGGGCTTGCTCTAGGACCTTGTCCTGGTGCCATACCTGGAGAAAGCGGCGGCTGCTTTGATGACGATGGACCTGGGCTTGTATCATGGCGCTGCTTGGAGCCGTGGCTATCAACACTAATTGGAACCAAGTCATTGATGGTCATACAAATGGTACACTTGAAGACCTTTAACTCCCTGGGCCACTTTACGAGCGAGGCGCATGTCATACAGTTGCCAGTAGCAAAGTCCTTGCTCATAGAGGGGCTTCCTCGCTTGTGCGTATTCACAGGCCTATTACTGGGAGCAGAGCCACCGTTTGCTTTATCCACGTCGACAGAGGGCTTTGAGGCCGAGCCCTGCCTCCTCCGGCCGGCGAAGAGCGATGGGAATGGATTGCTCATGGAGCGTGAGTGATTCGGTTGGCGGCCGCGATTCTGCTGCGAAGACGCTTCGGCGTCGGAGTCGGAAGAGCTGAGGTCGGGATTCACACGCGCATGGCTCGTCTTGGATTTAGCAAGTTGTCGTGTGAGCGACATGGGCGTATCTAGAGCATCTGAATGAAGTCGGCTGATGAGGTCGGTCTCGTCTCGCGGCGTAAACTCAGACCCGCGTCGGGCAGTGGGAGCAGGATTCGGAGGCGCCATCTCTGCGGTTGCCCAGGCGGCTATGATACGATGCTCCTACTTGCGGCTGTTGCGATCGACAGTGGCAGCAGCATCTGTGTATGAAGAAGGCAGAAGGCGTCGATGGCTGGAAGAACGGACATACGAGTACGATCTACTACTAGGTACAAGTAGCGCTCCAGGCATACGAGCACAAGCAGCAGCGCTTCACACGAGGCACAAGGCGCAGGCAGGCCGCCGGCGCACAGGGATGGCTGGTGATGAAGACCAGGGGCCCCAGGGAGGCTCTGCCCCCTTTGGTTTGATGAAGCGATTTATGGAGACGTCACTGGCTAGACGTCGAATAAGTAGTGGACTCTGTCGAGAGGGAACCGTGAGTACGAGCAGTCATACGGACTGGTGGCAGCGGGCAGTTGGCTGATCGGCAGGGGCTTTGGAAGTCTATCTTTTCAGTTGGACGAGGTTGTATCGAAACGCTGGGCTTGGATGGTATCAGCGCACGTGCAGACGAGGATCGGTAATTGGCACTGGAATCAAGAGGACATTCGTCACCAGTAGGAATCCCTGCCGCAGAAACGAGGAAATTGGACAAAGAAGAGAAGAGACGGGACAAGGACAAGCGCGGGCTGAGGCATTGCTTTGCACATCATGGGGCTGTTCCCACGGGTTTGTTCCCCTCCAATGTTCCATCAAATGCCGGTCGACCCCTGACGCCACAGACCGGACGCTTGGAAGTGGTTGGCTCTAGCGCCTGCAGTCTTACCTAAAACATTATGCAACATCTTATACGGCATCGTATTTTTGGAATCATCTGGGTGCAATAATTATGATGAGAATCAATCATGAGGAGAATCAAGCTGTGAATGTTTTTGAACTTTAATATTTTTAATTTTTCTATGTAGGACTAGCAAACACCATTAATTATTCTTTTCTAGTTATGAACTGCACAACCACAACAGCCCGGCCTTTTTTTTTCAAGATGCAAATTACTCTACAAGGGACACTTGATCAGCCATCCCTATTTGTAACACATCCCAGACGCCATCTTCTGCTCAGATATGTAGAAAGTTCCCTTTTTAGACTGCTTCCGCTTACAGAAGGAGTTCCAAGGGGTTCTCGAGAACCTTCTTGAGCTCACGCATCCACTCAGCACCAACGGCACCGTCGACGACCTTGTGGTCGAAGCTGCCAGTGACAGTAATCTGGTCATCCCACTCAACAACGGTCTCACCATCCTCATCCTTGGCGGGCACGGCGACCTTGCGGGTGGTGCCAACAGCCAGGATAGCGGCCTGGGGAGGGTTGATGACGGCAGTGAAGTGCTCGACAGCATCGTTCATGCCCATGTTGGAGATGGAGATGGTGCCCCCCTGGTACTCCTCGGGCTTGAGCTTGCCATCTCGTGCCTTCTTGGCGAGCTCCTTGACCTTGGCGGAGATGGACTCCAGGCCACGGCCCTCGACACCGGTGACAATGGGGGTGATGAGGCCAGTGGGGGTGGAGACGGCGACGGAGACGTCGACAGTAGAGAACTGACGGATAACATCACCGCGCCAGCTAGCATTGGCGGCGGGGACCTTCTTGGAGGCGATACCCATGGCCTTGATGAGGAAATCGTTGACCGACAGCTTGTACTTGCCCTCGCCGGACGTGTTCAGAGCCTGTCGCAGCTTCAGGAGCTTGCTCACGGAGATGGAGCTGGTGACGTAGAAGTGAGGGTTGGTCTGGGTCGACTCCTGCAGTCGGTTGGCAATGGTCTTTCGCATTCCGCTGATGGGAATGTCCTCAAAGGTAGCGCCGGGGGCGGCAACAGCCGGGCTGGCGACCAGCTTCTTGACGTCCTCCTCAGTGATCTTGCCTCCCTTGCCAGTGCCCTTGACGCCATCCAGGCTGATGCCCGAAGATCGGGCAAGTCGGACAGCGGCGGGGACAGCATTGGGCTCACGGTCGAGAGAGGTCTGGATTCTGCCCTGGGAAGCGTACTGCTCAGGAGCAGAGGAGGACTGAGGGGTAGAGGCGGGGGTGGATTGGGGAGCAGGCTCAGAGTCCTTCTTGGCCGCGGGGGCCGGGGCGCTGCCGCCGGCATCCTCCAGAGAGAAGCTTTCGAAAGCGGCGATGTCGGTTCCCTCCTCGACAAGGACAGCGATGGGCTATAGAGCGAATATGCTTAGTATCGGAAAGAGACGGAGGGGAATGGAAGCGCGAGAAAATCACTTACGGTGCCAACAGAGACATCCTTCTCGCCAGCATCCTTGAGGATCTTGGCAATAACACCCTCCTCCTGGAATTCAAAGTCCATCTGGGCCTTGTCCGTCTCGATCTCGACCAGAACCTCACCGGGGGCGATGGTATCGCCGGGCTTCTTCTGCCAGGCACCGATGTTGCCAGCCTGCATTGTGGGCGACAATGCCGGCATCTTGATCACCTGGTGGCTCGGGAAGGACGCATAGTAGCGGACTACGTGCGCGGTGAAGCCAGATCGCAGGGCCTGGTGAGTAGGCGCGAGGATACGCCTCCGAAGAGCGGCGCTGAGCATCTCGGAAAAATGTCTCTCACAGATATGCCGGGGCAGGCGGGCAAGTAGACGGGCGGCGAAAAACGGGCGGGCGACGTGAGGCACTAGGAGATGCTCACGGAATGATCGCAATTGACGCTGTATCCAAGGGTGAAGGAGGGACAAGCGAGGGCCCGAGGGTTGTTGTTAACACAATGGTCAAGGTGACGGACAAGTCGTTCAAAATCCCTTGGGGCTAGATTTTTGCGTTGAGCTCTTGCGCCTGGAAGCTTTGGGACCTAGCCCTCATTGGGGCTAGCGCCATTGGCCATTTCAACGTTTCTGGTCCATAATAGGCCCTGTTTCGTATCATATCTCTGAGTTGCTACTCCGTAGTAAGCGGGACGATTCCATGTCCATCAAGGGCGCTATTTTTTATTCACTCGCGGGATGGATTCCGGATTTTGTCAAATGGGTGGGATGAAGGTGGTGAAGAGGGTATTATTTTCCCTCTCCTCAATCGCATCAATTGGGCTCCATGGTTGAGTGAATTGGCATTGTCCTCTTCATCTTTTTTTCCCCCACCCCGGCCCGTGGCTTTTTTGGGTCCAAGGCACATGTACGAAATACGCAAATAAACCTAGCTGAGACTAACCAATAGTAGATGCAGCAATAAGAGCGCTGACTTGCTTCAACTCCAAGAGAATCATCACGATTATTTTCGAATTCTTGATACCTGCCCTAATGATAGATTCCATACTTTTACTAGCCGAAAAACTATCTCCTCACTTGGATAATCTCCTTATCGCACATCCCATCTTCTCCCTTTTTATTCGCTTTTAGCAGGCCAGTAGGTATTACAGAGTGAAAGCCAACAATACCCAGACGCGAAACAGCTACAGCAAAAAGAATATACCACACCTGGCTCAGCCATTCCACTCGATTGTGCCTACTACTTGATGCTTACATCAGTCAAGCCTCGGCTATACGAGCCTGAAGCTGATGAGCCTGATAGGAAACGATTTCTTGAATTTCTCGGATATCACGAGGCTGTTGTTGAATAGAGATCTCTCGGTAAACTGGGCTCCTTTCCCTGGTGATTACCTATCACTATTCTTTTAGGGGATATCAGTGATACTACTAAGTACCTTGGTACGTAGAGACCATAGAATTCCATTCATTGACATTGTTTCTCCCAATGACGTTCTGAACTCAAAAACTGCGCGTGCTCGATGTCCAGTGGTTGTCAAAATCGAAAAGTCTCATCACAGAAACCGCTGGAACGAACTCCAAGCCCACGAGATTGAGTAAACAATGTCAATTGGAGTCTTTAGTACCTGCTAGGTAGTTCCATTCGTCATCTCTAGGTATCTGTTCCCCTTGTGATCCATCCCCTGGATTGGACTGAACTACTGCCTATATGCACCATCCAAGGCTTTGATGCCCTCTCCTCGGGTGCCGGTATCCCCCAATTTGCAATTACAATGGATCTAGAGGAGATTCTTCCATAAGCAGGCACTTGCCATTCCATCACCGTGGCCATAGTGCCTCAGGCAGCAGAAGCTTCCTTGACCGCCCCTCGCACGCTCTTGCACGCTCTTGCACGCTCAATCAGAAGCTCCGTGAGTCATAGCGAACTTGTTCAGGAAAGAGCACAGCTCTATCGTAGGCGGCAGCGGTGCGCGACAACCAGTCCCTTCCTCAGTTCAGTTCACAGTTCACAGTTTACGTGCGCCTGGCGGTGAATCCCCGTCTATAAATCCTCCTCTTCTGCTCGTTTCCCTACTCCCTCTTTTCCCTCTCTTCACATCCTCTACAATTTTGACCATTTGCATTTTGGTCGCTGTACAATTTGCTGCCTCTTCTTTTCTCGGTGCCTCACACTCTTTTCTCGTTGCGCCATCTTTGGTCGCTGCATCATTTCAACTACGCTCGGTGCAACATCCTCTCTACTCTTCTCTACTACACATCATCTCTACTCTGTGTCTCTGCCTGGGCCACACGCGCTCGTGAGTTTGTCTTTGCATTCCATCCGGTCACACTGGACAGAAGCTAATATGATGCAAGTTGTTTCTTGCGAAATTTGCGGTGTCTTCTGGTGGTTGTTGTCTGGGTCTTCGTGTCGGTGTCGGTGTCGGTGTCGGTCGTCAGGGTCTTGTTGTCAATGTTGTCAGCCTCACTTCGTCGGTGGTCAGGGTTTTGTTGTCAGTGTTGTTAGTCTCGCTTCGTCGGTGGTCAGGGTTTTCTTGTCTGGGTCGCTTTGTCTGTGGGTAGCAGTATGAGATCGAAGTAGAGATGATGCAATACATTACATTCTTTGGCGAAAACATGTCCGTCACTCTCGTTCATGGTGAATTGTAATTGGCAAAATAAAAGTGGACTTTTTATCGGCATCATTAAAATGAAACCCTGATCTCTCCAAGTCATTCCAATTTTTGCATTGAGTCAAGGAATACATACCGACCTCGAAATACAACAAGATGGTTGGTTGGATGTGAGCCACGCCGAATGTACCTGTATGCACCGTTAAATGCCTGTCAATTTGGCATAATTGATGCACGTGGCAGTTGTTTTTATCTACCTAGGTACTTATAGTAGGGAGTGACTATTCAGCACCCCAAGTTCGCTATTCAGCACCCCATTCTTAGTAATAATGGCAACTATTAGAGGAATATATGGATAGTAGCAGATGGTAGCCATAGTAGCAGATGGTAGCCATAGTAGCAGATGGTAGCCATAGTAGCAGATGGTAGCCAGAGTAGCAGATACTAGCCATAGTAGCAGATACTTTAGGAACTGTGCAATATCTATTTAAGTAACGGTGATAAAAAATCTTTATTATACGTTGTTACTCCATTCGGAACTCCTCTTAGCCGCTGGGGTGTTGGATAGCCAGCTTGGGGTGCTGAATAGCCCTTCCCTTATAATATTCCTTGTGCTCCAATATGGATGGCTCTTGGATCAGAATGACTCAGTAGGAATCTCACCCCTTGCAAAGTCGTAAGGCACGACTATGGCATCAACCTCTAACTGGCCAAACAGGATCCTGATAAACAAGAAAATGCTACAAAGCAAGATCAAAAGCCAATGTGCAGGTCCGAACAAGAAATTGAGCTTTGATGCCTCCGTGCCTACCTCTAACATTGATAGAGTTATCGCCCCTCTGCCTCTCGGCCACCTTGTGTTTCTACTCCCCCCTATTCCCATTTATGTTGTTCTTCTTTCAACTCTCTTCGCCCTCTTCGTCCGCTTTTCGCAACGACTCTTGTTGTCATATACCGTCTTGATCCAATCTATTTCATCAGTCCCACTCTCTGACATTTTCCATCCATGTTCTCTCCCCCAGTAATAACAAAATGTCTGAAAACTCCAAACATGAGGAGCAGCCAAACGATACTCTTGAAGAGCTCCGGCAAGGGTTTCAAGAGCTCCGACAGCAGTGTTCAGCATTCGAACACAAACTACAAATAATGAAAGAGAATAACGAGAGGTTCGGTCGAGAATTAGAGGCGGCGCGTGACCAGATGCGGATAGTTGTTGAGGAGGTTCAAACATTGCGTCTGGAGAGAATGGAAAGGGAGAGGAGTGAGAAGACCCAACCAGAGTCTGAGGAAGTGGGTGAGGCGTCGCAGCCATGGCCCGAGGAGAGGGGATAAAAAAACGTAAGGAAATTGAAGCGCGTTCATTAATATGGGGGGGGGGGCGCTTCACACGACAAATACGCACGTTTTGGATTCCCCAGTCATTTGCAGCTACATATCGAGGAGGTCAACAAGATCTAGGACGAGATCCTTGCGCAAGAAAGCTTCCCTCGCCGCGGTTTACTATCTTAATATAACGGCCCGTCCGCTTATTCCAACACTTTTCAGGTCAATATCGTTCTGGCGGACGATGAAGAGTAAGCACAAGTCTTGTCTCCTTCGTCTGACAAGCAGTCTACTGACTCTTAGTGCCAGCCTTGGAGCTGTACGAAGTCTTAATATGCATCGGTTACTTCAAGTAGTGTCTGACAAGGCCGAACTTGGCAGCAGATAGATATATGGTGCTGGTAGAAGCCCTTTTGCAACAAAGCTCATTGCTATATATTCGGCTCTCCCTCGCTAGTGTTCATGCCAGGTTTCTGTCGATATCTGCCACGGTTCATCTCCACTCTCAGCTATATTATCGTCCCCCTCCAGTTCATGGAGAGACATCGGGATATGGGTAAGAGAATTGACCAGCAATTCGATGATATGAGCGAAAAATTAATGCCGTAAAAATTACAATGCCGCTGTGTCCCAGTTTTTTCATATGCTGTTCGCTTAGCCGTCTGCAGCACCTTGATTGGCCATTTCTGCGTTGGGCTATCCGCAGCGCCATGCCGTGAACATAAACAAATGTCGATACCCGAAAAGAAATAGCAGCTCAGACGTCGACCCGATTCACAGGACCAACAACAATTGCCAAGTCCAGAGATGCCGTGGTTTTAACCGACATGCATAACGTAATCCGAATCCCGCATCGCTTGCTTGCACGACCCAAGTTTGCTCAACAGGGGGGAGAAAAATCAAGCAAACAAACAGACGTATAAAGCAAGCCGGCGCCATGGCCGAGTATGCATGTAGCAGCCAGTCGTCTGAATCAACGTCGGAGCTGCCGCCGCTGGAGGAGCTGCTTCGTGACGTGCCCATCAAGCCCATCAGCAGGAGCGAACAAGCGATCAGCAAACAGAGGGATTGTGGTGATGGCGAGAACACCAGGGAGAGCAGCATCGATAAGGACATCACCAATAAGCGCAGCATCAGCAGCAGCAGCAGGACCAGCAGCAGCAGGACCAGCAGCGATAGGATCAGCATCGACATGGCCTGCGCAACCGGCAATAGGGAAACCAACAGCCCCGAGTTCGATCCCATCCCTCCCCTGACAGACACCTCCAGCGCCATCTTCGTCCCCATCGCAGAATCTACCAAGCTTCTCTCGCCTCCCCAGTTCGTCCCCGGATCCTTTGACTATCACCGTGCCGCCCTCAACATTCTCACCAATCATGAGGCCACTGTCCGCAACAACATCCAATCATATTACCAGCGCGAGATGCTGCGCATCAACCGCGAAGCAGAGGCCCGCGACCCGTCCTTTGACTATTTCACCGCCGTCGCAAATGTTCGAAAGGAGCACGAGGCCGCGCTGAAGCAAGACATGGACACCATGATTGCGAACATGCGCGAGCGCGACAATCCCGCCATTGACTACAACATCAAAAGCATGCCTTATCCCGACATGGACAAAGTCCCCGTGACATACGTGCTGGTCAACTCGCCGCGGGAATCCGCCGCCCGGGACGTCATGAGGGTCATTGCGGCCGCTACAAAGGAAATCTCCTCCTTCGACAACCATGTGCGTTGCATGAGCGACGCCATCAAGATGCAGATGCAGGCTGCGGCCTTGCGAGAGAAGCAGCAGGGTCGGATGAACATCGACTAGAAGCCGGTGCGCCGATCCAGCCTTCGCTCTCCTTCTGCAAACAAGCCCAAGAAGACGGTCCGCTTTGAGGACCCCGTCGTGCAGCCTGAACGCGGCGAGAGTGGCTTCGCTGGAAGAAGATACTGAGCTCCTGCAAAAGAAAGGAGAAGAAGGGAGCAACGACGTTACGCTTGCATGCCTGCTGTCCTACCCGTGTGGATGCTTTTGGGGTTACACCGCATATACGCAAAACAATGTGGCCATACTTCATCTTCACCCCTCATAATTGGCATCAACACAAGGGCAGGAGAAAAGGGAGGGAGTGAAGAGACAAAAGCCAACTTTTTGGTCAACATATTTACCACACTCTTTCTAGCCCCAACGTCCTATATATGTACAAATTGACATACCGCTCCGGATCTGCAAGGGAAATTCTTCTATTTTAATACATTCACCTATCTTAAGCACCATACGCAATCTGGCCCATGGGCCTGTCCTCCTCGACACCCGGAGCCATGAAATTCGTCCTGGGGTCGCCAGTGGCCTTGGCCGCCGAGCAGCGTGCCATTGTCGGTGAGCTAGGAAGAGGTTAGCGTGGGTTAATACACCTTGCGTTCGCGTTTGTTTTGATATAGAACATAGCATAGAGCATACGACGTAGAGCAATATATACAAGGGGGAAAGCACATACCTTCTAGAGATGACATCTGTGAAGTAGAAGTTCTCGATAACCTTCTTCAGAGGCTGGTTGCTAGCCTTAGCACCCTTGTTCTGCTCCACAAGCTGAACCTTGCTCAACTCCTTCAGGGCAACAGGCTCAACAACGTCGTAGGCAGCCAGGGCAGGGCTGATCTCGACCATGCGGTCTCGCACAGCGGCGACATCGTCGTAGGGAAGAGGAGCGCCAAGGAACTCGGAGGCAGCTCGGAGAATCTTCCAGTCAGTGCGGGCAGCACCGGGCAGCGAGGTGGCAGCACGGGTCATCTGCACACGTCCCTCGGTGTTGATGTAAGTTCCAGCCTTCTCGGTGTAAGCAGCGCCAGGAAGGACAATGTCGGCAATCTGAGCGCCGCGGTCACCGTGGTGGCCCTGGTAGACGACAAAGGCGTCCTTGGGGATATCGGCCTCGTTGACCTCGTCAGCGCCGAGGAGCCAGACAAACTTGGGCTTGGTCTGAGCAACCTCTGCGGACGGGGTGACGAAGCCAACCTCAAAGGCACCAGCCCTTGAGGCTTCCCTCTGGAGAACGTTGTAGCCGTCCCACTCAGCGGTCCTGAAGTTGGCAGCGTTCTGGTTAACAAAGGTGCCGACGGTCTCGTAGAAAGCCTTGGCGTCAACGTGGTCGGTGACACCGGATCCGACGATGATCATGGGCTTCTTGGCGGCCTGGAGCTTCTTGCCAAAGGGACCAGCCAGAGCCTTCTTCAGGGCGGCGTGGTCGGCTCCCAGGTGCTCGAACTCGAAAGTGGATTCCCAGGTCTCGCCAACGACACCAATCTCAAGGTCGGAGCGCAGCCACTGCTTACGGATGCGAGCGTTCAGGACAGCGGCCTCGTGTCGGGGGTTGCTTCCGACGATGAGAATGCAGTCAGCCTCCTCAATACCCCAGATCTTGGAGTTGAAAAGGTAGTTTGATCGCACGTCAACACCGTGAGCAAGAGGCTGGCTGCCAGTGGGGGTGTCGAGAGCAAGGTTCTCAGATCCCAGCTTGTTGGCCATGTCCTTGGCAACGACGAGGGACTCTACTTCGGTCAGTGCACCGGCAATGATCTTGAACTCATTGCCCTGGGGGTTGGTCTGCTGGTAGGCCTTGGCAATCACGGTCAAAGCCTCCTCCCAATCAGCAGTCTCGAATTTTCCTTCTCGTCGAATCAAGGGAACAGTAAGGCGCTGGGTCTTGAGACCATCGCAGGCGAAACGAGTCTTGTCGTTGATCCACTCTTCGTTGACGTCGTCGTTGAGTCGGGGAAGAACACGCATAACTTCTAGGCCACGAGAGTCGACACGGATGTTTGAACCCAGGCCGTCGAGAACGTCAATTGACTCGGTGTGCTTCAGCTCCCAGGGACGAGCTCGGAAAGCATAGGGCTTAGAGGTCAGGGCACCAACGGGGCAGAGGTCGATGATGTTTCCAGACATTTCCGAGTCCAGATTCTTCTCCAGGTAGGTACCGATTTGCAGGTCGTTGCCACGGCCAGTCGAGCCCATTTCAGGAGCACCAGCAATGTCGTTAGCAAATCGAACACATCGGGTGCAGTGAATGCATCGGTTCATGGACGTCTTGATCAGGGGTCCAATGTTCTTGTCCTCAACAGCTCGCTTGCCTCCAATCTCGTGGAATCGTCCTCGGTCGGCACCATATCGCATAGATTGATCCTGGAGATCACACTCGCCTCCCTGGTCGCAGATGGGGCAGTCGAGGGGGTGGTTGGCCAGCAGGAATTCCATAACACCCTCGCGGGCCTTGTGTGTAAGAGGCGAATTGGTCTTGACAACCATTCCGGGCTGCACGGGCCAGGCGCACGAGGCCACGGGCTTGGGGGCCTTTTCAACCTCAACCAAGCACATACGGCAGTTACCGGCAATCATGAGTTTTCTATGAGGTGGTATGGTTAGGGATTCGGAATCGCTTCAAGAGGGGCGAGGAGGGGTAAATCATTCGTACTCGTGGTAGCAGTATCTGAATCATGTTAGCATGTGTATTTCTTGCAAGTTTTATACGTTTTTTTCTCCTGTTTAGCAACTGACCTAGGAACAGTAGCTCCGGCCTTTTCGCAAGCCTGGATCAGAGCAGATCCGGCTAACAATCCATGTCAGCATCTATGCCCTCTTCTCCCGCAACGCAGCACCCCTCCATTGCAGAGCCATACCTTCGATCGAGACCTTCTTTCCATCTGCACCGCCGTTAGCAACTCGCCCCAGCTCCAATTGCCCGCTGCGAAAAAGAATGCTTACCAATGGTGAGCTCCACCTCTGCTGCTCGTCTGGGCGTTGTCGCGAAAGCCCGCGAGGCGGCGGCGGCCCGCCTGCCGGTCCGCCAAGCCGAACGTGCCAGAGACTGTCGGAGCATCGTGTCGCCTTGACGGATTGAACGTGATGGACGTTGCGGCGAGTTGAAAAAGGGCTCAGTTCGAGTGGGATGGGCGTCGTCGAAACGGATCTGCTGTCTGGATGGTTGGAAAGCCCATTTCCAGCGCTAGTGGGTTTCCCTTACGGATCCATTTAGGAGCACGCTCATTGGCTGCAGCTGGCCATGCCGCTGCCTGAGGCACCGCTGTCCCGCATTGCCAGCGACCTTTAATTTGCTGAGCTTGGCTCAACTTTTTTTCTTCTTTTTCTCTTTTGCTTCCATAATTGTACACGGGCACATTTTATTGTAGGTGAGCTTGGGCATCGCGGTCTACAGCTGTAGGCCCGTTGCTTCTGTCGAGTCCTCCTCTATCTTGTGCTCCAGAAAAACTCTACGCCGATTATGGAAGCATGGGAGAGAATTTTCATCTCGATGAACGCTGCCTCTTACCGCCGGTCGTTACATTTCACCAAGTAAAAGATGCCGTAGAATTCACAGTCATGACTGCTTTGTAAATTGATGTGAAAGATGAACCTCATGGGGGCGCAATTGGACTGTATTCGGCTTGCTATCTATGAACTGCAGCTACACTGCAGCGCTCGCTCAAATCTTGGCACATCGCCAACCCATCTCTGTTCCTCTGCTTGGTCGCCCTTGTACTCAACACCGTCGATTGCGACTCCATCCCATGAGTCTTCAAAGGGGTGAAGAGCCATATGCATGATGCGATCCAAGACTTTCCTCTCGCCTTCTTTCTCGACACGCCGTATCACTTCATCCAAGATCCAGCCTCTGGGGACGAAGTTGGGGTTGGCTTGCTTCATGGCCTGTCTTCTTTCGGCATCTCTATCCTCAGACAGGACATCGGAAGATTCTTGTCCCCAGTCTTCCAAGACACGTGCCCGCCATTGGTCTAGCCATTTGGCGATCCTCTCCTTTGCATCGTCTTCACTCACTGCCTGAGGCGGTCCTTCTTTGTGAAAGAAAATGGCCGCCTTTTCTTTTCTACCGGCTGAGTCTGCAATATCCGCCAGCTTAATAGTACTCAAGCGGCGGAAGAAGTGGTTGAAATCCAACTCTAAAGCTTCCATAGTATCAAGCGCTTCACTAAAGAGCTCATTGAAATCTGTCTCTTTGAAGTGGCGCAGGCCAACTCTCGCTGTCATTAGTCGCTTGTATTCATCCAGGAAGACAGCTTTGTATTCCTCTCCGGTTTGCGCGATTAGTCTTTCTGCTCGCTCAACCAATTCTTTTTCCTGCTCTTCTTTGATGCCTTTGTTGACAAAAGTCTCGTCATCAACTTGAGACCCTATGCCGATAAGCTCTCCAAGATCCACGCCGAGCCTCACAAGATTCCACCATATAATGGTAGGTTGATTCCTATAGTTGTAACGCAACATGTGATCGTCGTGGTTTGGAGTATATGATGGATCAAAGTTGTCCATAAACGCAAAAGGCCCATAGTCCATCGACAGGCCATATATTGACGTGTTATCAGTGTTCTGCAACACAGGTTAGTAACTGGTTTTCCCAGAAAATCTTTCGCGATGCGGTACATACCAAAACACCGTTCATAAACCCATAAGCCTGCCAGTGGGCTACAGTCACGGCATTTCGCCTCACAATCTCTCGATACAGTCGTTGAAATCTATTCTCGGCCGCATTGCTAGGCCCTTCAACCTCAGAAGCCGGTATACCACGCTTGGGAGGTGGTGATTTGGCAGGCACTTCAGGCGACTCTAGTCGTCCGGGAAGCGTTTCCCATCCGCCAAAGACGTCCTCCGCGATATATGTTGCAAGCTTTCTGGTGAGAGCGCGATCTCCTCTTGCCCGTAGTATATCAAAAGTGCCAATCCGCAGCCACGATTGGGCGAATCGGAGCACTATGGCCCCAGGTTCTGTTGTCTCTCTCATAACCTTAGAATGAGGGAGCAAAGTAAGAGACAACGCTCTAGTTGTGGGTATCCTTAAAGCATTGAGTGCTTCGGAAACAACAAACTCTCGGATACTGGATCTAAGCACGGCCTTTCCATCTGCAAATCGAGAATATGGGGTCAGGCCAGCTCCTTTGAGCTGTAGCTCATATCGCACATTAGAGACTGGGTTAGTTGTCTCAAACAGCGAAATGGCTCTTCCATCTCCGAGCTGTCCCGCCCACTGGCCAAACTGGAAGCCGCCGTAACATTGCGCCCAAGGATATCCGCCTTCCAGCTTTGTCTCATCCCAGCCGTATAGCTTGTTACCAGCTACCAGCTGCCGGAAATCTTCGGTTTTCTCTTCGCCCTCTTTGATTCCAATATCCCGCAATGCGACAGGGCTCACAGCCAACAGTTCGGGATCTTCCTGTTGGCTTGGCCGCACCCAAGTAAAGAGGGCATCGCGGACTTGCCGGGGTGTGATTTGGTCTCGGGGAGTCTTATGAGAGTCTGCCGGAGTTGGAAAGGCTTGATCCGCGGGCAGTGAGGCAGTGAAGTTCCATGATTTGGGCAACTCGTCTAGTGAACGGCCCTCGTATGGCTTTTCCGATGAGGCCATGGTTCGCGCACTTCCACTATGCCGGATGAAAGATCGTGCTGATGGCGCGCCGAGGATCCTCAGCGACAGAGTCCCTCTTATGAAACGGCTTGCATGGAGTTGTCTTTGCAGCATGAGCGACGACTGGCAGCTGTGTTACTTGGCCGGATTAAGGCGATTACAATCGGATAATGCGCGGGAACAGTTGGGAGCTGCTCTGTGACATCACCGAACTGGCTGCATGTTGCCCCACCATGTAAGCAGCAGCTAAAGCGACACGGAATAACCATGCCGCGGCATCGGACCTCCGAGATAGCAACTGCTGGAGGCAAAAGGCCCCGTATAAGATGATGCAAGGGCTAGTAATAATTACTTGATACCGAAGAAGAAATTCTTGGCCGATTTTCAGGTAGACCATACAGGTATACTTATACCGAGCAAGTAGATAAAGCAGACAGGTTATTGAAGGGAGGCGCTATTCAGCACCCCGAGTTGGTTACTCAACACCCCAGGGATTACGTCGAGTATCATAACGAAGCACCGCTACTTTCTTCTAGTATATATTACTACAATTTTTTAAATATCCCTTTAGTATCTGATATTACTACTACTTACCAGTTAGTACTCCGTATATATCTCGAAATTTAGAGACACGGGGTGCTGGATAGGTAGCCAGTCCCTATTAAAATACATGTACAGATTCAGCTTCATCCTCACTGCCCGGCTAATATCACTTAGCATCAAGCTAATCATATGGCGTGACGCACATCTGCTTCCACCTCATCACGTCTACTAATCCATGCTGTCTATCCCAATACGTAGAAGTTAAGAGAGTGCAAACAAGGCGTGCTCTTTGACCTGTGTAATCTTAACGTGACCCCCGACAAACCACCATCTCGCATCTCAGCTTGTTAGATGCAGGCCACTAAGAGACTTAACCTGTAGCCGCATCCATGCAACAACATAAGCGACATAATAGGCGGCTGGCAAATCGGGCCGCGCCCGATTTTCTTGTAAAGCCTCAGCTGAAACATTCAAACCACCACTCTGTAATTCTATCCTTATCCCCACGAAGTAGCCGCAACTGCATTTATCATCATCAGTGGGGTAATTGCACGCCATGCGCCAAAGCGTCTTGAGCCTTGCCCCTCCACTTATAAATAGGTCCAGCTACTCATGGACTCGCTCAACCCCCTCTCTTTGTTCATTCAAATCTCCTCGACAACAAACAGTGTATCTTGGTCAGAGACTGTTCAACTCTACCGCCGTCAAGATGTCGTTCCCACCTACTCTTAAACTCAACGACGGTAACGAGATTCCACAGGTATGACCCCTCCTCATATTAATTTCCAACTTCTCTCGGTATTAAGTTGAGCCGATACTGACCGGGTTTCCAGCTCGGATATGGTCTTGGAACTGCCCGATTCAAGCGCAGTGGAGGGCCACTAGATGCCGACCTCGTTGAGCTCACAAGAAAAGCCATCGATATTGGCTACTACCACCTTGACGGTGCCGAAGGTATGCCGGGGACGTGAACAAAGTCAGGATTAATTGCAACGTTTCTAATCACAAGTCTTACTAATAGTATATGGAAATGAGGAGGAACTCGGCGCTGCCATCAAGGCGTCAGGCGTTCCCCGAGAGAAGCTCTTCGTTACCACCAAGATTACTGCCCTAGAGAAGAAGAACACTGAAGAGGCTTTCGCCCTCTCACTGAAGAAGCTGGGTCTGGATTACGTCGACCTGTATCTGATCCACGGTCCTTACTTCGCCGAGAACGACGAGGATTTGCAGCAAAAATGGGCTGACCTGGAGGCCATCAAGGCTTCTGGCCGAGCAAAGTCCATTGGTGTCTCCAACTTCCTCCAGGAGCATCTGGAAGCCATCCTCAAGACAGCCAAGGTGGTGCCTGCGATTAACCAGATCGAGTACCACCCTTACCTCCAGCATGGCGATCTCGTTGCGTTCCACAAGAAGCACAACATTGCCATTGCCTCATATGGCCCCTTGGTACCAATCACCACCGTCAAGGGCGGCCCGGTGGTGCCCGTCTACAACAAGCTAGCGGAGAAGTACGGTGTTACTGACTCCGACGTTGGTCTCCGATGGGTTCTTGATCAAGGCATTGTCACACTCACAACCAGCTCCAAGGAGTCACGGTTGACTGGCTACCTCGAGAGGCTGCCCAAGTTCAAGCTGGCGGACGAGGAGGTTGCCGAGATTTCGACGGAAGGAAACAAGAACCACTACCGGTCATTCTGGAAGAACAAGTTTGCTGAGGACGACAGGAGGTAGACAATGACGACCACCTCAGCTAGTTATTCCTTTTAGACATAATAATAAGGTTATAGATTGGTAGGTGTAAACACTAGCCTTGCTTGTAAGCTGACGTGACGTGTTGGCGGAATTGTTATGTTGTGTAGGTACATGTATTGTATGTATCAGCCCCGTGATTACAGGTACTATTCGAATACTACAGTACCTCATTCCATACTCTAATGGACGAGCCTCAGTTATTCTCACATACACAAGTCCTTGAAGGAGAAAAAAAAAAGATTGCTTTCCTGCGAATGTACAATGCGTATATAACAGAGATTTTTATTTGTCGCCCAAAAGCAAATCTGTACAAATCGCCATCAAAGAATACACAAGTAGTTTATCTGTTCCAGCAAGTCTCTCTATCCTAAACTGTATACGGCGTCTGCATGCCTTAACGTCTCACTACAACCTCCTGATCTAGCATTATTAAAGGCCCGCAGTATCCATTATTATTCATGTTTAATGTTTGAGCAAATATTTCCCTGTCTCGTCATGGCTATCCGCTTCACAGTTCATCATCAGAGTCTGTCTCCCCCTCTGCCGCTGGTGCTTTGGCCGGCGCCGCCTTCTTTGCAAAAGGCAGACTCCTCGGAGCCGGGGGTTGTTCAACTGCTTTCTTGGGAGGAGGCGGCGGTGCTCTAGGCGCAGGTCCGGCGCTGCTATCAACTCCTGACCCAGAATTATCATCGTGGGTATCACCGTCATCGTCGTCGTCGTCATTACCGTCGTCGTCGCTACCACCAGACGCTGTGTCCTCTGCGGTATCCTCTTGCTCGCTGTCTTGAGGCTCAATTTTTATCTTGTCCACCTCCATTTCATCATCTTCTGGCTCTTTTGATGGGGCTTCCACCGCCTGGACTTTCCGTTTTCTAGGCCGAGAAGGGGCAGGCGAGCGAGATGGCTTAGAGTCCAGCGGTTGCAATCCTTGAGATGCTGGCTGACTGCTTTGGAAAGGGCCAGCGGCAAGGACCTTTCGCTGTTCACGGATTTTTACCTTCTTTTCATTAAGGAGATCCCGGAATTTCAGAAGTAGGGCTGTTTCATCGTCTTGTTTTGACGTTATAAGTTCGTCCAGTTGTGTCTTTAGCTCCTTCACGGTGGTTTCAAGCTCCTTCGCATGGGCGGCGGCTTCAGCCAAGGCCACGTTGCTTTGTGTCAGAGCATCGGTGGCCTCGGCGCACCATTTAAAAAGCTCTATGCCTTCATTTTCGTCATGCTTCAACTCTATGGAGCCGAGTCGTTGCTATATTGAAAGCTCAAGTTAGGCTCGTCAACTTCCGAATGCGCAGATTAGCAAGAGATTCCTACTGTAATTCCTTGAACTCGCTTTCGGACTGTGATTGAGAGAGAGGTCTCGCTCTCGATGCCGACCGTTGCTTGTATATCCGCAGTTGGCTGTAGTGCGAACAGAGACTGCAATATGGCCTGCCATTCAGACTCAGAGACAGGGCAATTCGGGACCTGTAGTGAAGCTACGCGATCATGTTTCACTAGTACGTGTTAATATGCGGCGTGATGACTTGATTGATAGGGGCCGTACAAGAAGTCACGTATGGCGCTTCGCCTTCTGTTCCAACAAGCTTTACATCCAAGGGTTTGGAACCATTCTGGATGACTTGAATGAGGGCATAGGTGGATTCATCATCATCTCGGGGGAGCTTGATGACTCGTGACGCCGCCATGATTATCTGCACGCGTCGGCTCTGGAGTCAATCAATTTGAATTGGATGGAAGTCTGCAGAGGCACGGCTTGATGAGTGCGGTCGTGTGAGCAGATAAACTGAGAGGCGTTGAATAGGCAGCTAAGGAGAAGTGATGTAACTATTGTTTCAGCGTGCTTCGGGGCCGAGAGAGGGAGAAACTAAGATTATTTTCGTTTGGTGCTCTGTTCAGTTTGTTCCTTGTAATGTGGAGTGTTTATTTTTAAAGGTGCAGGTCGATGTGATGTTGTTGTGTCTTACAAGCCAACGGCTGTGAATCTTCATCGAGGTGGAGGCTCATGGCAGCCTTGCGCCTAGCGTGCTTGAACCCGCTGGAAGCAGGCAGAGAGTCCACTGCAGGCAGCTCCGGCCAGGGAACTGAGCTTCTGCTGCAGGTACGGCTACAAGCTAGGTTGACGGTGGCTTGCTGTGGCGCAGGCGCCTCCACAGGTACATGACCAGAACCAGGTTGTCAAGTGCGGAGGTTTGCTCCGTACCTGGTGAGGTAATGGACTACCCGCTGTCCAGTCTCTCAGGCGTCATCCCTCCACCCACAGCAGAATTATACAGGTTGCACATAATGTGCACGAAGAAAGAATAAAATAAAATAAAAATGAAAAAAAATCTACAATGCTCTTCGTATTCGCAATACGAAGTACAGGTATTCCAACTCGTACCTGTGCCCGTACGGAGCAGTTGGGTAGTAATATCGCCCAGGCCTAACCGTTTCTTGTTGGTTTCGAATCGTGTCAGGCATCTGCTCAGAAATCATTCCGAGAACTTTGCGCCGTACGGGGGTCCGGGGCGCGTTTACACACGTGGGAAATTAATCCAATGTCCACCCGCCGGCCGAGAGGGTCCGGGTAATGAGATTTTGGGAAGAAGCACCGCTATTATGCCCAACAAAGCGGCTACGCACTGTAAATTATTATCAAGCAAGTACTTTTATGTTATTAGCAGAGGATGTTATACAGTACTAGAGGTGATTTCTAAAATCCAGAAGAAGCAGATAGATCAAGAAGATGGATGTGAATCTATAGTAGCAAATAATTTCACATACGCAGTACCTTAGTACTAAGGCATATGGAAGATACACCTAGATATTTGAAAGCACAAAATACAGAAATACTAAAAAACACCCATAATAATCTCTTCTCATGCCTCAGAGTACAAGTAGGTAGCCATACAGTATGAGAAGCCATTGTTGTTTGGCTTGGCAATTTGTGGTCCCGCTTATGTTGTCCGCGGCTTGCCAACTACAGCCCAATACGGCTAGGCCACGTTCGCCTGGAGGACGAGATGCCCACTCGCCTCAATCTTATGAGTGCGAATGGCGTGTCTTGGTGCTGAGCGCGGCTTGTGAAATGATTCAAACGGCTCAGGTAACGCTAATAAGAGTAGGTTCAGTACAGGCTAAAAAAGCTATGAAGCTACTATGTGCTAGCAGTTAGTATTGGATGTACAAAATCGAGCTCTACCTCTATACAGTATAGGTAGGTACCTTGGACTGCTAATATAATGCTGTGTTTGCAAAACATCTCCAGACGCGGCCTAATCAAAAACAGAGCCCAGTTCAGGATCGTCCTTCTCCATGCTCTGTGCTCTGTGCTTCCCGCGCTCCGGGCTCGCTTCGCAGCGCCTGTGCCTGTAGCATATGCATAGGTTGGCATATGCACGAGACACACCAGCCAAGGGCCCTGTCCGATCTCTCTCTCCACCCAGCAAAATCTGACAATTGATGGGGCCTGCGCGCATGATTGGCAGCTTGTTGGGTTGGTAAGGATAGGGGGCCGGGATGAGCGCTGGGGGCCTGCCGTGGTTGTCGTGGTAGCAGGAATCAACTGCAGGTGAGGCGTCATCAGGAGACGAAACGCTCAGGCACAGAGTGGGCGGATGGACAGATACGGAGTAGCCTTCCAGCCAATTTCATGCACAGCACCACGGCGAGATTAGGATGAGGATCGTGAGTCCGGAAGCGACTCCACCTTCAATATGAACAGATCATGGGTTAGCGAGCCGGCTACGCAGCGTGAGTAGGGGTTATCCATGAGGGTAGTAGAGAAAAATTCAAAGCGAGAAAAAAAAGCACATGCAACAACGCGAGATCACGTAGTCACGCCGAGACGAGAGAGTACTCCGTACGAGAAAAAAAAAAGGGGGGAATATAAAACCGGAAGAGCATCCCCAAACCCTTTGGCCCAATTTCCCACCTACTAGGGAATCCACGCTCAGCATAACAAATTGTGAGCGCTCACCTGCTGCACTTGTGCTCGTGCAGTGCAAAGTACGAGTACTTGTACGGAATCTCGGTGGTCCAGGGTAGCAACTGAGAGGAAGACGGGACGGCAGTCAAATTCCTTGCTCAGCTGTGGATTGAGTGGCCCAGGCGCTGCTTGTCGCTGCTCTGCCACTGAAATCTCTATGCAGGCTGCCCCCACCACCTGATCCTCGCCAATCCGACAGGTTACAGGCAGTCCAGCCACTGTCCACAACGGACCCCCAGCCTTTCTGTTTCGCCTTCGCATCATCAGCTGCGCCCAATCAATTGCCGCTGACAACATCAACAACAACGTCGACGCCTTATCGCGCGCCCATCTAAAAAAAGCATCTCAGGGCCCCAATAATCGAAATCGCCGTGCTGCATCATCAGAATCCAAAGGAGCGTCTTTGCATCGTATTGCCTGCCATCTGCCGCTGAGCGTCGGGCGCCTTTTGTTTTGTTTTGCTGTGTTGTTATTGCCTTGGGAGCGGGAGCGCATCACCAGCGCAGCGCAGCGCTGCTAGAGGAACGAGTCGATTTGTGCGCACCGTAGCGACGACGAACCCCGACCTTTTCTGCCCACCTTGGAGGAATAAGCCGACTGCCACGTCATAATCCAGGAGCGGCCTTGTGAATTTTGGGAAAAAATCCAGCGATGGACGGCTGCTATTGAACGGTTATGCCTCCGCCCAATTGCTGTCGCGACCGGCCACGACGAACCTATCCGAGAGACTGAAAGTCAATTTACCCACGCTACCCGAGCGGCCCTGCTGCATGCCGCTTTGTTTACGACACGCGATTACATTACAACCCAAACACCTTGCACAGCACAGTAGACGCATCAGAACAACAGTTGACGAAAATTATGGAGCCGCTGCGGCTAAAGCCCAGACAGCCAGTGGAGGCTGAGATAGAGAACTGGGATGATGACGATTTTATTGTAGACGGCGACGAGTTGAGCCTTCGGCCTACCGCTGTCACTACCAATGCACAACCACGTCGACGCGATTCCACCTCGTCCCACATTTCGCTGCGCTCCGATCTGGACTCGGCGTATGGGGAAGAACAACACGTCCACCTCCCGGCGGACGATGAGCGATCAACAATGGCTGCCATAGCCGCCGCCGAGAGGGCAGGAATACCCTTGCCCAAGAATGTGCCGTCGTCTGCATTGACAGGAGGCACTATCAAGAGGCTCGGCGGCAAGAAGATGCGGAGAGTTATCGACGACGACTGGGAAAACGACCTGGAGCTGCCCGAGGGGCTCCAAGGGCTCCAGATGAAGCCGCGAACCCAGACCGATTTTCCAGAGACCCTGCGCCAGGTCAGCGGAGGCTCGCTGCAGAACTCGCTGCAGAACAGCCCCAGGAAGACGCCCAAGTCTACCAGAGACAGCCGGCGGAGCTCTATCATGTCCAATTCCAGCATCTTGTCCGCTGCACTCAGTCTTGACAAGTTTAGAGACACGGATGATGAGGACGACGACTTCTTTGGCGACGGGTTTGACACAATCAAGATCCCTAAGAAGCGACCACCTCGCCTGGCTCCCTTCGTCACCCCTCCAACACCCCTCGAAACCGAAGCATCAAAGGAGCCGCTGGACGACGACTTTGAGGGGGACTTTGAGCTCCCATCCGACGGCAAGTTAAAGCTCTCCGCTAGAAGGGACATACCCAGAGTACCCTTTTCATCATCAGATGATATAGACTGGGGTGAGGGCAGCAGCCTCGGCACTAGGTATGGCGGCACTCGACGTGATGCAAGATCAACTCGAAGCTCGTCGGTCTCGGCTATGAGCCCTAGTCTCTCCAGCACATTCACGTTGGAGAGCGAGGACGAGACGTTTGACGGCCTCGTGCTGCCCCCCGGCCATCTCAATTTTCAGGAGAGGCTGCAGCTGCGGAAGACAAACCCGCCGCCGGAAGACATACCGGAGGAGCCACCCGCCGAAGCAGCACCCCCGAAGAAGCTACTTCCTGCGGCAGAAGTGGAGCAGCAGGACTTTCTCGAGGGGCTTGATATTGGCGATGGGAACGTGTTTGACGCTGGGAAACTCACCATGCATCGGAATATCAAGATCAAGGACAGCCGGCTCGCCAACCCTGCTCGCCCAAAGACGTCTGTGACGTTGACGTTTAGCAACAAACCCATGCCTCCACAGACAAGGATCCCTCGCCTCAACCATGAGAGGTCCCATTCTACGGTTCTTGAGCCCGTCTCTGAGAGTGGCGGTCCGATCCCGCATCGGGTTCGTCGACCACAATCCCGTCTTGGCCATTCCAACCAGTTGTCTGTCGCGAGTCTCCCAACTCCTACTAGCATTTCCACCTTTTCAATTACCCCAGCCCCTCGCAGGGCAGACCTATCCCGAAACACCTTTTCTTCTAGTAGAAACGAGCCTCCCTCGACAAATTCTCAGCTCCTCAGGCAGAAGCGCTCTCTGACAGCAGCGCGAGCTCGGAACCCTCCCACCAAGCCCATCGCCAGTCGGTCGGAGAGGCCAACTTCACGCACAGAGCCAGTCCAGCCCCGACCCAAGACGCCCCAGGAGCGTCAGAAGTCTATCAGCGAGAGTCCTGGACAGACAAGAAAGGTCTCCATACCATTTATTCCTGCGGGGGCTTCGCACTTGCAATCGCAGCACGCCGCTTCCAAGACCCTGAGACAATTCCGTCGCCATGACTCCGATAATTCCATTGATGCCCGCCCTATATCCCGGTCGTTTTCAAGGCCAGGCTTGCGGTCGCCTAGCCCACACCGCTACAAGGCAGCTGCTGCCGAGACGTGGGATCGCCTAAGCAGGCCTAAGAGTATACGACAGTTTGGTGATGGCCATGAGCTAGACGCCTTTGACGATCTGCCAACTTCGAAGGAGACGGAAAGCCGTTTCTTGAAGCAGCCTTCCGCCGGCGGATCCAAAGCAACCCTGCGCAAATCACCACAGGCACCACGACCACCGGTAGTAGATAGAAACAAGACGCCTTCACCATGGAACGCGGCACCAGTGCCGGCCATACGAAGCAACTACACTCCTAGCTTTGCGCGTGACACCGCAGCTAGCCGTATTGCACGAGAGACAGCTCTAGCCCACCGAACGCCAAGCGGCGGGCCGTTGGCTTCAGTTTCTGCTCAGAGAGCGCCAACTCGAAGCAATGCCCAGCAGCCGTCTTCTACAAACCGAACTAAGAAGTTGAAACGACCCCCGCAGTTAAAGCCCCATCTCATCTCCAACTTGAGCGGTGGCAAAGAATCCAAAGGTATGTCTCTAAACTTGCTCTATTATTGTCATCATGTCTAACTGTATCGCCTCTCTAGTCGTCAAAGGGATGTTCTACAACGCGGAGACGTACCGCTGGGAAGGGAATGAGAATGTTCTGAATGCGTTTGATGGGTCGACTTCGACGCCATCATCAAATTCAGCCCCCTTGCATTTGGCTAGGGATAAGGAGACTCCGGCACCTCGGCCGGCTCTCATTACCAACATCAGCACCACTCAAGGTGTGCAGGTGGTTGGCGGCATGGTGTTTGATCCTCAAAACATGTGCTGGCTGAAGCTTGGCCCTCAGAGCATGACAAGATCCGAGGCCACCGACAGCTTAGACAACTTCAACGGCTTCGAAGAGGAAGAGGACCCCTTTAAGGATATTCCAGACCTCGAAGACAATACCATCACTGATGAGCGCGAAGGCCACTCCAGCGACATTAAAGATGACTGGCTGGTGGGAGAGGAATTCGACGTCGGCCCTGAATTCATCCGAAGACAGCGCGAAGAGGAGGAGAGGTGGCGGAAGAAGTGTGAGAAATGGACAAGTCACGCTCCGCGGGACCGAGACGCCTGGCGATGGACCATTCGCGAACTCGTCTCTCAATTTGATGACTTTGCGATGCCAAGCGTGGCTAGGTGAAGCCAGATGCAGTGAGAGGCTCTCTCGCCCAGCGGCTTGTCGGCTAAACCTCATCTTGGGCTATCTGATTTTGTTGTTGTTCTTGTTATTCTTTCTGCTTCTTCTTTCTATTCTGCCGTTGCATTGCTTGCTGCTACTTGTTAGCACTGCATTACATGTTTTTTTTTAATACGATATGATTTTAACAGTCAGCGTGGACACGTTAGGGAGAGGGAAGGTATCAGGACAAGGCATATAGTGTGTCTGTTTGTTTTTGCGTTGCGCGTGTGGTATCGTGTTTTTTGTTTTGCTTTTTCTTTGGGCGTTGGCAGGAAACTGTTTGGTTCACGACCATATCGGCCAACCGCACGCAGGGCTGTTGTTGATTTATGACTGGGCACATACTATGGGATATCGCGATAGAGAAAAACGGCTACGGTGCGCAAATCACCGGTAGAGTTTGTTACGACGAAATGACATTTAACGAAGGCAACATGGATGAGTTTTCTGGTATGAAAATGGGAGGCAAAGGGGGGGGGGGAATGGTTTTATGTATCATTATCAGGAGGTGGCTGGAGGGAGTTTTGTCGTTAGTTTTGTAAATTTTAAGTTTTGTTGTTCTTCCGCCAAAGATTTACTTTTGAAGCTAAAGACCCGTGATGATATGATACCATGTTCTGGGGGAAGCTGTTTCAGGGAGCTTTGGGAGTTGAGAGTTTGGCGGGGTTTTTTCCAATGCGACCCCCCCACGTGATTCTCCAACTCCAAGCTTGTCACCAAACGTAACTTGGCTCAAGCTCCACGAAACCAGCAAGGCCTCCGTCTTGGAAAGAAGAACTTTGACGGGAATATTCGAAGAACTTTTGATTCCTTTAGGAGAGCATTCTTTGTCGCGTAGTGATCCTCATACCTCTCATCTTCGTCTTCAAAACAGCAGCGCGAAACTCACATCGCCAGGTGCCTCTTTCACCCCGCCTCCCCTCTTTTCCATCGCGAACTGGAACTTGCATCTCGACGACAACACAAAAGCTATAACCACCGCCTCATTATACCTATCGCGCATATCGATACTTAATACGCCATATAGAGGCAGCTGGAAAGAACAAGAAAACACCGTCACAATGGCCGAAGTCGTATTCGCAAAGACGTTCCTTACGTCTCTCGACTCCCGTCCTATCAAGCTCTCCCCAGACCACATCGAGGACCCCAAGACGTTCCCTCCTCGCCCTCCCGTACGTCCCAAATGCCCAAACCTCAATCAAAAATATAACACTGTTCACCTTGGAAACTAACCAAATCAAACAAATAAATAGTACATCCTCCCCCGCATGCCAACCGCCATGTCCAAACCAACCTCCCGCCTCCCCCCCGGCCAGGAGCGCAGCATCAGCATCACCCTCAAATCCCTACGCAACCCGCCCCTCGACATCACCCTCCCCGCCCTCCCCCTCAGCACCTCCGTCCTCGACGTCAAAGCCGCCGTCAACGCCCAGACCCGCATCCCCGTCGACAAGATGAAGCTGCTGCTCAACAAGCGGCCCGTCGCAGACACAAAGGTCCTCAAGGAGCTGCTCGCCAAGGAGTCGGACAAGGCGATTGATTTCTCCGTCATGGTCATTGGTGGCGCGGCCGTTATTCCGCCAGCGGAGAAGCCCGCCGAGGAGGCTATGGAGACGGACGAGCCGGTTCCGACGGCTCAGGCTGACGCGGCGACGGTCGAGGCTGAGCTCGAGTCCGATGCCTTCTGGGCGGATCTCAGCGGCTTCCTGCAGCAGCGGCTCAAGGCTCAAGCCCAAGCCGAGGAGCTGTCCAGCTTATTCCGGTCTAGTTGGCAGGCAAGCAGGTCAAGTTCGTGATATATACATGCAAACACATGATGGGCGTCTTCCTTTCTCCTTCTAATAGAGCATACTTTCAATTTTTTTCTTCATGCAAGCAACTAGTCACCGGTGAAACGTAACATGCAGTATAAGAAACGAGTCCGATTTTCCCTTGGTACGGTGTACATCGTCATCTGCAGCGCTAGCACATCTGAAATAATTACCTATGCCTATCCGTCGAATAAACACAGCCCTCCAGCACGCCCAATCTAAACGAGGACGCGGCAGTGCCTCCCTTCTTTTGCTTCTCCCACGCAGCTGTCCTCCCCTTGCATCATATTATCATTTGGGGCGGTTTCGCTTATGCGTTCACCTTGGCCAGGACGGCGTTGAGAATTGAAGCGTACTCGAGGTCGTCAGAGTCGTTGGCCTGGATCTCATAGGCAAATCCTTCCAGGGATCGCTTGAGAGCCTCCTTGGAGGCGGCGTAGATCATCTTGGGCTGTGGCTTTCTGTCAGCAAAAAAAAGGTCAATTGTTGCGTATGAGTGACATGGTTAACGCACGTGGACACCGGCATCATCGGGAGACCAGGCGATGAGGATGATCTTGTTGCTGTATCACGTTGTCAGTAACTATGGCAGCTCAATAATTGGGGTTGCGTTGGGCCGACATACATGTCTCGGCCGTCGAACTTGAAGCCAAAGTCGTAGACAGCGTAGCGGGGACCCTTGCCAACAGCACCCTAGGGAAGTCTCAAGTCAGCTCTATTCCGGTATGCACGCTATTTTCATGCTCGGATTTGTTCGGTGGTGAGACAAACAGTCTTGCTCTTGGAGGTGGCGTTGAGGAGCTTCTCACGGAAGTTGTCCCAGTCGCTATCGGCCTCAGCGTGCTCGACCTCGATTTCAGAGTAGTCGTCGGACAGCTTGAAGACAATGTATCTCAGGAGTCGGTTCCTGTCGCTGCTTCGCTTGAGCTTCTGGAACTCCTCTCCGACCTGGGCGGAAACCCTCGCTCTAGAACAGGGATAATATTAGCTCTGCCAATTCCCGCCAAGTGTTGCATCATCTTGTTCATTTTTAATTTTAATTTTGCTTCTCCTCTCTGCTACAATTCCGGTCCTACGTCCACATCTGCACCGTAATGGTCGTGGTGAAGAGAGTGGCGGCGGGCGGGCGGATCGCGTAGAGGGGCGGCTATAAATAGCGGAAGAGATAACGGCAAAGGGGGAGAATACGCACCCTGATTGAGACTGGAGCAACGCAACGCGGTCAGTACTGGAAATATACAATCTATACACGCTTCCAAGCTCTCGTGTCATCGGAAACAACTCACCATATTTGCGATTCGGTCGTTGTCGAAAGACGGACTGCGGTGTAGAAAAAAAAAGGAGGGGTGATGAGCTGACGAGGTTTCTCCTGTTAGCGATGAGGGGGTTCCTTGAATATATGCGGGAGATACGTCAAAGCGCCCGTGTATCGTTGCCCAAACCAGAGTCCAGAGCAACAGCAGACACGACACAAGAGAAATGACACGGGGGGAATCGGGAAGGAGCAGCAACACACAGGAAAAAAGAGACACGAAAAACGGCGAGACTGGCGTCGGGTTGACGATGATGCCAAATTGGTGTGACAGCGGGATGGTCTGGGAACTGCGCAGGTAAGTATAAGACAAGCAGCAGAAAGAGGCGGGGTGCTAAAAAGGGCGAAAAGCTGCTGGTCCCACGAGTGGGGTTTTGCTTTTGGCCGAGTTGCTCGAGGGAGCTGCACGTGACTCGCGACTGGGGAGATGAGAAGACGCGGCGAGAGATTGGAGGGCTTTTTTTTATATGGGGAATTACGTATTGCATGGAGTCGGGATGTGCAGTTACCTGGAGCCTAGGAGCAGGGGGAAGTGGCCGAGATTGGTGGACAAAATGGGAGGATGACCTGATGTGGGTGATTTGGCTGGAATATACGTACGTATGTAGTACCTAGTCTATGTGTGTGTTTGTTCAGGTTGCCATTGGAAGCAGAGCTGCGAGTGTAGAGTGTTGACAAGAGCTCGATAGGTATCTCTCTCTGGCTCTCCTCTTCTTTCTCCCAGTCTGCCTTGCTCCAACAGGGGCGATCCAATCAATATATAATTACCCATATACACATAGCAATTGGTCCCATTCCAACTAAAACAAGAAACAAGCCCAGGCACCAAGAAGCTCCATCCCTTATCATTCCCGGCTGCCTTAAGGCAACCGCAATTCCTTCCACACTACCCGGTACTTCGTCCCTACTATACTCTACGTCTATCATCTACTCGACATCACTTCATTTCCCGTTTCCGGTTGCCTAAATTTTTCATCGTGCAAACCTCGTCTCGTTAAAAACATTTCATTCGTTATTATCCCTTTTTTTGGTAGTGGTACATGGCCAGGAGCGCTACAATACAATACATAGACAGCAAGACCCGGCTCGCCCGCTCATCATGGAGACGGGACAAGCTCAAAGCTCAGCTGTAATAGATGGACAGGCAGATCGAGAGGAAGATGGAGTGAGGGGAGATGGGTAGTAGGCCACTTGAACCGTCCTTCTAGTATAACACCGGAAACCATGCCCCGTCATAGAATAGTTTTTATACATCATTTCCTGTTCCGTTTTTTTCTTTTCTTCTTGTAGTGACATCTTACATCATGCCACCCATTCCTCCCATGCCGCCCATGCCGCCCATGGGAGGACCAGCAGGTCGCTCCTCAGGGGCCTCGACGATGGCAACCTCAGTGGTACCCAGCAGAGAAGCAACACCGCTGGCATCAATGAGACCAGTGCGGACAACCTTGAGGGGATCAAGGATACCGGCCTGGATCATGTCGACGTACTCACCCTTGGCGCTGTCGAAACCGCGGTTGAAGTCGCTGCCGTACTCGTCGGTGAGCTTGCCAACGACGACGGAGCCCTCCAGACCGGCGTTCTCGATGATGGTTCGGGCGGGTCGGGTGATGGCGTTCTTGACAATGGTAATGCCGAGCTGCTGGTCAAAGTTGGCAGCCTTGACGTCGTTCAGGGCCTGGGAAGAGGCCTTGATCAAGGCAGTGCCACCACCAGGCAGGATACCCTCCTCAACGGCAGCGCGGGTGGCGTTCAGGGCATCGACGAATCGGTCCTTCTTCTCACCGACCTCAACCTCGGAGGAGCCACCAACCTTGATGACGGCAACACCGCCAGACAGCTTGGCCAGACGCTCCTGGAGCTTCTCCTTCTCGTACTCAGAGGTGGTGGGGTCAGCAATGACACCACGGATCTGCTCGCATCGCTGAGAGATGGCATCCTTGCTGCCCTCACCGTTGAGAAGGATGGTGTCCTCCTTGGTGATGGTGATGGAGCCGGTGGAACCCAGCATGTCGGGGGTGGCCTTCTCAAGCTTGATGTCAAGCTCGTCAGAGAAGACAGTTCCGTTGGTCAGGACGGCAAGATCGCCAAGGATGGACTTGCGGTTGTCACCGAAGCCGGGGGCCTTGACGGCGGCGACCTGGAGCTGGCCACGGAGCTTGTTCAGAATGCAGACGGCCAGAGCCTCGCCGTCAATATCCTCGGCAACGATGACAAGGGGGCGGCGGAGCTGGGTAGAGGCCTCGAGAGCGGGGATGATGTCCTGGACAGCAGAGATCTTCTTCTCGGAGAGGAGGATCAGAGGGTTCTCAAACTCAACCTTGCCAGACTTGGCGTCGGTGATGAAGTAGGGGGAAACATAACCGCGGTCGAATCGCATACCCTCAGTGACCTCAAGCTCGTCCTGCAGGGTCTTGCCCTCCTTGACGGTGATGACACCCTCCTTGCCAACCTTCTCCATGGCATTGGCAATCAGCTTGCCAACGTGGTGGTCACCGTTGGCACTGATAGTGGCGACCTGAGCAACCTCCTCGCTGGTGGTGATGTCACGGGTGTTCTTCTGCAGGAAGTCGACGACGGAGTCGACAGCAGCCTGGATACCACGGCGCAGGTCCATGGGGTTGCAGCCAGCAGCAACGTTCTTGACGGTCTCGGAGAAGATGGCACGGGCTAGGACGGTGGCACTGGTGGTGCCGTCACCAGCAGTCTCGTTGGTCTTGGAAGCAACATCTTGTATCAGCTTGGCGCCGAGGTTCTCAAACTTGTCCTTGAGGCTGATGGCCTTGGCGACAGTAACACCGTCTGGAATTATAGATTGTTAGCTAAGAGGTCCTCGAAAGAATAAGTGAAACAAAGAGAATTTGTCAGTCATACCCTTGGTAATCTTGGGGGAGCCGAAGCTGGACTCGATCAGGACGTTTCGGCCCTTGGGACCAAGAGTGGTAGCAACAGCCTTGGCCAGAGTATCGGCACCAGCCAGGAGAGCAGCACGGCCCTCGACACCGAACTTGAGTTCCTATTCCATCCAAGTTAGTCCCGTCTGCAACATCTCATCCCAATTGCCTTGTCCCACCTTGTGAGCAAACCGAAGTTGCTGACCCAGGCTACCTCCAGATCGGTACTTGTAAGCGCCGGACAGGGCCGAGGCGCGGGCACGGGAAGTCAATGCGCGCTGCATCTTGCTTCGATTTTTGCAATGGACGAGGGAAAAAGGAAACAAAGAAATGGGGTATCACAAGCCGGAACCAAGACGAGCCAGCCTTCACAGGAACAGCAGGTTGGAGGAAGAGGAAGAGGGTCTGCAAAGCGCTTTCGGTGTTATTGGAGAGCTCGCACGCCCCAAAAAAATTGTCACGGAGCATCGGCAAAACATGGATCCTGAGCCGAGCCAGCACCCAAACGAGTTTAGCGGCATAGCCTGAGCCTTTCTACCCTCTTCCAGCCGAATCTGTGGGGGAATTTTTAAGCCGAGAGAGATGATATTCAGCCAATATGTAGTGGTAATGGTGAATACTAGAGGAATACGAGTATATCGATAATAGTAGAAAGTATTGATAGGAGTGGAATGTAGTAATGGTGGCAGAATGTAACAATAGTGGCAGATACTTGACGCTTAATCTCTACCTAGGACAGCCAACTTTGGGTGCTGAATAATAGCCCTTCCCTTGTTACGCCGAGAGCGACAATTAAAGCTTGAGATGCGTTGCGTTCATGCTAGGTGATTTTCGATAGAATTCAATTCAGAACGGTTGCGACTAAAAAGCTAACTTTGGAAGTGCTTGAAAGAAAAGAGTAACCTCCATTGTGCCATTCCCTCAACTCCAAACTACAGTAAACTCGCCCCTCCATGCCTTTTATTTTTTTTTTTTTTTTTTGTTTTTTTGCGTCGTTTTTTTGTTTTCTGAGTTTTTTTGGTTGTTTTTTTTAATTCTTGTTGCAATGTCCCTTGGACGGGTATCTCTCTACAGAAAAGGAAAAAAAAAAAAGAAAGGCAAGAAACAATATTGTAAAGAAACAATGGAACTGTGTGTCTTTGGGACACACAGTTCCAACCGCGAGTCAGTCTATTTTTTTTTTTTTTTTTGTTTTTATTTTTTATGGTGATCAGCCTCTTGAGCTTGGTCGAAGACCAGACGTCGCTGTTGTGCGACGTCTGGTTTACTCCGAGGCCAGGAATTCGAGCAGCAGCTCGTGGCCGGCGAAGTCGTCGGCGTATGGGTTCTCGGCCTTCAATCATCAGTATAACTCTTGCTTGATGAGGTAAGGTGATGTAGTAGAAGAAGTGTTATTACTCACGGTGACCTCGTTCTGCTCTGGGCTCTCAATCACTGGTTGGAGCGTCTCTGGCTGGAAAGGTGGGAGCTGCGCCGCAATTGGCGACGAGACAGGCGAGACAGAGATGCCTCTGTCATTGTTGGCAACTGGGGCACTGAGTGGTTCTTCCTTCTGCTCAGTCTTGAAGAGAGTGGGAGTAGTTGGCGGCATGGTAAAGCCGTAAGGGGGATGAGGCATGAAGCTAGACTGGACGAGATTGGAATAGCCAGCTAATTGAGCACTAAAAGGGTTTCCCATGAAGAAAGGTTGCTGGACTTGATCAAGGGGCATCTGACCAAGGGGCATCTGTGCAAGAGGCATCTGTGCAAGAGACATCTGGCCACTAGGGCTGATTTGTCCATGGCTGGGCTTGATGAGAGGCTGGGTGATAAAAGGATCAAACAAGTTGTCTCCGCCCATCAGAAGCTGAGATTCATTTGCAAAAGTAGCAGGGGTCTGAATGCCCATAGGCTGGAATCCCTGTTCGTTGTTAGCATTTGAAGTCAATTGATGATCATCGTAGGAGAGAGAACTTACCTCGATGCTGTCAAGCAAAAAGTTGGGAGGGGAAATATTAGCGAACAGGTTAGGGTCAAAGAGCTGTTGAGTAGCTTCTGTGTTGACTTGTTGGAGGCTCTGTGGCTTCATGCTGTAGTGTGGAGTAGACACGGGGCGTCGTGGAGCTGCATGACGGACAGGAGTCGGCGTGACTGGAAACTGGATGTCGTCTTCAAGGACAGTGAAATCGGCATTGGCCTCAGCAGAGACCTCACCAATTGCTTCAGTGAAGAAGTCGCCGTCGTCTTCCTCCAATGCGTCAAGGGCATCAGGGAGGTTGATCTTGGCATCATCCAGTTTCTCGTCAAAACCCACTGAGCGAGTAGCAAGCTTGTCATCGCTAGTAAGGTCACGGACGTAACCTCGGATGGTGGGATCATACGGGGCAGAAGGAGATGTTTTGTGGGCAAGAGGGGGAACCATGTGGCCTTCAGAGAGGAGTTCCTTGCGAAGGCGATTGACATGCTGAAGGACTGCCTGGCCAGACGAGCCGGGGTGGAGACGATGAGCAATGGCATCCCAAGGAACATTGACCTTGTGGCGAGCGCATTCATAGTGAATGTGGAGAAGGAGCTTCTCTGCCATGCGAGGACCTGTAGAAGAGTTAGTATAAATGTTCTGAAGAGACCAATTGAGGAATGGGACTTGATGTGCAATTGGCTTACGGTTCCACATGATGAGGCTGCGTCCCGTGACTCGGCCATTACCCTTCTTCTGCTCATCGGTGGGAAGATTGTGCGTATAAGCAGTCTCTCTAGGAGTGGAAGAAGGTGTCTTGAGCTTGTCGAGATTGGGAGTCTGTTCAGCTTTCAAGGCCTTGGAAGGAGAGCGGCGGTTGTGAGCTGCAGTCTGTCCCTTCTTGGGGGTAGTCTTCTTTCCTTGAGGAGTTCCCATCTTGGCAGGAAGAAGAGTGAAAGCAGCAATGAATTGAAGTCTAATTAGAAGTGAAAAGGGTTGTTAGTACTGTATTAGAAGCCATTTGCGTGTTGGAGATGGGGAATTGGAGGAGAGGAAGAGATGGGAAAACCGAAGGAAATGTGCTGCTCAAGGCCCAATTGCTGCGCAAAGCAGCGTAAAAAAGGCCAATTGAAGCATGAAAAGCAGGAAATAGTCACTTACACTCAATTGATATGCCGTATGAGTTGTCTCGAAAGATGAATTGGTTGTAAACGTTGGTGCTGCTGTGGTTAGTAAACTCGCGATGTTGGGGGGGAAGAAAGAAGAGTAGCGAGGAACAAGAAAAAGTGGGAGAAAGGATAAAAGTGAGAAAACATTCCCAAAAGGGAAATCAAAAATTCTACTTTTCAGAATTTCTGAAATTTCTGAAATTTCCCCCCATCTGGGTGGATTGTCTGTCTGGCAGCTGGCAGCGAAAATGGGAGTGGCAGGGGCTCTTGGGAGTTGCCAGATGGACGTGACATCTTTCTCGCCCATGCCAGCTAGCGGCAGTGCAGTTGGACGGAGTATTAGCGATGGGAAAGGCACGGAATTCACAAATACAGTGTTTGATGCTTGGTGTTGCTCATGAGGGTTCGCATCTTGGAGGTGTTGATTATGGACTTGCATACTTGTACTTGTATGTAAACATCATCCTCACTGGAAGCACCTGTAAACCAAGTAGAGAGAACATGTGAGCTAGATTGAATTGCAGACATAATCTACATCAGTACCCTTCCAAAGCAACCCCTTTACGCCAAGTCCCAGGAAATAACAGTCCTCTACCCATTTGAACCCAAGATCGATGTCTTTTTTGCCGTACCAAGAAACTCTCAGTTCAATCCGACACCACAGCACTGGTGTTACCTGTTAGACTTGAACAGCTTCCTCAATGCATATCTGAAGCCGCGGCTTGAGTTGGATGAAGCATTGGGAGAAATCTGCTTGAGAGAGCCACTGCCATGCTGCGATGATACCATAGACTCAATCTCCAAGCAATGGTGGTTGCAAGTGCATTGACTGGAGTTGCCATCGCTGGACATAGACTGTCGAGTTCCAGAGACATCAGAAACAGAAAACATAGCTTGTTGCTGAGCAAACATGATGTCTCGAATAGCCAATTGAGTCTGTTGTTGGACTGCATTGTGGACAACTTGGTTGATAGCGAGAGGTAGATTGGTGACAACTTGGGAGAGGTGGTTGACCATATTAATGGTAGCGGCAAAGTTATCGGCTTGAGCTCCGATCATGGTGTTCATAGTCTTGGATTGAGATCTGAATTCCTCGACGTGTTGTTCAACAGTGCGATAGTGAAGGTCAAGCTGACGGCTCATTGTGTCGTTTTGATCGTGTATGTCAGTGTGCTCGCGACGAAGAGATTCGACAGAGTCGTCCAACTTGTTGATATTCAGTCGTAGAGGACCCATTGCATTGGCCATCTTCTCCTCTACTGCCTGTTCGATGATGGAATGAATAATCTCGCTGGCATGATTGAAGTCGATAGGAGTTACAGGGGTCGACACTGCTTCGGACAAGTTGGCATGTTGATCAACTTTCTCCTCATTTGCGATTCTGATAGCAGCAGACAAAGCCTCCATGGCTTTTTGGACTTCATTTGTAGAGCTAAATCTTGGAGTCGACTCCGAAGTTGAGAGAGCTGGTGACTGGGGTGCATTCGGCTCAAGAGACTCCCGCTGCACATATCGAACTGGAGATTCAGGGGGTGTAATAAGACCGGCAAAGATGGGATTCATCTTTTGCGTGTAAGGCGAGCGTGGGATAGCTGATTTGTTGAGATATTGTATCTCGATGCCTGCATTGGAGAAGGGAGTTGTTCCAGACATGATGGATGGGTAAGATGTGAGGATTGGAAGCTCTTGAGGTGATATATCGCTCTTGTGTGAGAGTATCAACGAAAAGCTTGCACTTGGGAGAGGATACTCGAGGTTAGAAAAGATGATATCAAGTCGTGGTTTGGAAGCTTTGATGTTGTGAAGAGATACTAGAAAAGCAATGGTGGCGAGCAGAGAAAGGTCTTGATATCAGCAGTATCACGAGGTATTCTGAATGCTTGAATACAGCAAACATATAATTGTGGTGATAGTGGACTGAATGCAGTCTTCCAGTTGTATTGTCTTCAATGCCATCTTACTGGTGACAATAGCTTCAAATTCCATTCTACAGCAGCTGCATTTTGTTTGCGGGGCTCCCCCCTCTCCAGAAAATGGGTACGTACCTCGATGTCAGCTGCTATCAATTGTGCAGAGTGACCACTTGAGGCGGTATGAATACAATGGGACCTCAATAAGATTACTACTGCGCTTATGGAAGCCTGAGAGTTTGTGCTCAATTTGTTGGCACCGTCTGAACTGACAGTGAATCACGAGTGGACTTGGCAAGCTGTCAGTGGGGAGAAGTGGATGCCGATATGGCCATAAATACAAGCCTAGTATTAGGCATTCAATAAATCTGGTAGTCACTTGATCTGAAAATGAATTGCCATAGTCATGGATGGAGTCAAACAAGAGCGCATGAGAGCATCGTTAGTATCCGTCTGGCTATTTCCGCCGTAGATCTCGCATTAAACTAAGTTAAGTGAATCTGCAGAATATCTGAGTTGCTATAATTGCCATCTCGAATGAAGACTTAGTATCCCTAGCATGTCCATATCGGACCAAATGTTCAGGCAAATATCCTGCCTCATATCCCATATTCCGAATTACGCACTCATAATCTCTCCATCAACTCAGAAGTGTGTCCAAATCTCCAGAGCCACCCATATACTTCTGAGGAAGAGAACATCGTATTAAAACGTTCATCCATAACTTGAAGTATAGCTGGAAAGCGTGGCTCAAGAGCTTAGACAGAGTCAAAGCTTGTGCCTGCATCGGAACTCACGCCGGAATCGGGAGCATCTAAGAATTGTGGTCAGATACATCGATGTGTCTGTATTAACAAGATCATAGGAGCAACGTACCAGAGAGGGAAGAGTCGTACTCTTCCTTTGGCTCCTTCTTGGGCTCCTTCTTGACAGCCTTGTCAGCCCTGGAAGCGCGAGTCTTGGGAGCCAGCTTCGTGTCCTTGATGTCATCGTCGCTTTCTTCCTTCTTGGTAGCCTTGGCCTTCTTCTTGGCGCTGCCGCCATCACCTCCAGCAGGCTTGCGCTTCACCGGGGTGGAAACGGGGGTATTTTCATCATCAGCGCCGGATTTAGCAGCCGGCTTGGAAGCGTTCACCCCATTGGCTTTGAGCATTCGCTCATATCTCTTCTGGCTGTTCGGATACAACAAACAAACTGTCAGATAATTTCATGAAGCTGGGAAACGTACAACTTACGCAGCAGCCTTGGAAACAATTCCGAGCTCTTGGGCAACAAGAGTAAAATCAGGCTATAAAATGGTGTCAGAAGGTGATTCAACAGGTTTTCCAGGGCTGTTTTGTGACTTACTCGACCATTGGTGGTATGGCCAATGCAGGACACAAGGAAGCGAACCTGCTCAGCGGGATCTTGCTTCGACATGATGACGTTGAAAGGTAGCGTGTACTGTTTGGAACTGCAGGCAAGTTAGGATCAAGTGTCATGTTTGGATGGAAGAGGTATAGCGATGAAATGATAATAGGCGGAGGATGAATGGGTGGCTATGGACGAAAAGGTTTGAGGATGGACATGGCCAAAGGACACTGGACCGAGGGTAAACAAGATGAAAGATGATGAAAAGAAAGAAAAACACAAACAAAAATAAAACCGAAAAGGTATAATAAGTTGAGTATTGCAGGAGGTCAAGTGAGAAGACGATGGCTATAGAAAAGCTCAAGGGTGTGGTGGGACAAAGAGAGAGGTGAAGCGAAAACTTGGGTTGCGGGAGAGGTGAGCAGGTGGGAAAGGGACGCCTCAGGTTTCCAGCTGGGCACTGTCTACCAAGAGACAAGTAAATTCAGGAAAAGTGTGTGCAGGATAAGAAGAGAACCTAGCTAGGAAAGAGAGGTGAATATTGGACAAGTGATTCGCCTTACTGCTCGTTCAAAGTGATAGACGGGGAAGTGAACAGAACCAACACAACCAAGGAACAAAACAAACCAAGAAACAAAACAAAACAACACTGAGAGAGAGAATGAAAATAGAATTACCAAAGCAGAGAATGTCAGGAGTGCTGGAGATTTACAATCGAGCACTGCAGGCAAGCGTGTGTAGGGCGTTGAAATGGGACGGGAGATGTGTTGTGTGGAAGAAGCTGTCCTCGACACACAGCCTTATCTCTCTGAGAAAAATAAAAAGAGATGAAGCGCCCAGGGTTTTCAGAGCAGAGCAGCGAAAAATAAAAACAAAGAAGTTTGCCAGTTGCAAGTCGGGGCAACCGACCTGGCCCCTGACACCTGGCAGCAGAGTGTCAAGTCTACATGTACTCGGTACTTGTGCGTGACTGGAGATCCTCCACTGGCTTTCTCTCCTAAGAGAGCTGTACTTTTGTGTAACATATTTTAGTGAGAAATGTAATGAAGTTGGAATAGAATGGCTGTCAATGTTGCCTCCTGAATTTAGATAGTAGTTATACGCAATCACACAATGGAATAGAAGTTATGTTAGGCCTACTAGTTCAAGAAGACAACAACTGGCACCAACTTCTTTACAAGAGACGGATTGATGATGTTGGAACTATGCCATTTTGTCAATATAACCTCATAAATGTGACTGCTATAAAGCGTGCAAATAGACTGTCCTATCCGACCCAGCCTCAAGATATCAATGGCATATTCACTAGTCCCCAGATCAAACGTCTTTCAGTTGGTAGCAGCATCAATAGCAACCAAGTCTTGTCTCATTCATGCGCTCAGAAGAAGGGACCGTCTTCCACTTCCTCCTCCTTAAAATCATCGTCCTCATCCTTGATATCTTCGTCCTCGCTCTCTTCCTTCTTAGCCACCGCCTTCTTTGGCGTTCTCGCCTTCGGCTTCTTCGTAACCTTGCCATCTCCAGAGGGACCAGTGACATCGTTCTTCTTGGTCTTGCCGCCGGGGCTGCTGCCGGGAGTGGCTTGAGTGTTGGAACGCCAGCCATGACGGACAGACATCTGTCGAAAGCGCTCCTTGGCACATTTGGCGTCTTTGAGGCCCAAGTCAGTTGCGACCTGGGCCCAGTTGGCATCGGGCTTTTGAGTCATGTTGTCGAAGACTGCCTTGATGAAGCGAAGTTCATTGTCGCGCAAACCATTGACAGAAGGAGTGTCGGAACTGTCTGTTTTCTTGGCAGGCATGATGATGGATGGTCTGCTGGGTGCATGTGGTTAGATGGTATCAGCGGGTGAGGTTGAAAGGAATGCGTCTTACAATTTGTTTGGGAAATGAAAAATCTGTTGTCAAATAGCAATAAATCTGGATCAAGAAATCCTGATTGAAGTCTTACCAGACGAACAAGTATTGTGTGGGAAGAGATGTGGAGGGTAGATGCAGATGCAAACGAGGAGAGGAGCGAGGCTTTGGTTGTGGGGGAAACAGCGTCGTCTTTTATAGGTGAGGCCCTGGATTGTTATGGCTGCTGGCACCTGTAGCTTGCCAGGTGGCTGCAATGACACGTTGACAGAGCAATGCGTGAAATAAAGAGGTCAAATAACTCATAAGAGATTTTAAATGAAAATATTTACGCATCCAGACAAAAGAGATATCGCAATAGCTTGGCGATGGGTTGACAGTGGGAGTCCAAATATCGTGATATGTGATTCTGGATGCAAACATACACGACAAGTTAAGGTATACGAGTGATGAACCGTAGAGTCAAGGTCTGCAAACTTCTTCATTCAACTGTCGCCTCATATCGGCTAGATGCTCTCTTGCTCAATCCCATAGTAATCCTTCGATTTCCATACCTGTCTCAGTCCCTATCCTTGCAGCTAGTCTCCCAGATAAATCGTTGCTGAACCTTGATGAAAGTATTTCTAGCCCAGATAGCAAAACGAATCCTATCAGCAATAGATACTACTCTCTTGAAGAATGTCCAAAGAAGGGCCAACTTGGAGCCTAGAAAGGATCTTCCCGATCTTCCGCCTTGAGGTCGATGCCACCAACTTCTCCTTTGATGGGAGACGAAAAAGGATTGATGTCATCTCCAGCATCTGCGCCGGCTTCAGCACCAGCTCCGATCTCTTCTTCCTTCTTGACTCCACCGCGGCCCTTGCCTTTTCCTTTGCCGCGGCTGGTTGGGGTCTTGCGGACCTTGCTTGGAGTCGAGGTGGTAGAAGTAGCGCTGGCCTTCTTTGGAGTAGTAGCTGTCTCAGTGTTGATACCGAGCTTGCGCTTGACTTGTCCAAAACGCACCTGTATGCGATTTATTCGTCAAAAATGGAAACGCAGAATGAAGAGAAGATTTGAAGTATGGGAGGACAAACCTTGGCGACCTCGGCATTCTTGAAACCTTGCTCTTGAGCAACGGCATCCCAGTCAATATCCGCCTTATTGCGGGTATGCTTGACGATGGCAAAGAAGAACATGGCTTCGGAAGCCGTGGGTTCTCGTCTGTCTGCCATATTGGTCTGTTCTTTTGATGATGCAAAGAATGCTAGAACTGCCAGCGGATGGTCATCAATATCGATCCGATACAAAGCGAGGTATCCCAGACAAGGCATAGGTTGAAGATGTTACTAGAGGTTAGTGTGAAAGAAATAAAATGTTTGCTTACTTGATTTGTGGTGATGAGAAGGTGATTTTTGCAAAAGGTGTGGTGTGAAAATCTGGATGCGTTTGTGTGGGAGTTGAAAGGGAAAAGAAGAAGGGGGTGTGAAAAAGATGCGAAACGCAACAAGGGCTGATTGCAAAAATAGAATTCTTTTATTCCTAATTTTTTTTCTTTGGAATGCTTTCGAAGGAGGCTTGAGTGGCAGGTGAATTGGCAGCCTGGTGACAGCTGTTGCAACTGGCAGGACAATTTCCTCTTGTAAATGGATATATCTGCCCTCTTTTTAGTGAATGATTTGAAAATAGTTAAACGAAGATATTAAATCCTCCGTGTTGGTAGATTATTAAACATTATTCAGTCTCGATGAGCTAGATATGGCTATTTGCATGAAAGAGAGACGGAACTAGGTCGCAAGTTGATGTAGTTATGATGCCGGAGAAACTCACACCATGTCTGCCGATACAACTGCTCCATGTAATAAAATACTCTGTAGATCAGTGTAACCCGAGAGTCAACTGCGATCTCACCCATCTTGCATTATGATAAATCACGGGCGTGTGAGAGGTGTGTTCAGCGCTGCAACAATCAGTCTTGGTTGCTACCAACATAGGTATCTAAATAGCTGAAAAAGAAAGGTAGCAAGTAGTAAAAAGCAGGAGATAGTGAAGAAGAAGGAAAGAAAGAGATAGAAAGAGAACGAGAAAAGACAGGAAAAAATAGAGACGGATATGCTCATCCACCTCGTCCTCACTATTATACACATGCTATTATGAACCCCCGTAGTAATTTTGGATTTCCTTAATTCCCAACCGATCCGATCTTCTCCTTGGAGATGAAAGCGATTTGCCCAAACCAATTAACCACTAACTGTGGCCAGTATCATCAAGTCATAAAAGAAATTTCGTCGCTCTCTGCGCTTCCCTCGTCTTTTTTTTAGAGGTTTTCTTTCTCGTATTCGTAGTGTATCATCTCAAGATTAAAACCAGCTTAGTATTGCTGGTCGTTCAATCGGTCATCCCAGTCACCAAGAGGTTGGGAGCCGCCAGAGTGAGACAGGCCCTGGCTGTGAAGATCTCCTGAGGCAAAGTTCAGGTCGTAGGCGACGTCAAAGGCAGATGTCGAGGTATGGTCATGGCCAGCATGGCTCATAAAGTCTGAGCTGCCACTCAGAGGAGGAAACATCAGCCCGCTCGAATGTCGGATGTCTTCGAGAGCAGAGGGAGGGATGGACAGTCCCTGTGTCATGTCGTCGCTGCAAGGGGTAAGGAAGCGAGCGTCGAAGTCATCGCACTCTCCCATGTAAGGTGACGTGAGCGATGCAAGAGATTCGGGAGAGAACTGGCAATGAGGTGTTAGCCACACACATCAACAACTTTGACCGAGGAGTCATCTCACCTGAGCGAACGATGATATGTTTGCTGAGACCGGCTCTTGCTTGATGGGCTTTTCCTTCTTTGCCTGAACGCCCTTCTTCACCTTGCCCGACTTTGTTTTCTCTGATGGCCGACCTCTCTTTGATGGTGTATGGCCAGTTACTGTGGCTCGGAAGCGGGAGTAACGCATTCTGGCGGCATGGCCGTTGGTGATGGGCTCTATGAGGACGGGATCGGCGGCCACTTGATTCCAATCAATCTAGAGACGAATGAGTTAGAGAGGATCGGTCAGACGTAGGCAGAGAAGAGTAGACCTACGTCTTTGAGGTTCTTCTGCTTCAAGATGGCGAACAAGAAGCGGGCCATGGCATTATCGCTGTTAGGAGACATGATGGCGAGCTAGTTGGATCTGAAGGTGATGTCGGGCGGATACGTCGGAGTGATGGCGATGTTGCCGAGGGTAGATGTGTGGTATGGAATACAGAGATGGAAAATACTGGATATAGAACAATGCCGGACTTATTCACGGCTACCAACTTCTAGGTAGACGAATGCAGTGATGGATTGGCGAGCCACGAATAGAGAATGGAAGAATAAAAGGTGGAATGAAATGGTCGTCAAGTCTGAATGCTAGACGACCAATTTATAAGACGATAGACCGATCGAGAGAGGTTGAGGTCATGGGAGGAGAAAGGAGACAGACTCGAGGTTCCGTGAATCAAAGTGGAAGTGACGCAGAAGTGAGGCTTGGATATAGCCGCTTCTTGGTATTGTTCCTTAGGCACGAAGGAAAAATGAAGAGAAGAATACCAAGGCTTCAACCTTACACTCACATATGACTAAATCTTGAAAAGAGAGAGAAGAAGAGATCAGGAACAAGGAGGCAAGGCCTCTCTTATGAACGACCTTGGCCTCAGCCTGATAAGTTAGCGGCACAAGCACGATAAACTCACTCCTGCAAGGATCCAGGAACCAGGCAAGGGCCCCATCCATCTGTGTTACATTCGTTCATTTTTTGCTTTCCTTTTCCTTCCCAATGCCCACCGGGCTGAGAAATCCGCATGCCGAATGGACGCCGCCCGAGCGCTGTCTAAGACCAAACCAGATATCATCTGGTTAGAGCCTGTTGTTGCCTGGATCTGGCGCCGTTCCGGCTCGAGGGATAGCGATGGAGCTGTGGGTTTAACGGGGGCTGCAGCGTCTAGAGTGGACGCCGCCCGCTAACAGGGATTGGGGGGTGTGCTGAAGCGGCGCTGTCAGTGGAGTGGCTCCCTGTAAGCCACCACTAGAGGTCGGGGTTGACATGCATCATATTATACATGGCTCAATGGTTCTTGCAGCTAAAATCAATGAGAGGAAAAAAAGGAAAGATGTCGGTATATGAGCTTTGTTTGTTTTCTTTTAATTCGTTTTCCCCCGCAGCATTACTTCTCATTGTGTGCGGCTGCATGGATCGGATGCTAGAGGGATGTGCCACCACCACCACAAGCCTATGCAGGTGCCAAATGACCCGTCCGCCAAATTCCAATGGCTGCAACACCAGGAAAAAGCAAACCTCAAGGGCCAAGCAAATGATAGACAGCTCAGAAAAAGAAAGAAAAGTAAAAAATAGGAAGCAGGGATCCCTCATCCGGCATCAGACTGAAACCCCGTGTGACTCATCTAATTCCCACAGCAGAGGCAAACACTAATGCGCAGCCGGTAAAATTGCTCAGGAGGGGCGTTGCGATAGAAGAAGAAGCTTTCGGCGAGCCAACCAAACAGCCGGCCATTTAATTCCCTGGTAAGAATTAGAGCTGCATACTATGTACGGTATGATTATCAGATGAGAAGAGATAAAAGGCCCCTTTCTTCCTCACTGCTTGATATTGATGCGATATGACGTGCTTGTCGACTTGGAATATACTGTATTACTGCAGCCGTTCAATTCTGCGTCTACCGACTTGCTCTGCGTTTGCATCATCTCGCTCGCTCCCTTTGCCCCAATCGAGATGGCTAAAGACCCAGGTTGCAGCCGTGTGTGTAGTGAAATATTACGAACAACCCATTCCCATCCTCACCGATCATTTTCTTCTGGCCGCCCTTGTGCTGGTCGGAGCTAGCGGGTGTCATGCAGAGAGGGGCGAACTTTTGAGGTCTGGCCGACGACGGATTTTTTTGCAACTTGATTTCACGACCAGAAGTCGAGGAGAAACGCGGAAAATTTGCTTTATAACAAATGACATGATTTAAAACGCATTGGAAACGGTTCCAGAAGTGTCCATGGTCGCATCCAGGCGTCGCAGCCGTCGCGGGCGTCGTGGAGGGGATTCGGATGAGGTGCGTCGGGGAGACGCGATGGGGCGCGAATTTTTGGGGATGCGACGATGCTGAGCCACCAGGAGCGTCGCCAGGTTTCCGCGAAAGCACGTGAGACCTGGCCGCGCTAGATGGAGGGCCCCATATTTCTGTGGCCAACCAGAGGCGGGGAGGGGCGGCTTACCAACCAGGGATGACGTACTCGTATCGTTGGCTGTGATGGCTTTTTCTGGCTTGTCATTTGCCTTTTTGCTGTTCGGCTTGGCTTGGAGGGGATGGACTCGGCTGCTGCGCTCGTTCGGACTCAGGCGCGTAACTACTCGTAGGCCTCAGTCACATTATATACAAGTTCCCCAGTGATGGATTGCATGGATTGCTTGTACGTACTTGTGCGGAATAATATCTCGCTCGTCCAAGGTGTTGCTGCATTTTCCCTCGTCCATTCTTACTCATCCCTCGAACTCTCGTCCGAGCAATATCCACTCTGTACCCCATACTTTGTAATTGTACCTGCTCAAAGCTGCTACTGTACGAGTATGCTCGTATGTACGAAGTAGCCCTTTTCGAGACAAAAGAACCGCTACGGCAGCTCCCAGTCAGGCGCACGCAGATCTATCTCGGTTTAATTAGTAATGTCGCTGCGACTTTGACTCATCCTCCCGTTCCCATCCGTGGCCAATTGCAGCAAAGACGAGCTATCACTCACGTTCGTCCGACGCTTTCGTATCGCTCGACAGCTGATTGCTGGCCTGCTAACCTTAACCTGTATGTACCGTACCTCAGCTCTCCTCTCGTTACCCGCTAAAAACGAAACTTTGGCGGGTAAACCCCGTGTCAACGTCGGCTAAGTCGCTGCATCGCCGTCTTCAACATTGCTACAATCCTCCCTCACGCCTCACTGGAGCTCGTAATTGCAGTAGATAAGCTGGAAGCCGTCTCGTAGACATTGTTAAAAGGGAAATATTGACCTTGCAGCCGTACCACCGCCGCATTGCTCGTGTTTCAGCGCCATGGTACGACATGCCCAGCAGCGCCAGCTCAGCTCATGCCCAGCTCCAAACCGCCGGACTAACCGTTGATCCGCCCTCCGGCGCACGGCACAAGAATGCACGGGCCCCTTTACTCCACGGCTCCCCAACCTCTTTCTCTGCTATACCTCCGTACCCCATTCTCCCACTACCAATTTTGCCATTGATTGCCCTCTGCTCTTAACAGCTTCTATCTCACCGCAGGTCACCAAGACAATCCGGCCTAGAGGCTCATCGACCCACCGCCTTCCCGGCACGCCTGTTTATTGTTTGCCATTTGGCTGTTGACTTTCGGGTTATTTCATATTCATCGTATTTCTAGCATGAATAAGAACTGGAATGACAGGGCAGACAAAGATCTGTTCTTCACCATTTTGTCCGTCAAGAACATCGGTGTTATCAGCGGCGCGGAATGGACAACCATCGGTAATCATATGCGCAGCCTCGGCTACGGCTTCACCAATGAAGGATGTCGGTAGGTGTCTCTCATGTTCTTATACTCTTATACCCAGCGTCATTTCGATGGTGCCCGTGTTTTGTATTCCCGACCGCGAGTACTTGAGCTTGGATTGGATGGGAATGGAGACAGCATGCGCAATCACCATCGTCGGTCAGCTTCAAATGCATGCAAATGGTCCCCGTTCTCGATAGACACCACAATGTTTTCCCCGCCATATTGTCTACTGTACCCATACCATCCAAGTATAATTATTCCCACTTACACTTGACTCCGCCGCTTACACTGGTATATATACATTTACATAATATATACCCCCTTCACCTAAACCTCGTCCATCAGCAACACCGCAGTTTTTCTTCCCAACGTGATTTACCCTTTGCTGACAGAAACGTAGGCAACACTTTCAAGGCCTAAGGAGGGCCCAAAACAAGGCGGAGGTGGATGGAAGTCACTCTGAGAGCGCTAGGAGAGCTGATCCAACCTTGAATCCCATCACAAGGAGACCAGGGCCTGGCAGGGGCCGTCCTCGAAAGTCGCAGGTCCAGGAGCCTGACGTTGATACCGCAGATGGCTCTCCAACTAATCTTCCCGCCGGCGTTCCTACCACTGTTCCTGCTGTCGTCCCGGCGGTGCTTCCTGGGGCCATGATATCTACCTCTATGCCGGGTCACGGCCCAGTCATGACTTCTCCTGTTGTACCGCTTCAGCAGCAACAGCAGCTTCAACAACTTCAGACTCAACAGCTTCAATCCCAACATCAGCACCAGTTCCAACAGCAACAACAGCACCAATTCCAGCAACAACTTCAGCAGCATCAGTCACAGCTTCAGCCGCAGCTCAAAACAGAGCTTGCTGATGCCGATGGCATCTCTGTCTCTGCTCAAACACCAAATGATATCGCCTCTAATCATCTAATTGAATCGGAACCCGGGTCGACAACCTCTCAAGAACAGCTGCAACTTGACGCTGTACAGAGTGGTGATGACGACGACGATGCAGACGAACATCCTTCCAAACGACAACGATTAGATCCTCACGACCTTGGTCAAGACTCTGCTCTCGATGACGAAGCTGTGTTGGCCCTAGCTGCCCATAACGGCACGGATGGCACAGATCCATATCCCCCAGAGTAAGTTTCACGAATTTGTTCAATGATTGCGGCCGATGCTAATAGAGCGCGTTAGTTTTGGGTATAGAGAAGGTCAGATCTGAAGCCGGACGTTGAATGGAGTATCTGTTGAGTGGAGTGATTCGACACAGGAAGGTAGCATATTTGCACAATTCGGGCGTGTTTAGCGGGTTGGTTTAATATTTCTGTTCCCCTTTTTTTCAGATTATATCTCTCTTCTTGGAGACTCTGTTGAAAAGGTGTCTCCTGGTTTACGATGTCGATATACAAGGATGCTGGGTCTTTTTCCTCTTTGTCTACTTTTCCCCCTTGGTGGGTGTCTTAGCGTTTTCTTGTGGAGTTGGCTCATTGGGATTATAGCTTCATCTCTAGGTAGAGACACAACGGAAGTGGCATGATGGCATGATGAGCGGTACGGCAAGCAACTGGAGGTGTAGATGGGTAAATAATGCTGGGCTGGGTGTTCTAGGAGTGTTTGGGTGCATGGAGCTCAAACGGCTTTCGCATATTCTCTCCCCCGTATCTTAGCTAGCGGTATGCCTTAGATATTACAATAATAGATGGAATTGACTAGCTAGAACTTCGACTTCAGTATTCCGGCGTCTCAAACTAAGCATGCCTGTAGAGAAGCAAAGGATTGACAGGGACACCGGGTTCGTATACGTACCAAGAAGTAAATGCTACCATGCGTTGGGAGTACTGGGAATGGGGGGATTTGTACTTTGCACGTCGTCCTTACACACCAAAGATTGTTACTAGGTATTGCTGGATATAGGTAGCCAATCCCAAATGAGTGCTGCATGTATTGGGTGCGAGCATAATGTGAGCTTCCATTGAAACCAATTCACCGCCTCCACTTGCCTATCGCCTGTCTGCTTCCAACCGCCATATAAGCAGGTAGCATCAGGTAGCATCTGGCAGCCGTCAAACATCGCATCCTCCCGCTCAACTCACCACCTCCAACCTCGAAATCAATCCAGAAAAAGAAAAGAGATTCCCATCATCAACCCAACAAGGACGCATCATGCCTCCCAAAGCTGCTTCCGCGTCGACTCCAGGCTCAGCCACTAAATCGTCTGGAACTTGGGACAATGTTGAGTTCCTCAACGATCTCCTCGTCGCCTTCTATCAGGTGGGCAACCAAGCGGGCAGCTTCAACCAGCAGAGCAATGCCGCGATCGTGGAGTTTTTGACTGCCCAGGGCCATGAGACCTCATGGAGTGCCATACGGTAAGAGGATGTTTCTTTTGACTCGATATGTCGATGCTATACTTTTGGCTTTCTGTGCTTGATGGATTTTTTCTCCCACCCTCTTGAGAGGACAGATTCACTTTTTCACCCCCGTCTATTTCCTGACCCCGTTTCCTTTCTCTTTTTCCTGCCAACGATCGCCACATTCACATTTTGTTCTGGAGAAATAGCTGTGCCTGATGAATAAGACACAACCTGTCACTTATGGACATGTTCGCCCACCCCCTTTACCTTCTCCTCTCTGCTTATCTGGGCAGTCTAAGTCCAGACTGCTCATCTACAGACTTCAATTATACACCGTATTCCTTTCTGCAGAGTTTTTAATCCCATCTTCAAACTTCATTCACTTTTGCAAGCCTTATTATTTCATGCTCCTCTACTCCCTCTACTTCCTCTACTATCTTTCCTTCTTTCACCACCTTCACCACTTACCGTCATTATCTTCACCACCCTCATAGCCTTCTATAAAATTTCGTCACCTCTTGCAAGCTTTTTTCTCGTTCCCAACATCATCATCCTCCAGAATCATCATCAAAAACGCCAAAAATGGCTTCTTCTCGCCAGTTGATGAAGTGGAGTCCTCAAGTTCACGAAGATATCCTCGTATCCGTGTTTCACAACGTGACTTTGTCCACTGAGGATTGGACAAAGGTGATGACAGATCTCAAGGAGATGGGTTATACCTTTTCTGAGAGCGCACTTCGGTATGACAAGTTTACATGGTGCTTCCTCATGTACTTTTAGTACAAAGTCCGCATTGAATCTCTCCAACACTTGCACTTCACTTCACTTCGCTTCACTTCACTGCCAGTTGGCGGGGAGCCAGAAGCCGGCAGAATTTCCACTTACCGCACATCCATACCTTATATTCTTGCCCGTTCTTTTCTGCTTTCCCTCTTCCATCTCTACACTCCATCCTCACTCTACAACCGTCTATTCCAACCCACACATCCCAAGTCTATTCATTCTTCACTTGCTCTATCCCCTTTCAGAATATCCTACCACTCCGTCGTCTTATTTGCTATTCATCATGGGTGCCCCGAAGTCTGCCGATGCTACTCTTTCTGGTAACAAGCCCACCCGTGGCTGGGATGCCGCAGCACATGAAGCTCTCCTGTTGTGCGTCATTGATGAAGTCAAGGGCGGCAAGGCTTTCTTGACCGAGGTCACCCGAAAGATGCAGGCTCGAGGCTACACCTACAGCTACGACGCCATCAAGTACACAGTTTCTCTTGTTCAGTTCTTTGAAGTCTTCGCCTGCTAACGCGTCTTGCCTTTTCTAGCCAGCATGTTCAGAAATTGCGCAAGAACCGCGATACCACTGGCCTTGCCACTACCGCTGACTCTGGTGCTGGAAGTGCCAAAGGTGCTACTCCTCGCAAGACGGCCACTCCTCGCAAGCGCCGCACTCCCAAGAAAGAGATTGTCGCGGATGACGATGACGACATGAATCTCAAGCTGGAGGAGGCTATTGAAGACGAGGAAATGCGCAGTCCATCGATCAGGCCTTCTAAGCGCGCCAAATCCGTCGCCTCGTGAGTACCTCTCAGCTATTTATCCTCCCCGACACCTCAAATAACACGAGACTAATTTTGTCTTCTCTCTATAGGACCAATGGTGACGATATGGATGAAGAACCCAAGCTCGAGATGGACTACTAAGCTTATCTGAAAGCTATTCAGATGGATGCCACTCTTTTTGGGGGTTTACATACCGATGGAAACCAGTGGATACTCTTTGGGCTATGGGACATGGATTGAAGAAAGGGTTAGCTGGTTGAGTGGTATCTACATTGGGAGGGCAAGATATTCGCATTTAAACGCAAGCATATACCGTCTTCGATAGACAGGAAATATCTGCAACGCAAGACTTTGATCTTTGACCACATGACTCTTTGCATTCGTAACCAGCGGACTGTATGTCGCTGAGGGTGCATAAGCGCTCTGACTACAAGACATCTAACTGCTCATATGAATTAACGTGCCATCATGACATTCTATTTATGCGAGCATGACTACTTTGATATGAGATATCTATTCAATATTGGAGATGGAGCGTCTCCATCCAGTATTCTTGCAGCTATTTAGCATGCTTCTACATTTTGCAAGGTAGAGACTGGAAAAGAAATATTAACCGAGCTGCTATGGGATGCCTAGTAGGTTGATATATCATCACGTAGTGGCAACTTCATTTCTGCCTGCCATTTTATTTTCCCTCTGCCACATTCTTTCCACGTTACTCTTTTCTTATTTTATGAGGCGTTTATTTCGTTCGGTTACTCTCTTTTCTAATTCTAGCGGTTTTCCTCCTGTTCCTCTTTTATCCCTCTCCTCCAGATCTCTCAGACGACGCAAGGCACGACGCAAGGCGCAACGCAGAGGGCACCTAATACTTCAAGTACCATTGTACCAGCAACACCTGTAAGCAGTGCACCTCTATGCCGACTATGCTGCAGAGATGAAGAGAGCTTTTAAGGACTGGCAAGCAGGATTTTAAGTAAGTATTCTTCTATTGTTATATTACTTTAATAGCCAATAATTTCACAGCCAACAGTTGGCTGAAATGTTTTACAAGAAGATATCCGAAAGTTTCTGGGAATTCCAGATCTATCGAGATCATGCGAGGCAAAGGACAAAGACTGGAAAGATGAGATTAAAGTTCTTTTTGGCGAGTTTAAAGTGAGTTGTCGAGTTTTATACTTGGCCACGCTCAGTCGCACCTAGGAAGAGGCTGCACTGCCATTCCATTTCGAAACTCTCCCAGATGAATGGAGAGAATACTGTTTTGTGTATAGCCATAAGAAATTTCAACGGCTAGCAAACTCTTGGAAGAACAGAACCTTGAACAGACTTAGGTAAGTAGCCCCCATCCCTCGCCGCAATACTTTACTTTTACAGTACTGACCTATCGAAGGATTTTCATTGACCAAACGGCCGAAGCAGACAAGAGATCTCGCAAACTGGACAAACCGTCTACTTGCCAATCGTGGTTCGAGCAGAGGTATTCGGTGGATAACTTTGTGAACATATTCGACTTCTGTAACAAGTATATCAACATCAACCGATCCTCCAAGTCTGTTCGCCGATGGTGCAAGTGTACCTGTGATCGCCCCATGTCTGTGAAATCATTATTACTAGCCTCATGGCGCCAGTGATTTGGATAGACCTGGGTACCTGCCTCAAGATGGAGTGGAATCTCTCTAATAAGATCGAGAACCATGAAATGAAGGGTATACCATACGGGACCGGCTTTACTCATGCGAGGTATCACCAATACGGAAAGGCTGCGGCGTATGTTCTACAGAATGGCGCCTGCTACTGAATATGTGACTCGCACCGACGCGCTTTGCCGCGCTTTTCAACAAACCTGCAAGAATGGCGTCGCAGATGCTACCAAGGGCCTCAAGCTCCACGAGTTCATGGGAGCTCTGATGTGCTGCCCTGGTTATACCGAAGCAAAGCTCCCCAGAGCTTGGACAACTTTCGCAAACGCCCATCCAGATTTGGCAAACTTCCTCCGAGTAAGCTGCCAGGGTTTCGCTATGCCTGATGGAGAACGATTCCATCCAGTTACGGTTCAAGGATACAAGAAGTTAAAAGTTTTGCTTCACGTTCCAATCCAGCTTACCTCAATCATTATTATGCTGTCACATATTAATTTTCTGTAGTAATTACCACTGTCCAGAATAACTATTATTTCTCTAAATCCTTCTTTTAATGAAACCTCACTATCTTGAAGTTGAAAATATCTTCGTTAAAGTGTGCATCTTATGGAATAGGAATAGTAGCGACAGTATTGACGGATTTCTCATTCCTGCTACTACCGCTCTCTTCTTCTACTATCGCCATCATATACATATTAATATTCCATTTTAACGTAAGACTGGACTGGTTGAGAGTAACTCCTTGGAGGTAGTCATGATTTACTGCAGTACAAACCATGAAATGCTTTACATAGGGAGACACATTGTCTCGACCGGAGTACCGCTGGTAGGTACAAGTCACCAGGCCTCCAGTTAAGACGTACCTATTAGGTGGATATACCTTATAAACAAGAGAGTTGACGGTGATTGAATATGACAGAATTCATGCCAGGTTCCGGATACAATTAGTACAGCCTCTTGCTGTCACCAGTCAATCCGCATCCTATAACATGTAATATGCATCTCCCACCCAAACAACATAACATTCACCAGGATGTATAACTCAAACTCGGCTCACATATGAATTACTAAAGCTTCACTACACAGAAAAACAGGCTTAGTCACTCCATGAGAAAATCCAATTTAAAGGGACTATAAGCAGCAAGCCATCAATGTTTCATCGTCACGTCAAAGTGAAGAGCGAGAGAGAAACCAAGACTCTGCACTCTAGAGAATCCCGTTTACAAGCCTTGAACAATCCATCCACACCGCCCTGCTTTCTGCTGCTCAAACTTGACCACCTACCCAGTACTTATACCCCGTATATTTTCCTTGGCTCTTGTATGAGCACTCTTCTACTCACTCCTCACTCCGCTCTCTTCTTCTCTCCACGCCATACCAGCACCCGAAGCAATACTTTGCTGCATTGGAAAGAAAAATATCACCACTGCTTTCTACTAGATCACAACTCATATCCATCATGGCCCCTCAGGAAAAGAAGTGGGATGACGCCGCCGAGCGTGACCTCTGCGTCGCCATCATCCAGGGAAACCAAGAAGGCACCAAAGTTCGCTACAACTGGCCACGCGTCGAGGAGATCATGACCAGCCTCGGTCACTCGTTTACCAGGGACGCCATGTCGTACGTCTAACTCTCCCTCAGCTTCGCTATAGGCCCCCCCGTACCTTGAGTAACAGGAGCTAACAAAGACATCTTTCACAAATATAGTCAGCACTTCTCCAAGACTATCATGAAGGAGTTCCATGCTCGCCACCCCAAGGACGATACCACTGAAACTCCTCCCGCCAGCGCCACCAAGCCCAAGACTCCTCGCAAGACTGCCACTCCCTCCAAGAAGCGAGGCAAGAAGGGTGCCAAGGCCCAGGCGCCGGAGGTTGACGATCAAACGGACGACGATCTCGAACTAGACGCTACCCCAAGCAAGAAAGTCAAGAAGGAAGACAAGTCCGCCACCTTGAAGAAGGAAGAGGCTGACACTCAGAGGTATGTAAAGTTACACTCATAATCGAGGCCTACACAGAACCAATTCCAAGCTCCTCTCGCTCCCTTCAAGGGAAATATCTTCAATCACTCCAGCTGACTCGTGACCTTTGCTTCAGCGCTGCCGCCAACGATGACAACGACAAGAAATTCCAATCCTGGGTCGCGGAGGGCTCTGACACGAAGCCGTAGCCATTCTAAACCCTGGTTATTATTTTCTATTCATTTCTCTAGGCTCGGGCACCATTTGCATTTTGCTTCACTATTTAGCCTAGTTGGAGACGAGAATATGGGCCATTATGGATGCTATTTACATTTGAGGATTTCGGGGGAAAGTGGCCATTTAACGAATATCATGCGGTAGTCATGGATCTGGATGAGATTGCAGTGAACTTGCTTTAAGCCAGTGCTGGAAATTTAAATCATTCAAAACATCTTCTGTATCCTCTTCTCCTAAGTGAATACTCCTGTTGTAAATTCGCCCAACAACGGTGACTTCAGCTCTGCCAGGTGCAGTTACATGTACGCAGTCGTCAGTGCATGCCCATCTCTTCAGCAGAATCTAAATGAAGGCAAATCTAAGTGAAGGTGGACACCTTTCATTATCCAGCCCAGTGAACGGAAAGTAAATCAGGGTACAGATTATGCGAAAGAAAACGTAGAGCTATGATTTCTATGCTATGAATTCATCAAACCATCCTATGTCACAATTTCCCAGCCCCAAACGCCGCACTGCAAGATGAATAATACCAACAATGAGGCCCATTTACCGTGGTCGTCGGCCATCTAGTCTGTTTCCATCATTTGGTCCCTTCTTATCTGGGGCTTTTGACTTGTCGTCGGCGTCTCCCTTTCTCTTCGTGGTCCCACGCAGACTCTGTCCTTGACCAGCAAAGTGGGGCTTGGATGAGTTCTCTTTGTCCTGGTCCTTCTCGGTATCCGTCTTCAGTGGCTTCAGTTCGTATCCGAAGAAAAGCTTGTTGGGAGGAAGGCGAAGAGGTGCGGGGGCGCCGTTTCGTCGTCTTGGGGCGCCGGTCGTGTCGACCGGTACTGGCGTTGCGGGTTTTGGCGTTGCAGTCTTGCTCCCCTTCTTGGTCAATCGCTGGCCTTCTCCAAGGAAATTGGTCGGCACGCTGGTCACTGATGGAGCAATAGAGCTGTAGTTTATGGCTTGAGCCATGGTCCCCTGACTGTGTAAAACACCGCCAGCAGGCACGCCGCCCATGGTGCTCCTTGGTGTGCTGGTTCCGCTCTTCCTCTCAGGTTCGACGTAGCCAACCGGTGCCGCAAACTCAACCGACACATCAGTTTCAATCATGCTGACACCCATCTTTTCTGTCTCTGGCTTGACGTCCAGGACCGCGACCTCGTAGACCTCGTCGTTGTACTCAAAGTTGAAAATATCGCCTTTTGTAAGGGTTGCAAAATTTCTGAATGCTTTTTCCAAAACTGCCTTTGGATCGCTAATATCGAGGAAGTTGACGGATTGTGGCTGAAGCTTGACCATTCTGGCCAGCTCAAGCGAAGTCGTTCGAATCTGGATCATGTCACCCACATCCAAGCCCAGGGTCACCATCATCTGTCAACAGTTAGCCAACGCTGCATCAAAGGGGACTGGTCTAGAGTATTCGGCAACTCACCCACTGGGGGATATATGCCCGACCTTCTTCAGCAATGAACTCTAGAACACCAGCATGCGAGTGTTTGCCTTTTTCGCCGTTAATCATTTCCATCAGCAAGGGCCACTGAACATGAAGTTTAGAAACTTTGTCCAGCGCCGACGGCGGAAGAATGATCTTGGATCCAAAGTTCAGCTCTGGCCGTTCACTGCCCGGCGCCATGATGAGGGGGTAACATCTGTAATACTCGTCGAACCGCTGGATTATGGGTCGTCGGCCATGGCGTGCCATGTTGTAGAGGTGTTCCGGATTTCCGGGATCGAAGGCACCAAAAGACTTGCGAGATGTTAGCAGACAGTAGCAGACAGCTCTGGGAGGCGATGTGTCAAACTCACCATCTTGACGAAGTAGTAGTAGGCAGCAGGCGAATATGACGGGGCTTCCTGGCAACTAGATTATGAAATGGTCCAAGGGAGATCGAGATTAACGCAGTCAAATCAACCTCTCCCGATATTTCTCGATAGCAACTCTTTCAGCGTTACAGAGATTCCTGCTGTGTTTTCACTGTCTTGGTGAAGTACAAGTCAAAAGTTGAGAAAGGCGGAAGACGTGGGGTTCGCAGTGGAGGCAGCTGTTGAGTGACGCAGGTACCTCTTATCGTAGAGCTGCGACCAACGCCAAAAAGTTAATCCCGGTCTCGAGCTTCCCTGCGCTAAACACGCGCCACTCATTGCCTTCTCAACACGTCATCTCTGATTATTTTGTTTGAAGTATTCATTAACAATTGTTTAGGGAGGCATACTGTTATTGGCTGGTTCTTTTGACCTGCTTCTCTGCCCACCACTCGAGCACAAGAGGCCATCGGCCGAGCCATTCTGTCCTCCCACAGCGCCATGTCTTCTCGATACTCTGCGGCGCGCCCCAAGCGAGCGGGCGAGAACTTTGCCCGAACGCACTACAGCAACGAGGAGGACACAAAGCGAGTCAAGTTTGATGTTCGCAATCCATCCATCTTGGCGCCAGACGCGCGGGAAGACGATGCGGTTCTCGACGCCGACGTCATCGGCGGCAGCGGCGCCACGAAACGAGGTGCCGTGAATCTCGATGGCTACGACAGTGATTCGGACAATGAGAATTTCAACGCGCGGGCAGGGACCCGCAAGAAGGGAAACGTCAATATCCTGGAGCAGCTGGACAACTACGATGCAAAAGGAAGCAGCAACCAGGAACAGTCGGGCGGAGCGATCAACGAAGATGATGACGACGACGACATGTTCGCGGCCGAAAACGATGACGAGAAAGGAAAAGAAGAAGTGAATGGCGAGGATGAAAACTTTGAAAAGTCTGGCAGGAAGAAGAAGGATGTCAAGTTTCTCGATGATGCCCAGATTCAAGGCGAAGAAAAAAAGAGTAAAAGTCGTGGTGCTATCCGCCTGGACGAGCGTGAAAGCAGCGATGATGAGGATGATCTGGAGCTTGCGATCCAGGAAGAAGGAGTGGATGAAGAGGTGGGAGCGGGCGGCCTAAAACGCAACGCACCAAAAGTCGAAGCCTTCAACCTCAGAGAGGAGATGGAGGAGGGACGCTTTGATCAAGACGGCAACTACGTTCGAAAGGCTAATGATCCCGATGCTATGCATGATAGCTGGCTCGAAGGCTTCAGCAAGAAGGAAATGAAAAAGGCGGCGGCAGCGCACGAAAAGCGCGAGGCCGAAGCTCGGGAGAGACGCATCCAGGAAGATGAAGTCTTGGTCTCGGAGCTGCTGGCAACGTTGATCCGGAGGCTAGAGAAAACCGAGACACCCTTGGAAGCCCTGGCACGATTGGGCAAAGACAAGACGAAGACCAAAAAGATCCCCAAGTGGAAGCTCAAGAAGATGAACAAGGGTGCAGAAGCTATGGAAACAGATCAAGAGGCGGCAGTCGACCCAAAACAAGCCGAGGTTAAGCAAGCAATCGACGCCATTACGGATGCGGCCGACAAACTACTAAGCCGTGGACGCGAGGAAATCTACGATCAAGAGAGAGAGCTGCTGGTTCGTGAATATCGACGTGAGACTGGAGAAGATTGGGTCGATACCAAGGTGGAAGAAGCCCCGTCGTCTGCCACCGCTGATGCTGAATCTGTTCCGGCTAGTGACACCATGTGGGAGTTTAGGTGGACGGATGGTCGAGACGATGCTGCAAAGCAAGGTCCTTTTGATGGCCCCACGATGAAAGCTTGGCAGGATGCTGGATACTTTGGCCAAGGCGTCGAGTTCCGGGCTGTTGGCGGAGCTGGAGGTGAGGGTGTGTGGACAGCATCGGCTGACTTTTCATGACGATTCTAAGCAGGCAAGCAAGCAAAGAGAAAAGAAAGTGTGTGAGAGCCGAGCGAGCAGACAAGCGAGCGGGTAGAGCCGCTCCCTCGCGTTCCTGTGGCTTATTTTCGTGCCGGGCAGACTTGTGAAAGTGGGAACATGGAACGTCGACAAGCAGCATCTCGTTGGTCCCCTTAGGGCAGTCAACGCTCTGCACGTCCGTCCCGGCGCCTCTGCCGCGGCTAAAGAAGGGCACGGTACTGGGCAGACGAGAATGCAACCGCAGATGGTTCCTGGAACTCCCGATCTCAACGGGGCCGGACGGGCTGCCCATGGGGCGATCTGGGGTCGCAGGCTTCTCCAAGATCCCACAAGCCGTAACGCTCCGGCGCTTGTATTCCGCAACGGCCCTAGGGAAGCGCGATGGCAGCCGAGCTTTGCCGCCTGGATGCAGCAGAATGCAGGGGCCGTTGCGTTTACGGTTGGGCATGTACGAGTAGCACATAGCAGACCTGTAGATGTAAAGGTTAAGAAAATGAGGGCATCGCCAACTTCCCGCGTGAACTCGACACCCGACCGCATCAACAGGCATTTAGTTCCTTACAAATGCCAATTACGAGACGTGACTACTGTTTTGGGAAACGGCGCAATGAGCGATTTCCATTATTCACCACTTGCAATTCGCACACGCCACCGTTGCCCTTATCATGCCGTATCAAGTCTATATCCGCGTACCCACGGGGGAAAAAAATTGCGTATCACTGAGCCAGGCGCGGCCACGGGGTGCGGCAGCCTCTGTTCAAAGGGCGACGTTGGATCATTCTCCCACAGCCGCCGTGGCCGCTGCCCGAGAGCGGCCTCGCTGTGACATAGTGATCCGTGTTGAGTCCTTGGCTTGTTGATGGATTTGGCCCCCCTCTGGCAGTCTAACAGCCAACAAAAAAAATAATACGGCCGCGGCAGCACCGGTGAAACGTGGGATGGGCTCAGCTCTGGGCCGTGGCCATGAGCATGAGCGGATGGCGGCATCATGTCAGATGGTGTTTTCCTCGCTCGGGGTTTCCAAGAACATCTGCCATGACCTCATATTCCTGATAGACGGCGGATGGCGAGCCCTTGCTTCTGACACGTCCCTTTTTTTGCACTTCGCCTTCTTCTTTCCGCTCCCTTTGTTCGAACTCGGCCGGCGTTGGCCGGTGGAGTCGACAATTGAGGCGGCCGGGCGTTTGTTGGGAGGCGAATTCCCGTTCCTGGAAGCAAAAACGCCCCGCCGGTTCCGTAAAAAACAGCGCAGCGCCTTCGCTAGGAGCAGCTTGGCTGTGGCCCTAGCCTTACGGCGGCGGATTAGACAAACGGATGTGGAATCGTTGAGATCGAATGTTTGAAATCTTGGGAGCTGCTAGTTCGAGGCTGTCGGTGAGCTGGTTTGCAGGGCGTTGCATGATGGGAAAGGGCATGGACGGGCTGATGATACGGGTGTCGTGGGCGATATAGGCTATCAATGCTACGATTATCAATGATTGACTGCTAACCGGGTGGAAGCTGCTTGCCTGCCTTATCAAACAAGCACCGCCCGGCATTGTACGTCAAGGTCACGTCAAAGCTACCGCGCCGTACCTGGTTGTAGCTGCTAGGTAGCTCCTCGCCGTCGCGCGCAAGGGCAGCAACTCGGCGATACTCGCACCCCCCCAAGGCGATACCACCCGGCAGCTGGAGGGCTACCACACAGCTACTGCTGAGCTGTTAGTTGCTCGTTACCTACTATGATTTGCAATGGATGCCATGCCATGCCATGCCCTGTAGCAGTAGCGGGGCCCAGTGTTTAGACGCGTCCCAGCCCAGGCATTAATGTCGCTCATCCGATGCCGCATCACCGTTGTGTCAGAAACACTATTAATCTTTCCACCTCCCTCCTGATCTCTTCCTCCTTTTCTCTTCCTCTCCATACCCAGCCCCAGCAAGCATCGTATCTCCCTCGTATCAACTCCAGCCCAGGTTAGTATACCATTCGATTCGATTCGATTCGATACCACTACCACTACCACTACCACTGCCATGTTCATGTTGCGGCCAACGCTACGACTGCTGTTCGCCTGCCCCTCCTCTCCCTCGTCGCCTTGCCCAGTAGCTACCCCGCCAGTCCTGCGTCACCAATTTTTTTTTTCCTCCTTACTTATTTACCCCTCCTCCCTCCCGCCCTGAAGCAGAGATTTGAAGCTTACCACGCAAACTCATCAATCGCAGTCACAAATCAGCTACAATGGCTCCCATCAAGGTCGGCATCAACGGCTTCGGTCGAATTGGACGTATCGTCTTCCGCAACGCTGTTGAGCACCCCGATATCGAGGTCGTCGCCGTCAACGACCCTTTCATCGAGACCACCTATGCTGTGAGCCGCGTCCCCCCTCTTTTCTAGAACTGCCCCTCCTCAGCCCAACGCAATGCCCCTCGGATTCTCACCCAATTGAGGGTGAGAAAGAGACGATAACAAGATTAAACTGCTTCAATGTCGCTCTTGATGCCATGAGATTGGAGGTTCCCTACCATCTACTGTTATGATGGCGAGAAATCTTCTCAGCAATGGCAGAAGCTGCGAATGGCATTGTCGACAGATGGCCGCATAATGTCTCAAAAAAAAAAAAAAAAAGGCCATCAAGGTCGAGCAATGCTCAGCTCCCTCATTGCACCACTACCCCTCACTTCATGCACAGCTCCATTGTTCATCCGCTAACCCGAGACATTACTAGGCCTACATGCTCAAGTATGATTCCTCCCACGGTCTCTTCAAGGGCGATGTTGAGGTCGATGGCAAGGACCTCGTTGTGAACGGCAAGAAGGTCCGCTTCTACACCGAGCGTGACCCTGCCAACATCAAGTGGAGCGAGACTGGCGCCGACTACATTGTCGAGTCCACCGGTGTCTTCACCACCACCGAGAAGGCCAAGGCTCACTTGGTTGGCGGTGCCAAGAAGGTCATCATCTCTGCCCCCTCTGCCGATGCCCCCATGTACGTGATGGGTGTCAACGAGAACGACTACAACGGCTCTGCCGATGTCATCTCCAACGCTTCTTGCACCACCAACTGCCTGGCTCCCCTCGCCAAGGTCATCAACGACAACTACGGCATCGTTGAGGGTCTCATGACCACCGTCCACTCCTACACTGCCACCCAGAAGACCGTTGACGGTCCCTCCGCCAAGGACTGGCGTGGTGGCCGTGGTGCTGCCCAGAACATCATCCCCAGCAGCACTGGTGCCGCCAAGGCTGTCGGCAAGGTCATCCCTTCCCTTAACGGCAAGCTGACCGGCATGTCCATCCGTGTCCCCACCGCCAACGTCTCCGTTGTCGACTTGACCGTCCGCCTCGAGAAGGGCGCTACCTACGCTGAGATCACCGAGACCATCAAGAAGGCTGCCGATGGTCCCCTCAAGGGTACGTAGCAACGATATCATAAAGATTTCCTGTCCATTTACAGCAGAGTGCTAACTATATGCAACAGGCGTTTTGGCCTACACCAACGACGATGTCGTCTCCAGCGACATGCTCGGCAACACCAACTCCTCCATCTTCGATATCAAGGCCGGTATCTCCCTGAACGACAACTTCGTCAAGCTGGTCTCCTGGTACGACAACGAGTGGGGCTACTCCCGCCGTGTCCTCGACCTTTTGGCCCACGTCGCCAAGGTCGATGCCTCCAAATAAGTGTTTGATCTGATCAGATGAGCCCAGGCTGGGGGGCATGAATCATTGTCTGTAGAAACACCAAAAAAATTAAAAAAAATTAATAGTGACCTTGAGTTTCTCCGCGTACAAAGTGAACCTTGACATTGATTATCTCGATAAATACGACCAATCCGTTCAAATACTGGTGTCCTCATTTGTGAACTGATAAAGCGGTAATTATGCAAGTCCAAAAATCGTATGTACGACCCATCTTCAACGTGCCAATGAGAAGAAGGATGCCCACTTTGTAAATACAACACCAAGACTGGGAGATTAATTAACCATCACGTATGCAAATTCGCTTTCAATCATGAACAGGGTTTTATTCCATCTAATTAATGGGACCTCTGCAAGGCTCTCCATCACAGATATAGCCATCATCATGCAATGCAAACCCGAAAAGGGGGGAATTGCATAAAGCACATTGTATAAAACGCAGGATCCGCCCCAACTTTTATTGTTCAGCAAAAATAAGAGAAACAAATAGTAACAGTTCGCAGAGCACATAGACTTGTCTGCCCAGGTCGTTCCGCTCCGTCGATCCATCCTCCCTCTTTTTCTCTTCACCCTCGATCCCCCTGTTTGTCAAGTAAACTGCTGCCGTAGGTTGATGCCATCCGACGTTTAGTCATATCTTGAGGTCCAAGGATAATCAAGTTTGTAGAGAGAGAAAGCGGAGATAAATCTTGAAGGGAATGAGGTAGATGAAAAAGGAGAAACTCATCAATATTACATTGTTCCTCTTCCAGCCATTCTCCCAAACCCACACGCCACGAAATAGGAATGATTCCCATTTCCTGCTGTGTGCTTGTTCGCAAACAGGGTTGTTGCTTCCAGCACAAAACATAGTGACACGCGAAAAGAGAGAAGCGGCGACAAAGAGAAAACAGTGTTGAGCACAGGGGATATCATAAGAACGTCAAGCAAAAAGAAAAGAAGAAGTATTTTTGCTAACAAACAAAAGGTCAAACGATAACTGATGCAGCCCCCCGTCTCGCGGTGGCGCAATGGTGAAATCTTCGTCTTCATCGACCAGGTAAACCCGACATCTCCTCTCGGCTTGTATGAAGCCAGACGACAAAGAGGAAGAATCGAAAAGGTTCATTGTTCGTGACCAACGCCAAAATGCAGAATCTCTCTCTCTTAATGTAAAAACAAAAAAAGGTCTTTTGTTCGCCCGTTTTGCCTGCATATAAAACCAGTTAGGTCATTGTGGCGAAGATAAGCCCGCAGGCTCTGAAACGGCCACCCACCCAACTCCATCCATCAGCCATGCCGATTATCGTAAAGTGTATATAGGTAGTTTAAATAAGAGGTTACCAGACAAGAGGTTTTCCTCTGCCCCTTTTTAATGTCATCCAATTCACTTCAGTGGCCACGAGGTGCAACGGACTCTTCGAGGTTAGCATCAGGAGCCCAGTCGACATCCTCGTGGTGACACCAGTGCCTGAGGGTTCGAAGAGTTGCCGACATCATATCATCAAGTGATTCGTGCGGCTGAACATGAAGACGCAGAGAAGGATTCTCAATGTTGTTGAGAGCCTCATTGATCTGGGAGTACAGTCGGAGTCGTGACCGCTCAAGCCGGACCCAATCTGGGGGTGGATGAACAGGATTTTCAGACGCCACATGGCACCGAATCAGCTCAGTGATGGCCATGACATGAAGGTTCAGAACCAGCACATAGAGAGGGAGGAATCGTCGAGTGTGCGCTTCCTGCCTCTTCATTTGGCCCTGGATGAATTCGAGCAGGGGGAACAGGCTAGACCATCCAGTCGGGTCGCTCCTCTTATTGCACAACCCGCGATAGATGTTTTGCGCCTGGAAGCCGGCCATAAAGGCCAGTAAACTTTCCAAACTAATCACGTAGCCCCTCTTTAGATCAGGCTCGCGCGAGCTACCACTGGCACCACCTCTCATTGCCGTGTCTGCCTCATGCTTGAGGCGGCGTCCAAGAGTAGAGAACCGAGCTTCTTTCTCTCGCATAGACTTAGCCTCGGAGGATTCTGAGCGATTTGCATCTTGGCCATTAACCCGACGGTCAGATGAGGCAGAGGCGGACGGTGTAGCGTTGACAGTGTCTCCAGGTGTCTGGGCCAACGAGTTGCTGGAGCTGACGCGTGACATCGAGGTAGCACCCTTTTTGGACGGTGTAGTTGGAGCGGGAAGACGGGACGAGTTGGGGATCTCAGGGACTTTGGGTTTCTTTTGTGAGGTGCTTTCTGACGATACCGCCGTGTCGGGGACAACAGGCCGTTTCCTTGCGGGTGGAGGCTGAATAGTGTCTTCCGATACAGTGGTATGTTCTTGGTTTTGCGCTTGCAGCTCCTTACGGGCAGCAGTAGATGATGACAAGGCCAGGATGCGTTTAAAGTCTCGCCGTAATTTCTTGGGCACTTTAAGCTTGACCATGAGCGTCTTCCGTAACTTTTGCTGAAGGGGTTCGTCCTCGTCGTCGGAGTAATCAACCACAGGCTTCTTCTTCTTGGCTGGTAGCTCCTTCTCTCTCTCATCTTTACTCTTGAGGGGCTTGCTTTCCAACGACTCCATCGATGCTTTCTTTCTCAGCAACAATGCAGCCTCCACTACCGGCGGCAAGGTTGGCGATAGCAACGGCGGGATTCTCGCTGGTGACCTTTGTCTCTTGAGCTCAGATATGGACTCGGACTTTCTATGCGCTCGGTTAGGCGACTTGGTCCGTTCACGGGACTCTTCCCGAGGTTTCTTTTTGTTTTGTTTCGCCAACGATCTGTCTTCGGCATCGCGATCCTGAAAGGTGAGGTGGAGGGGGGATAATAGAGGAGGCACAGTTGATCTTAGTGCCTCAGGTTTGGTGGGTGTGACTCGGTTACTTCCTGTGCCGGCAGGTCTCACGCCATTCATGGAATCGCCTCGTGGACGATGTGCAGGTGAGGTATTGTTGCGACTGGAGCCCACGGCGCCTTTGAGAAGGGCTCTGCCATTGGGGAGAGAGGAGGAGTTGGCGGCTGAAACAGATAGCCTATCGTCTTTGTGCGACGGCGCATCTCTGGAAGCCGCCGAGGAGACTTTATCCTTGCGTTTCTGCGCGTCATCGCGGGAGTGCTGTACCCGGTCATCGACGTGCTTGCTGCTGTCGGACTTGGATCGCTTCTGAGGTCGCGATTCGTCATCCGGGTCAGCCACGCGTTTCTTGGAATTGGGAGAAGGCGGTCGGGGTGGTAATGGGTGTTTGGTAGGAGGTTTAAGAGGTAATCTGGATCAATGTTAGCTGCTGCTGATCCCTCAATGCTACCGTTGCTCCGATCTGTTGCGGAGCTGCAAGTACCCACCTCATATCAGCGGCTTGTTCGCGACCCTGTCGCTGTTTGGCGTCGACGTGCGGATCTGATTCTCGCGGCCTGGGTTTGTCCATCTTCCTCGCTTCCGGGGCCGACTTGGATTCTGATGCGGATTTGGGGTCCGAGGTGGCCCCCGTGCTTGCTGACAGCTCGCCAGCGCGTTCGCTTTCCTTTTTCTTGGCGATTGATGGTTCTGGCGGCGACGTGGACGACGTGGCCCCCGTCTTTTTGTTCTTGTAGTCGCTCAGCGACAGCTTCTTCTTCTCGCCCCCCTTGGCCAGCGCGTTGACCTCGCGTGGAAGCGGTTTGACCGGTTCCTCACGCATGTCATAGTCGGACTTGGTGAAGAGGACGCCGCGATCGGCTTCGGACAACAGCGTCAGGTATTGCAGGCGGGGATGATGCCATTCCTCAAAGGAATTGCTGTCACCGTGGCTTGGGCGAAACCGCCATTCGGGGTGGAAGGCTAGGTGATGGGGTCGTTCTGGCAGGATGCGCTGGCTGAGCACCTCGATCGTCTTCCGCGCCGCTTCCATCGTGCTTGGGCGTGATCATGCCGCAGGCACGAGTGAGCGGCGGAGCGCGACCGACGAGACGGGCGGCAGCGAGAGGCGGAGAGCGCGACAATGGAGGCGGCTTTGATGGTGATGCAGACGCAAGTGCCGCACGGCTGGGGGCTGCAGCACAGAGGCAAAAGCGAGACAAAAAGACGGCCAGGACAAAGGACCGAGCCAGAGGCGATCGTGGTCGGGGCGCTCAGCAGAGCTCGGGGCCGCAGCCGCTGCTCTCTGGTATCTCGCACAAGGCGCTTGTCTCGCGAGCAGAAGCGAATCGACGGAGCGCGACAGGCGGCCGAATCGCAGCAGGGCGAGGCGGAGCGGCAATGGATTGGATGTTCGTGGAGGGACGTGATGCAGATGCCCACGAGATGGTGTTTGGCGATCGGTACCAGGAAGAGCGGCCGGCGGTGGGTGGAGGCGCATGTACTCTTGACTGGCGCTGCTCAGGCCACCCGAACGGCTACCTAAAAGGCTGGGCTTCTATTAGTCCGCTAGTCTGCTAATACTACGTACCTGTATTACTGGTGCTCCCCTGGGCCTTGGGGGCCTGTGCGTTTTGTATGGACGGGCACCAGAGAGCGCTGTGCGAGCTCACTTGTAGGTCACTTCAGCAGCTTAAGGTTTCGGGCTTAGTGGTGCATGCACGCTATAATGCGATACGCGCCGCCAAGCAGGGAAATTCCGAAGTGGCGTCGACGTTTTTGATATCGATGCTTGGATCTGAGAGAAAAGTCGCACACAATCAATGCGTAGGGCACTTTGTAGCTTATAGAAGAAGAAGGGGTCAAAAACACAGCCATTGTTTGTGATTGACTACATGTCTACAGTATGCATCTTGCAATGCATTGACTTTTTTGATTGGCTGATGGACTTGTTTCGGATGTTCTCTAATAGGTTCCTGTACCCTTTTAACAGTCCACATTACTTTGGTGCATTGCTGTCCTCAAGTTTTCAGTTCTCCATCAAAATGTAGATAGCAAGGCGGCTCTGACTTTGCTTTGTTTTGCTTTTCCTGCACTATAGATAAGCTCACGAGCTTGTATCCTCTCTCCAAGCTTTCAGAGGCGGCGGCATGGCGTTTATTTAAGGGAAGGGCTATTTAGCACCCCAGCGGCTAAGAGGAGTTCCGAATGGAGTAACAACGAGATGATCTCTTATCACCGTTACTGAAATAGATATTACACAGTTCCTAGAGTATCTGCTACTATCACTACTCTCTGCTACTATCACTACTCTCTGCTACTATCACTACTCTCTGCTACTATCACTACTCTCTGCTACTATCACTACTCTCTGCTACTATCACTACTCTCTGCTACTATCACTACTCTCTGCTACTATCACTACTCTCTGCTACTATCACTACTCTCTGCTACTATCTATATATACCTCTAATATCTGCTATAATTATTACCCAGGCTGCTTTAAAGTTAAGAATGGGTTGCTGAATAGCGAACTTGGGGTGCTGAATAGTCACTCCCTTATTTAATTGCTTGATATATACGCAATCATATCATGTAACGAGTCCCAGTAGATATCAGACAGGTCTCTTATTACGTTGTTTCGCTGTTGAAAGCTGTTCACAGAGGGCAAGTCAGGTGCTCTTGAGAATACACTCGTCCTATCCTATTGACCTGATTTCATGCCTCCCGTCTCCCCTTTTCAAGATATTGAGCAAACATTCTCTATTCTCACCTTTTCGTCACACGGCTTGTGCTACTCTCTTTACAACATTCTCTTGTGGGTAGCTTTTGTTATGCAGCGAAATGTCCATTACACAGAAGTAGCCTGTAATAGTATAGGAACATCACCACCACCATCACCATCACCAAATCTCATCACCAACATGTCACAAACAGAAACTAATCACAAGTGCAAATCTCTTGTTAAACCATGTCTACAGATCAACCTGCCTCCTTAGTGGCCCTTGGCAATTCAAATCTCATACATCATGGATCTTACTCAATCCTCCAGATCGCCCATGTGTGCGCAACCAAGGGAGTTACCGCCTCGCCGGTAAAAGTCATTCTGACGGAACACTCCGTACCACACGCGTTTCCCATTGCGCCAAGCTGTCGAAGCAAACATTGGCCCTTGAATCCTGGCGCGCGATTTCCGAGACTCAGACTGACCGGTCTCTTGGCCTCATCAATCCCGGAGAGATAAAGAATTCATTCCACCACCTCAACCAAGAAAAAAAAAACACTCTCTGACCTTATTGTTCCCTGGCGCCATGCAAATCTCTCAAAGCCCAGTGCGAGAGATAATAACAACGGTAAAGATTCCATTACATGTCTGTTTGGTGGCCATTAACCACCCTTGCGTTGCCGCTTACAAGCTTTCGCTTCTTGTTGCTTGTGCTCTCCCAGGCCGCGATACGCGTCTCAATACCGCTCACCTGCTGCTTGAGGAGCTTTATTTGTGGTACTGCTGCTGGTCCTTCCGGGATCGTTCTGTTGATGTGATTCACCATGTCTCTGTAAAGGCCTTGGGTACTAAAGTTAGTTTGCCATGAGTTGAGGGTTTGCACCTGAATGTAAACCGATTCCATTTGAGATCTGAATTCATCCATGATCAAGCCGATACGGATATTTGTTGATTCTTCAAGCCGCTTCACTTCATCAGTTTGTCCGTCCAGTTTCTCCGTCAGCCCAGAGTAGTCTGTCTTTGTTGTGGCACTCTCTTTTTGGATCTCAGTTATCTGGCGAGCGACATCGCCGACTTGCTCTTCCAGAGTCTCTCTCTTGTGTCTCTCTTGCTCAAGAAAAGGTCGAAGCTTGTGCTGGATTTGCATAATCATCTCTCTTGTGTCTTTGGTATTCTTTGCCATCTCGGGCTTGATGACCTCTAATATCTGATCATTAGAGACAGATACCGGCTTGGTCGAACTGAGCTTTTGTACACGCTCTTTTATTTCTTCTCCTTCCTCCAGGAAGTTAGTCAAAGTAGATTCCAGGGAATCGAGGCGCAAATTAGCTTCGTCTTGCATCTGCTCTTTGTCCTTGATGAGTTTCGAATGGTCGCATATTTGTTCCGCCAACTCCTCGATTCTGGGGGAATGGTCAGGCAATAGGTTCACCTGAGCCTCAAGCTTCCCCAACTTTTTGTCTTGAGAGAGTGAGAGCTGCTGCAACTGCTCAGCAAGTTGCGCCTTGTTGATCCACGATTCCGATAGTATTCGTTGGTCGGAGATTGTCATTCTAAGTTCGGCGTCTATCATTGCAATCTTGTCGTCCAAAGAAGTAAGCTGCGACTTGCTTATCAATGAGTCCACCAGCAGTTTCTGATCTGCCTCCGCCCTGTCAGCTCTGAACTCTAGCTTTAGCACCCTTTTGCCAAGTCCAGCGTTCCTTTCGCTTTCCTTTGACAAATTCTTTTCGAGCGCCGCAGCTCTGGTTTTGTGGTTTGCTTCTTCGGACAGAATCTTTTCTAGTTCTGCAATTCTGTCTTTATTTTGTATTTCCTCAGACAGAGTCGTTTCGAGAGCTGCAATTCTATCCCTGTTCTTTGCTTCTTCAGACAAGGCCTTCTCCAGGGCTGCAATTCTGGCCTTGTTACTTGCTTCTTCAGACAAGGTCTTCTCCAGAGCTGCAATTCTGGCCTTGTTACGTGCTTCTTCAGATAAGGCTTTCTCGAGATCTGCAATCCTGTCCTTATTTCTTGCTTCTTCAAACATGGCCTTTTCGAGAACCGCGATTCTATCCTTGTTCTTTGTTTCTTCATACATGGCCCTCTCAAGAGCCGAAATCCTGTCCTTGTTCCTTGCTTCTTCAAACAAGGCCTTCTCGAGAACCGCAATCCTGTCCTTGTTCTTTGTTTCTTCATACACGGCCCGCTCAAGAGCTGCAATCCTGTCCTTGCTCTTTACTTCTTCTGACAATGCATTTTCGAGCGCGGCGATTCTGGCTTTGTTCTTTGCTTCTTCTGACAATGCATTTTCGAGCGCGATGATTCTGGCTTTGTGTTCTCGATTGATGGAATCCTTCATCTCTGCAACTCGCTTCTCATTGTCTTGCATTAGTGTCTTTCTGAGAGAGGTTGCCCTGTCTTCCGCCTCTTGGGCCAGCGTCTTCTGAAGAGAGTGCAGTTTCTGCTCGTTTTCTTGAGTTAGCGCCTCCTTGAGCTTGGCCATTTGCGATCCGATGAGGTCTTTCATCAATTGCTGTGACTCTGTCGCTTCTTTCTTGAACGATTCCTCCATCTCCTTTTGTATGGTATTTTGGATGGTGTTCATCTTGGCCTCCGATGCCTCCCGATCCTCCGAAGCATTTGATGCATCAGGGCTCTTGGACCAGGCTTCCGACATGTGCTGCAAAAGTTGCTGCATAGCTGCTGCGATTCTGTCGTCGAATTCTCCCAAGTTTTTTTCGGCCTTGCGCATTTCTTCGAGAGTTTGCCTTTGCTGAGTAGCCAACAACTCAGGTGAGCTTGCATAGTCTGATGGGCGGTAATGGCTTTGCTCTTGATTTGCCATTGCCCTTTTGTGAGACTTGGACGCCTCGTTTCTGGCTCTGAACCATGTCATTCTCTCAGCGATGAGATCTAGCACTGGTTTGAGGGGGACGCTAGATACATGGCTGGTGGACGACTTGGAGGATTGACTTGAAGGATGCGGTCTGGCGTTATCGGGAGGGCGCTGTCTATTGGCTCCTGTACCAGAATATTGTTAGTTGGTTCACAGTCTGTGCTTAACAAAGCTTTTCGAGCAAGGCTTTGGGGTGTCACTACCTAACGCTGTTGGACTGGATCCTTCGAGACGATCGCGTTGGCCAACCGGACTCCGCTCATCACGCCGATCGATATTGCGAGTGCGCTTAAGATTCGACGCAGTATCACCTGATGGTCGCTGACTATCTCCTTGAATCAAGTCTCGCTTGATACTACGACCCTGCCCAAAGGTTTTATGGAATCCTTGCTGCGAAGGCCGCCGAGGAAGATCGTGACCCATGATGGCGGTGGAATAGGATATGGATAATGACGGTGATATAAGCAGAATCTCTGAGAAGATACTCTGAGAGACAAAACTTCAGTTTACTACTGAGTCACCGATAATCATCTTCTTCCCACCCATTTAGCGAGCTCTGGGCGAGCTTCTTGCTCGGGGAGATATCCCAAGCTGTATAAAGCGGTAGGCGCCGAAAGAATATCCGAGAAGCGGGTACAGAATATTATAAATGAAGGCAGATATTTTGTCAATACAAAGCAGACACAGTGTTGTTGGGTTGAGAGCCGGTGGGAAAAAAACAGACGAGGCAGGTTGGCAGAGAATGGTGGATGCGGTAAGTGTGCGGGTCGGGGCCCTCGTTTGTTTGAATAGGTTTTGGCAGAAGCTGCCAAAAACAACCTTGGAATTATATGTAGTCTTGGAGAGTTAAGGCACTAACATGGATGGGCCTGTCACGGTCTTAAAGGGCTGCTGTGCTAGGGGGGGATCTCTGTCTACAAGGCGCTGGTTTTCACGGCAGACTGTTACTGCAGTAGCTATTAGCTGCAAGAATTAGGGGGAACCACTGCTAGAGGAGATCCAAACGATTCCTTCCTATTCCACCCACACGCAGAGCCGCGAATAGGAAGCATTTCCGTGGACTTGGTCAATTATCTGAACACAGATGGCAAACAAAAACTCGGGTTGCAGGGATTAAATAACAAGAACCAGAGCCAGGTGGCTTTCAGCTAATGTTCTGGGGTGGGGATTCGATGCTGGTAGAACAGGGTTTCGGTTGGTCAGAGGGCAGCCAGCAAACAACCTAGCAATTTCAGCAAACAAAAGCAAATATGGGGGAAGATTGATGAGAGGGGGAAGAGTGCTGTACATGTACCTGGAGCAGGTCAGGCTGTGGCCTGCAGGATTGCTGCCTAGCATTAATGTATCGTGCATAGGGGGCATAAACTAATGTAGCATAATATGGGTTATTGCTTGGGCAGCAAGGCAGCACCAGAGATGCCCAAAAACACTGCTTGTCCTTGATGCTCGTGCAAGTTCTCAATATCATAGAACCTAATGCATCTCAAATCCCGGTGTAGGTCAGCGATCACCGCTATTAACTTTGCTCCGCCCCTTGTTCCCGATCACCCTTAGCCTCCATAGGCAGATGCTAAAGCGATCAAATGCGCCCCACTGCCCGTCCACTGTATTTGAGGCTTCCTACCTAGTAGGTTCTGTTTAGCTGCCCAGCCCAGCACGTAAGCGCCAGACGCGCGCTTCTCCGGAACCGTAATTTTTCCTGGGTGCTGAGAAAATGGAACAGCCATAGCTCGAGCAGCCATTCCAATTCGCCTGGTTTGTTTGGAGCAGGCAAGCATCCTTCGCTACCAATCCTGTCGTGACCAACTGCTGCGCCAACGACATCATCGCTCTTCACAATGGCTGCTGTGAGTTTGCCCTTCTCTCTCCCAAGAATTTCCCCGGTTCTCAACTAATTCATCGCCTCGAATCAGCCCATAGTAACCGTTTCCGAATCCAAGGACCTTCGCGGTCTGAACCTCATCGCCGCGCATTCTCACATCCGTGGACTCGGTGTCGATGCCACCAGTCTCGAGCCCAGAGCCGCGTCTCAGGGCCTTGTCGGCCAGGAAAAGGCTCGAAAGGCTGCGGCAGTTATCCTTCAGATGATCAAGGATGGCAAGATTGCTGGTCGCGCCGTCCTGATTGCTGGTCCGCCAAGGCACGTCCAGTGTAGCGCTCTTCAATCTTTAATTTTTCTTCTTTTCTTTCTCTGTATTGGCATCTAGCTGACACATCTCACTTAATAGCACGGGAAAAACTGCCATTGCTACTGGAATGGCACAGTCACTCGGCGCCGACGTTCCCTTCACGACACTCGCGTCCTCCGAAATCTTCTCCCTCGAAATGTCGAAAACCGAGGCCCTCACCCAAGCCTTCCGCAAGTCAATCGGCGTTCGCATCAAGGAGGAGAGCGAGATCATGGAGGGAGAGGTTGTCGAGATCCAGATCGACCGAAGCGTCACCGGCAGTGCCAAGCAGGGCAAGCTGACGATCAAGACCACCGATATGGAGGCCGTCTATGACATGGGCGCAAAGATGATTGATGCCATGACCAAGGAGCGCGTCATGGCCGGCGATATCATTTCTATCGACAAGTCCTCTGGAAAGATTACTAAACTCGGCCGATCATACGCTCGATCTCGCGATTACGATGCCATGGGGGTTGATACCAAATTTTTGCAGTGCCCTGACGGCGAGCTGCAAAGACGCAAGGAGGTGATCCACACGGTGACGCTGCACGAAATCGATGTTATCAACTCGCGAACACAGGGATTCCTTGCTCTTTTCTCTGGCGACACCGGCGAGATTCGCAGTGAGATCCGCGATCAGATTAACACCAAGGTTGGCGAGTGGAAAGAGGAGGGCAAGGCTGAGATTGTTCCCGGTGTGCTGTTCATCGACGAGGTGCACATGCTTGACATCGAATGCTTTTCTTACATCAACCGAGCCCTTGAGGACGATTTGGCGCCAGTCGTCATCATGGCCAGCAACCGAGGCCAGTCTCGCATTCGAGGCACCGACTACAAGAGCCCACACGGTCTACCCCTCGATTTCTTGGATCGCGTTGTCATCATCAACACGCATCCTTATAACTCAGAAGAAATCCAACAGATCCTGTCCATTCGAGCACAGGAGGAGGAGATTGACGTTTCAGCAGACGCTCTGGCCCTGCTTACCAAGATTGGCCAAGAAGCCGGTCTTCGATACGCCAGCAACCTCATCACCACATCGCAGCTGGTCTCAGCGAAGAGAAAATCCAAGCAAGTTGGCATTGATGATGTCAAGCGATGCTTCCAGCTCTTCTACGACCCTGCCAGGAGTATCGAGTTTGTAAACAAATCCGAGAAGCGATTGATTGGCAACGATGGTGGCGTCGACCTGTCTGTCCAGAATGGTGGCAATAATGCTGCTGCCGCTGCCGGCTCTGAGACTATGGATTTGAGCTAGATTTAGAAGAGGGGTGCTGAAAGGGATTTTCAGATGGCTGGCGTTTTTTTGGCAAATCGTAAGATGAAAACAAAGATGGGGGAGGGAACGTAATGGAAACTGTATGTACCATAAAGCAATATTCGGGCGCACGAGGGTCACAGCAGAAAGACCTCTTTGATTAGTTTTTGCAATAAACAAGTGACTTCAAACACCTCCATTTTGTGTCATTTCTAGTCTGTCTCCATACCCATCATGTATCCATTCCTCCTCACCGATGTCTATCTTGGTAGCACAATAACATTACAGCGACCCAACCCAGTAGTTATTTCTGCGACATCGCATACAAATTTTTATCTTACAATCACGGACACAGATCCACACCACCTTGGGAAGATAGTATCGGCATAGTTCACACTGCCTCTCATCCCGGGTGTTACCACAAAACTCAGACCAGTAGTGTCGACAACCCATGATAATATCATTCCTGTCCGGGTCACGGATAGCAGGCACCGACATGGGAGAGTCGGGGAGGGCAGGGACAGGAGCAGGGACACCGACACTGGGATTCATGTCTCCCAATACATCATGCTGCTGTCCAACGTTTGGTTGATTGGCATCATGGTCGTTAGGCCTGTGTCAAAGTTAGTACCAAGCGCGAATGGAAGAGTACGTTGGGGAGACGACAGTACTTGGTGCAGTTGTCTGTTTCAGACGCCAGAGAGATGAGATTGGTATCCTCACTTTGTCTGTCGGATGCCTCTGAAGGACAAGGCACAGAATCACCGAGATTTCTCACAGCGATACCATCAGGAAGATTTTGGTACGCACGGAGCCCATCTTGACAAGGGAGGCTCGCAGCGATGACACGATTCTGCCCAATACACTGGTGGCATATCCAGTGAGATCTGTGAGTTGAACAGAACGCCTGATCTAAAACGTGGGCACGTTCCAAATGGATGGAACACACAGGGAACTGTCGGTTGAAAGACTGCACGCCGGTTAACGGAATCCATCGGCAAAATGGGCGGAAGTATGGATGGCTTACCATAAGTAAATTCACGAGCTCTCGGCAACCCTATTCACCGATCTGCCCCGACTATAAAACAAGCATCAGAAAAACGTTGACAAAAAAAAAAAAAAGTACCCTGGGAGAGGTAATGTATACTTACATTGAGAGCTTGGCTGATTGCCTGTACTGCCTCGTCTAGGAAGGCCATCACCGACGGAAGGGAGAGAAACTTGTGTGAGGGCTTTGGCGGGCAGCGAGAAGAGATGGAGAAGAAAAATTTTCATAGAAGCAAGATGAAGGAGGAGAAACAAATATAAGATAGCCAGGTAGGCTGTCAGTAGTTTACGTAAGGCGACAATGAGAAAATTGCAGATGGCATGTAGGGGGATGGCAGTTGGTAGAAGGAGTGATCAGCTGCCTAGCACTACCAGAATGCTGCAAAGGTACTTCCCAGCATATCCCTCTTAATGTCAGATACAGATACTGGAAGTGCAGGTAGGAGGTAGAATACCTATCAGGTATTACCTGAGCCAAACCTATCTAGCAGCCCGGGGGGGGGGGGGGTTGGTAAGGGGTGTAGTTATGATTTTTGGCGTTAATTAAGGTGATAGAAGTATTGTAGAGCGTGGTAAGACTACCTAGGTAACTTGCACCTTCGATAGCAGCTCTCACAGCCATATCGAAAGTTAACAAAGGCCGCCAGCTTAAAGATAAAACTAAACTGCCAAACATTCACATTAAGCTACACTACGCAGAAGTTATAGAAGAATATAAAGACTGCCGAATAGCATTTACACTCGCTGGTAAAGGCAAACACAAGTAAGCCGATTTAGACTTAAGTGTAAAAGGTATTCCCTAAAGCTAATCTCAAACGTAGGGAATACAAGTCCGATATCCTCTCCACAAACTTTCGAAATGCTGCTGCAACATGAATAAAGCGAGAAAACACACACCTTACCATCTCCCTCCTCCTAGAGAACTGCTTCCCAAACCATCCCAAGACCAAGATCTATTTCTCACGCTACGAGAAAAAGTGTCCGACGCTCGCCAAAAGCATGATTTCAACAGCTAAAGAAGAAGCAGAGAATGAGGATCAGAACAAATCGCTTCAGGAACTCCTGGAGGACGAGAACCGTCGCTCTCCAAACGCGCTACATCGCATACAACCGAAAGAAACCACAACAAACAATAACTACAACTTTCTCTCCGTCAGAAAAATTCAGCAGCTCCCCAAAGAGCATGATTTCATAACACAATTAGAGAAGGCATACTGTAACGACTACAAGCAACCGGTGGTGCATGGCATACAAAACTCTACAATCCAGTGGTGCCAGAAACTTGCCTTCACACCCAGGTCAGTTGGCCACAAAACTGCACCCATGATTTCTACACTGCTAATATGATACAGGAACCAGGATCGAGTATGTTTCACAGTGGGTGACTTTATACACCTAGGCTACCATGGCAGCACAACCAGATACGCCAAGCTACTCGGCCCCTTTACACACCCACGCTACATAAAGAAATATTTATTTGCAGTGGTAGATCTTGTATCGGAGAGGACACAAGGGGAAACGAAAGAGCTGATACTTGGGTGCCCAATCTTCGAGATGCTTGGTAAACAGATGATTGTCGGTTTGCCGCAAATCCAGAGCAGTAGAGTATGGATGGTGCCTCGGTATGACAACAGTCTGCTATTCATCGATTTCAATATTTATTTTATGTAGTATAGACAGAATATTTCACATTAGGGTCTGGCTCTATAGAAAATAAATCCAGTGCCAGCATATGAAAAAGAACTACAATCCATAAAACCAGCCTCTCGAAACCTAGATAATTTTTATTTTATTTTATGTTCACAGTCAAAATAAAAGAACCATATGTCATATCCATGGCCAATAATATATTTACCATATTTATTACTGGGAATGCGCCTTGTATTCAGTGATACAATATTCGACCACAATGTTGGCCTATGCTGCCTCCAGGGAGTAGGTGCACCTTCCAGGGGATGAATGCCCTGTTCACATCAACCACCGCCCCAGCATCTTTGCGCATGCAGCCTACCATCCTTTGCCCAGAAATTTCTCTTTCCCCATACCATCTTCCAATGTTCCCGTGTCCAGCCGTCCATCCTACCACGTATCCCACTGTCTGCGCGTCATCTATCAACTTGGTCCTCACCGTGAAGATGGGCATTTTATTTCCCTTTCTTTTCTAGCAGCTGGACACGCACCGTCCTGCTAACTCCTGTTCCAATTAGTGCTGGAATGAAGATTGGATTTGTGCCAGGCTACACGCGTCTGGCGCAGATGGCGCGTCTGGTAAGTTCATACCACCACCTCAGGAGAAGGACACATACTAATATTTTTCTTGTTCGCCTCTCTCCATTATTCTCTTACCTCAATCCATATATGTGTCTCCCCTCCAGTGTGAAAACGGAGTGCTGGACACCATGTTGTGATTTCGAGTTTGCTGACGCGAGAGCAGATCTGCTCTTTGTTTTGGAATCGCCCACCAGAAATGACAGCGCCCAGCAACTCCAGAAATGCGCAGTTATTCTCCGTCCGGCCTCTGTATTTTCACATTTATGGTCGTCTAGAGAGGCAGATCGGGCTCTATGCAAAAATAGAGGTAAGAATGCGCATCGCCATTCTTTCATTACGCGATTGTTTTCTCTCACCCCTGAAATTAGATCGGCGTCAGTTTCCCAATGGAAGAAGTGTTTCGTTGCTGCTCTTTGTGATGATGGTAAGTAGAAGAGAGAGAGAGGAGAGGAGAGAAACTTTCTAACAATGGTCTGTGCTGAAAATTTGCGTTGAGGCAGTGAAATCAAGGCTTGACACTACCATGCAAGGGAGGTTGGTCAACTGTCGGTACCCCTGAGATTGTGAATATTTTGCTAATTTTTATTTTTTTTCTTTTTTAGGGAATACATATAAACATCGTCCATTAGTGTCCGCTTATCCTGGTACTCACTGGTGTTTCACATCCATATCAAAATCGGCAAGCCGGGTAATATCCCCTTTCTCCTGTCGAGGTTGACCAAACCCAGGTCGACTGATGATTGCACACACAGCACAGGTGAAGATCTTACAATCTCTCTCTCACTAGTCCAAGAAACATAGCACATGCTACTAAAGCTCAAGGCAAGTGTCCATCTGCGCCCATTCGCTCGCCAGTGTCTCTAAGCAGCTCATTCCAGATTATGCATCGCAATTTGGCGTATATTGCCTCTCAGGTTGGTCATACGCCTTATAAAACATTTCATTGCATTTTTCACGTCGCGGCTAATCGATTGAGCTATTTTACAGATGTTCTTGATGAAGGTATGACAATTACTGCGAAAGCATGGCGCTACCATTGCGTAACGATTTCACTTACCAGCCCTATTATTATTACGACGCCGATATTATCGCAGGCCTGCGACACCACTTCAATTAGAAGATGATGGCGATGCAAAAAATACACACGCAAACACAACTGTCACAGGGTACCACAAGCAAGACCACATTGGGACTTTACTACGTACGAATTATGAGATGGGCGCTTACTACTAAATCACTATTTTCACGTCCAGAAATGATAACTACACCCCTTACCATAAAAAAAAACCCCGGCGCCCGAAGGTAGTGATAATAGGTAGGTATGCAACAAACAGATAGGTACTTGAAGAAAAACCATGCGGATAAAGGGAGTTTTAGGATAGATTTGATCTACCTAGAAGGTCCTCTTGACAGTTCAGCAAATCACTGAAACTGTCGCAGCTAAAAAGGCCGGCCAGTTGCTCGCAACAAGAAAACTCATGGAAGAGATCAAAACCCGCTCAGCTCTCCATCTAGTTGTGTTCCAAACCGAACCTCTCCATCTCCAACGGCAAAACATCCAATGGAGACGACGATGACCATTCCAAGAGCTTCCATACGCTACTCCCTCTCTGCTTCTGCCAGGCGAAGAAGATTGATCTTCATATGAGCATAGTGAGAGAAGAAATAGCGTCTATTCGCTCTCACTCTCACTCTCATCTTCATCATCTTCACCGGCTTCGTCCCAATTATCATCACCTTCTTTTTCATCTTCAATGTCAATGACGGTTCCATCCAAATCGACTTCGATTTCAAATTGTCGGATAGCATATTGCAGCCAAGTGCTGTGTTCCTCACAGCAAGAGTCTCCTTTTAAGACTGCCGTCCCGTTGAGCTTGTCAACTTCGATTTCTTCATCACATTCCCCTTCTAAAACCACTTCAAATTCTCCAGGGACGATGTTGAACTCCCCCGAGACCATTCCAATAGTCTTGTTTCCCTGCTTGAGTATGAAGTAGGCTGTCTTGAAACGAAGATGCAGCGGGCCCGGATTCATCATCGTGATGACTACATCGATCGCAGCCCCTGTCATTTCGAGGGTCTTTGTAGTGGCTTTTATATTTGCCACATTACTCAAGTCGATCGCCATTGTAAGATTATGGCCGGTCGAGTCAATACTGAAAGCAGCAGTGGCACGTTTATCACTACTGGGCTCGTGGCTGACTCCGTTCTCAGGCATAATGCTTGTAATAAAGGATTTAAACCCCACCATAGTCTTGATTTTCATTTCATGATCAATACCGTCCTCCAGTTCGGGATAATCATTGTAATGAAAAGGATCATAATTGCTGTCTGTTGTGATTTCCACGTAGTTGTCGGCATCGGGTATCATTAGTGTATCTGGGACGGTGATTTCCCCAAGCAAGATACGGTCGTAGTATAGGCAAATCTTGACACAACTGACCCAGCCAAGCTTTTCAGGGCAAACTGTACCTCCTACTTTGAGGTAGAGAGATCTATAGCTCCAGTCAGTCATTTGTAGTCACAGAATCGGCAAGTTGGCGTACGTCAGAGAGCGGCTTGAAATCATGAGCTCTGCAATATCCATTTCTCCGGACATTGTGATGCTCCCTTCATCGGGCGCTTTGCTGAAATTTTCCGTTTGAGGCATGGAATTTACTCGACGCAGGCTGTTTGGAAGAGTTGTGGAAGCGCGGATTCGGAGTGCGATGCAAGAAGGAGGGAAACGAACTAGTTTCTGCCTCGTTTGCACTCAGCTGTTAAGTAAATATGCTTTTGTAAATAATATTCACTATAGTAATTCACGCTCAATAGGAAAGGTAAATGTGAAGAACAGATATGACGTTCATCTGGCCACTGTCGGGATACTTCTGTCCGCTCCCTGCCAGCTGCCATATCACCGCTAACGTTTCTGCATTTTGTTCCCTGCAAATATGCCTAGTCTTATTTTATTGCACGCATTTGCATTTGTTTGACTCTATCAAGAGCTGTTTTCTATCTCTAGGTATGTATTCCGGAACAATTAATGCCCATGATTCTTTGTCATCGATTTCCTTTTGGTAAAAAGGAAAAGGACAATTGCCTTCGTTCATTCTGAGCAGATGCCCAATCTAACCTAATTTAACCTCCATTTCAAACAATCGAATAGCATGAGCAAGCCAATTATGCTCATTGTCAAGTGCACAGACCCCCTTCAGAATTGCCGTTCCAGAGAGTTCGAGGTTGTCAGTTTCGGTATCTCCCTCCAACGTGACATCAGAGGAATCGGGCAAAATGTCAAAATAACCTTCCAATGAAACCAAATGCGCTCCATCTTTTTTCAATGAAAATCGACAGTATCCAAAAGGCAGGTCAACCGGATTCGAGCTGGATGCTCTGAATCTGAGTGTAACCGTCCGGTCAACCCGCTGCAAGTCCACATCGGAAATTGAGATACTCGATGTGTCGTTCAGATCTATCGCCACATAAAGTTTATGACCACTCTCATCGCTGTCTAGTGTTGCGGTAATAGATGTTTGATCTTTGTTCTGGGGGATGATTCCAGTCTTGGGCATCAGGCGTTGGATGAAATCCTTGAATCCAAGCATATTCAGAATTTTGAGATTTTCGAGGTGTATTTCAACATTGCCTTCCTCGTCGGGATTAATGTATTTGTTGCGAAGAGTCTTTTTGCCAATGAGAACTCGACGGTAAAAGATGGACACTGTTACGCAACTAATCCAGCCAATATCAACTCCTGGGCCAATGACGGCGGAGATGTCGAGGTTGAAGGACCTATGACAAGAATAAGTATCTTCGAATGGAATTATAACGCTAATGTTGTGTATTGGCAAGTAGCTAGATGGCCATACCTCATCGAGGGATTGGTGAAATGAAGGCACTCAATCTCTAATTCTGCCATGATCGTGGGGTTTCGCGAAGGGCGTCGATGTGAAGTATGTCGCAGGTAAAATATTTGAAGGCTTTCCGCGTAAAGAGCAGTAGAAATATTCACGCTTCCAATATATAGAAGTCAAAAAGAAAGGTCTGGAGTATTCTCTAACCCTGACGCGGATGGATTTAGGCACCCTAATGCATTCACGGGCTGGTACCACTACCAATTCCCGAAGAAGTCTGTTGAAAGGAGAAAAGGAAACAGGCTTGGGCAATTCACGATGGAAAATTATATTGCATTCACCTGACAGCTGGCTGGACACTTCCGTCAGCTGGCTCCTCACCGTCCGAGCTTTTGCATCTTGCCTTCTGCATATATGACTGATCCCATTCAATTCGAGCTACTAGAGCTACCATAACTGCATACCAAGAGCCCTTTTTTACTTCCATAGATATCCCCCTCCGTGCGTAGTAGCTCAATAAGCGTTATTTCCCTCCAAGGCAGATCCTTCCCGTCAGGAAGAGGAGAAAGACTGGTCTGCCTATTCATCCTTACAAACGATCACTTCGTCGAGATCGACTTCCATTTCGAATTCCCGGATAGCATGGCAAAACCACGTGTCGCTATCACTTCCCAAATCAACGCCTCTTAATTTTCCTTTTCCGAAAAATTTGCAGTTTGAACTTTGCTTCCAGTACGAACTTAGTTCTCCCTCACACTGATAATTGACGGGACTACCACCGTCTGCTTCAATTTCAAGGCTGCCAGTTAAACGAGCCAAGGTTTCTCCATCTTTCTCAAGTATATATTTGGCATTCTCAAACCACAGTTCGACGTGAGGCTGGTTTGAAATTGAGAAAGTTATAAGGATTGAGTCGCCAGTTAATTGAACTCTAGGTGCCGTGGTTTTGAAGACACCAGTTCCATAGAGATTTACAACCACCGCGAGTTTGTGGCCTTTCTCAAGAACTTCTAGTTCAGCAATAGGCTTTCTATAGCCTGGCTGATATCTGTTCTTTGTGTTGGGCATTATATTTCGAATGAGACTTTTGAATGCAGTCATGTCTTGAATTTCGAAATTCTGCAACTTCATATCATATGTGTTATCATACTCTGGGCTCTCGAGAAATGTATCTTCTTGAGTTGCCTCTCCGATGAGAGCGTTGCCATAGAAGATAGAGGCAGTTATGGAGCTGACCCAACCAATATCGACTTCTGGTCCAATGGAAACGCGGATGTCAAGATTCGTGGTCCTGTACCATATTAGAATTAAGATGGAAAGATGCTAATGAGGATTATATGAGTAAAAAACTTGCGAACCTCATAGATGGTTTAGTAAACCAAACCCATCCAACATCTGCAATCACCTTTGGGCAAGATAAGTTGCTCATGGTGATCGAGGTACCTAGTCCCGTGAGGATTAATTCGGTAACCCGTTACCGGTGAGACAATACAAGGTGGATGTTGCTGACGGCTTGAGAAATCTCAAGTTTCCTGTATTCACGAATGAAGGAGAAGCTTGCGATGTATGGTTAGGTCATTTACGCATGAGATACAAGTAACCTTGCGCGTCAAACCTTTGCCATCTCCAACTGCTCTCGAGAAGGATGTAAGAGATGAGAGGAAAGGGCGAGAATGTCTGAACTCGCGCGGAGAGTTTATGTAGCTCACTTGGGACAGTTGGCAGCAAAACTCGCCAGCTATTGGCCTTCTCAACAGCTGGCAGGCGTCCACAGCTCGGTCTCTACTTCTGCTACAAACTCATGTTCCGGGGGCGAAAACAAAACCGAGGGTCTCCTCTGTTTCGCCCGCGAGAGCCTCGTTCATTATTACATTATAGTAAGTATATGCCATGAATCATGTAGTATCCAGTTCGGAGACTGACGGAAGTTTCATCAACTATGGTGGAGCAGGAAATCTCGTGGCTGATGGAGGCAGTTGCATCGAGTGAACTTGAGTTCCATAATTAGAAACATATCCATAGACGGCTACTAGGCAGCCAACGGAGTGACCAGCCATGCATCACTGCGGCACAATAAGAGTACTTAGGTGTTGGACAACTGTTCGCCTGATATATACGCAACAAGGGAATGACTACATGTAATCATCATCCTGAGTTGGTTGTCCAGCATCTCATGGATAGACCGCTACCTCCTCATGGCACTTCAAGCTTCTGCTCCAGCGCTACTATCACTAAGGTACTATCGCCACTTTCTGCTTCTATCGCTACTTTCTGCTTCTATCGCTACTCTTTTCAGGTAAGGTAGTGTCTACAAAATTTGTCACACGGGATACCATATATCCAAACTGCTGCGCTGGCTAGCAAACCTCTACAACTACGCTGAATAACTTGCATTGTAGAGGGGCAGATGCCGAACTCAAGCAGTGACGAGCCAACCGGCAGAAGTGGCCTGCCAGCTGCCAGGTGAATGCTATATTATTTCGCTTCGTGATTCACTCAAGTCGCGTTCTTTCTCTTCCTTTCATCTCCTTCCTCCGAAAGCGTGCACCGTTAAAGCGACTATCAACACGCAAGAATACTTGAATCTGAAAGCACGGCGAGTCAGAGGTTATCCTGATCAACCTCTTCTCTCATCACCCTTCCAAATTCAACCTCTCTCGAATCATCTGATCAACCTGCGGCGAGAATCATGTCTGAAGCAGGAAGTTCCTGCGACGCCTCCGATCGGGAGAGCATCGCTTTGTCTGAGATGGGAGGAGAAATGGATATTAACCACTTCTTGATTTCAACCCGTGGCTATAGGTGAGTTGGATATTCTCTAATTCAACAATTACTCATCACTAATTCGAGTTGTAGAGGCTTCTATCTTGAAGTTGGAGGCACAGTCCGCCCTGGATTCGAAATTGGTTGGGTCAATTCTCTCAGAATTCGCCTTTACCATCGTAACATTCTAGTTGGAGAGATGACTTGCCAGGACCAGCCAATGATACCCGACAGCAACAACTACGTGATAACCGAATGGGATGAGTCAGACGAACCGGAAATGCGCATCAAGAGTATGGTGGGACTCAAGAATTTCTTTGGCGACGTTCTACCTAATTCAAGTGCCAACAACAAGCGGGATGCTCAGAAACAGCCCACAGCTGCTCTCAGAGTTTCCTCAAGTGGCCATTGGCTCGCAATGTCCATTGATTTGGCGAACATGCCGAGAATGAGTGCCACTGTAGATGAATTCACGACCTTCGGAGACAAGATCGAAATCACCATGACGATAACAAACCCAAGCCCGCTTACACTTCGCTTTGATGGCAGCAGTGAGTTTGTCCTCAAGAAAGGCAAAGATATCATTGGAGAATTGTGGGCCTCCTTCCAAATTCTTCCTGGAGAAAAAGAATGCGTTTTCAAAGGGACCTTCAAACCTGAGGTTTCAGGAATGGTAACTTTAGAAGGAAGCAATTTCGAGGACATGGACAGGACTTGGCAGCAATATGTTATTAAGCTATTCAAAGTCGAAATCGATTTGGGCCCGTCAATCTGATTGTCCGTAAGGGGAGTCGGATCTAGCTATTGATTTGCTAAATATGCTCTGCTTTTGATTGCGGCCATGGCAAGGAATATGCACTGCGGTGAGACAGGCTCGGAGGGTTGCCTACTTGATAATTGCTGAGGTATTGGGTAGGCCGCCAATTTGGCGTGATAGAGAGCAACTCTCGATAGGCATAGCATAATTGAATGAGGGCAGTATTCGATCACTTGAATCGTTTCATCATTTCACTTTGCATCATAGGCCCGGGTAATTGGAACAGGGAAGGATATCAATTGAGCCAATTCATCTCCTCCATCAGTCTCCTGCAAACTGCGCAGACACTCCCGGCCGGACCAGTCAAGCATCCCGCTCTCCAGATTTTTCACTCGTCATATTTCAATGGTCCCTTTCACCAGGTGCACGTTCTCACATGTAGGCATAAAGGAAAATTATCTCGTTGATGGCAAACATTGACCCTGATGCAAATGATTTCCGAGGATCTAACCTCCAAGAACTCCCACGATATCCCCCCTCACTTCCCATTTCTTCATGAGTGGACTCATGGTGAGGATTGCCTCACGTTTTTTAGACTACATGCCGTTGTCTTATTGCGCCATGCATCATAAGATTTGTTAACCCCGAAAGAGACAGAATCGTTTAGGAAGGAGGAGCAGCACCACGTCCACGGCCAAATCCACCACGGCTGTAAGAGACAAAAGTTAGCAAAAAGATGCCCAAACCATTGGACGATAAGTTCTGGCCGCAGCAAAACCATCATCTCCAAAGAAAAGAGGAAAGAAAATTCTCACAATTGAGGAGCAAACTCGCCGGGAGCACCACCCTCCTTGCCCTCGCCAGCATCCCTCCTTCGGTATCCACCCTCACGGTCACCACGGTCGCCGCCACGTCCACGGCCGAAAGGTCGTCGCTCACGCTCGCCCTCGCCGAGCATGCCACGGGGAGGAGCGTGTGATCGCTGCTGCTTGATGTGAGTAGCAGGAACGATCTCGGCAGGCAGGTGAAGCCATTCCCGGAGGTAGTCGAGACCCTCGGGGGTCAGGGTGTAGTAATAGTATTGCCAAGAGAACTGGGTCTTGACATAGCCGCGGGAGTTGAGGGACTGAGCAGCCTTGATGACGAACAGGTTCTTGGTGTCAATATCGGGGTGCTTGGGGAGGTTGAAGTCCTTCTGCGCGACGAGGACACCCTCGCGGAAGAGGTACTACCAGACAACTGTCAGTGACACCTGGGACTATTTTCAATTCCTCGAGCTCGCGCTCGCGGTTTCGTTCAATAGTCGAAAAATACCTCGTGAATCTTCTTGCGGTCGGCCTTGGGAATCAACATCGTGGCGGTTTGCTGCTCGGAGGGTCGATGTTGGAAAGTTGACGGTTTTTCGGGAACAGGCGTACAACCAGAGATCTCGAATTGGATAACTTTTGTGGGCGGAAGCCCTACATGAAATTCCACCCTAGCGAAGTGGGGGGTCTCGAAAGTGTGCGTTGTGGCTTGGGATCACGTGTCGATAAGCGATTCTCTGATAATGGCTGCTAGCGCGGCTGGCAGTGTGGCGCAGGTCGCGACCTCACATGACAAACTTTCCGCTCGTCATCGCAGCCAATCCCCCAAACTCCATGATCGTGGCGCCGTTGCATCGCAACCTATTTGTTTTCGCTTTGCCACGACAACGGCAAAGTTAAGGGCCCGTAATTCGACACTTTAAGCGCAGCGGTTGTTATATAAACAACCCGATCCCCAACTTACGCGCTCGCACCATCCATCCACGCTCTTCAATCTTCACAGTTCTTCGCTGCAGCCATCGCATCACCGCATCTATTACAAAGCATTCATCACAATGGCGAAACCTCTCAACGTCCTCATCTCGACCTTCAATGGTCTCGGTCTTCCACCAACCTTGGTTCTGCGCACACCTCCGACTACTACAGTCACCTCTCTACGGGAGCAGATCGACGGGAAACTGCCTCCCGGGGCCACCGAAGCCAAATTCATCATCACAACACTCTCAAACCGCCTGCTGCCCCAAGTATCAGAGGCACCCATTTTGACCTATCTAACATCTGATGAAGATGACTTCCTCTCTTTGCGCCTCGCTATTCCCCTATGCGGTGGAAAAGGTGGTTTCGGATCTCAGCTCCGAGCTGCTGGTGGTCGCATGTCATCGCGCAAGAAGCAGAAGCAAGATGACGGTGGCTCAAGCCGAAACCTGGATGGAAGACGACTGCGCACTATTAACGAGGCCAAGGCTCTCGCCGAGTACCTCGCTATCAAACCAGAGATGGAGAAGAAGGAGAAAGAGAAGCGGCGCCAACGATGGGAAGAGATTGTTGACATGGCTGAGAGGAGAGAGGCAGAGATCAAGTCTGGCGGTAGGGGCAAGCTGGACGGCCAGTGGGTTGAAGATAAAGAAGAGAGCAACGAGCGAACTCGCGAAGCCGTACTGGCTGCTATGAAGTCCGGAAACTACAAGGACAACCTACTTAGCTCATCTCACGATTCTGCGTCAACTGAGCAAAGCAATAGCAAATCCGTGAGTGACGGAGAGGATTCGGAGAGCTCCAAAGAATCACCTCCTCCAACAGAAGCTGGTCCATCAAAGGCCAAGCCAAGAACATTCTTTGGCTTTGATGAGGACGACGAATTCATGAGTTCTGATTCGGAGGATGAGGGTGAAAAGAAATCTTCATAATGGGAGCTGGAGCGCAATTATGATTTCCTTTTTTTTTCTTCAAAAAGCAATGAAAGGAGTTTTGGTCATTGGATGCATTTGGGACAGGAATATTATTCGAGCTTGATACGATACCAATAAAGCTAATGTGTATACGGAGCATCTCTCCGTGCGATTCCTGTGATGTTGGCGATATACGCGTGATGTACGTCATACATAGCTGCAGCTTCATCAACGAAGGCGGTAGCTCACGAGGTCATAGTAAAATATTGAGCCTATTTGCTTGCGATTGACTACTTCATTTTCTTGCAGTACATGCGGAGCCTGGCTGCTTAATCTATGTGAACACCCATGCTTATGTACCCCGCCGTGTTAAATATGAAATTTAAGCATCGAGCTTCACGGGGAAGTTACCACCCTCTGTTGGACACACAATCAGCTTCAAACCTCAAACAATCGTGTAAAGGAAACATACCGCGCTGCTCGTCCCATCGCTGGTACCATCCAGAGGGGCACAGTGATCGGTAGGCCAACCAGAACTACACAATGGTTCAGTATACTCAGATGCGCGCATAAGTCACAGCTCCTTCCAGTCCCCGTACCTGACGGCAAGGCGCAAAGTCCTCTCCCTTGGCGATGATGCACTTGTGGTAGTCGACGTAGTTTTGCCAGCAGTGCTTGGTCTGGTTCACGTTGGGGAAACGGGCATCAGTGCCTGCGCAAGCACTCGAGTTAGCGACATTGCGTGCATATAACGAAGGTATATCTGCGAAGCGGGTCCTCCGGCGACGGGCAAAGTTCAAGCTATTCCAAGCTGCGGGTAAGCAGCTCGCAGTCAATGGCAACGCATTGATCGAGCTGCCCGCGCCGGTCGGTCGTCGTTCACGTAGAAGGGGCGCCTTGTTGGACGGTCTCACCAGCTGCAAAAACGCCGTTGTTAGCCTCGGGTCACTCAAGATCAGACCACTTTTTTTGGAGAGAGAGAGAGAGGGGATATTTTATCTCAGGCGGCAGGCCGTACCAGTGACAAACTTGAAGGGCTTGGTGACAAGCTCCTGGCCTTCCTCGTCGGACATGATGAATGATTCGGATTCGGCGACGGTGCAGGCGATGTGCGGGCGACAATTGCAGCGATGCAAGGGGAGGTTTGGGGTGGGAGATTTCGCTATGCGTCGAATGTTGGCAGCTTTCCGAATCAGATGTTCCGGATTGAAAATGTGTGCCTCAGGCGCCACCGGGCCAATGGGGCCATTCGGTGGGCGGAAGTGGGCCATTTGCTGATGTGGGAATTGCACCAGCCCATGAGATACTCTTGAACCAAACAATTCCTCTCACCAGCAGCAATTCTTTTGCGCCCGCCCTGAAGCCTCTCGGTCGAACCCTCTCCGCTCATCACAATGCGTCCTACTCTTGCTCTTCGGGCCTTCCGCCCTACGGCCCGCATGATGCGACCCGTCCCCGTAAGTGCAGCCGAGCTGAAGCTCCCGGTTCGAGAATCCCGGCTAACCTCGCGGCTATACAGAAGGAGGACCAGGCCGGTATGTGACGGCATTGATGCTCGCCGAGCAGCTCGGCAACCTTCAGCGACGCTTATTGACATGATTACCAAAGGCCACACCGTCTCCCAGCGCCTCCGCAAGCTCAAGCAGATCCCTGCTGAGCTGTACCCCCTCTGTACGAAAAGACTCACCCTCTCTCGCGCCCATTAAAGATGCGATGTTCTAACATGAGCAAACTCTCCTAGTCATCGTCGTTGGTTTCGCTCTGGGCGCCGCTGCCTACTCCAGCTCCCGCAAGTTCTTCGTCGACAAGAACCTGCGACTCGGCCGCCAGGGTGCCGCTGCCCGCGCCGCTCAGAACGAGGGCGGACACGGCGAGCACTAAATTGTCTAAGCTTTCGAGAAGCAAAGTCGTTGGTGGGATAATCTTTGACATGCGGCTGCTTGAAACAATGGATGGGGGATCAAGTTCTGTATATGTCGAGAAGCATTAGGGCGGAGTGCCGAGGAGAAACACAGCTTGCAAGTTGTTCCAAAATCTTCGGATCCCCATTCATGTAAAAAGGAATACAGTATGCCATGATATGGTCCTTCCAAAACACCGTCGCTATGCAAAAAAAATAATTCAAGTACTCCGTAAACCCATTGCAACCATCCCTTGTTCCAACCAACAGTCTCCTTTTTGAGCATCACTCCGGCTTTGGCCCCGCAACATCCAGCCCCTCGAGACCTTGCATGGGATCCGAGGCTGGTTCCTCCAGCTTTGCCTGATTCGCGACGTCATCTTCCGCCGCATGCTCAGCGAGCCAGCTCTCCTATACAGTGGCAATATTAACATCAATTCACAAAAGACCGAAATCGTAACAATTTCAAAACGTACCTGCTCCCAAACAGCCTTTTTACTGCCCAATCCCTCATCGGCACTCTTTGGCGCCCTTGCCTGAGACACCTTGATCACCCTGCCAAAGAACTCGGACTGGTCCATGTTGTCGATGGCCTCTTTCGCATCCGCACTGTCCTCAAACTCGACGTATGCAAAGCCCTTGTGAGGATCCGTAGAGTTTGGCGCGTCTGACTTGGGGAGCTGCACCTCGACGATATCGCCAAACGGGATGAAGGCGTCGAAAACGTGCGTGTTGGTGACGAGGGGTGAGAGCCCGCCGACGTAGACCGTGGCTTTCCAGCGAGCAGAGTCGGTCATTTTGTCAATTGGCTTTTGGCGGTTATAGCGATGAAGAATGGAAGAAAAATGGGCAGAGGGATGTGCCACGGGTTTTGGTGTTTTTATGAGTGAGTGTAAGCGTCTCAAAACTTGAATATGTTGGTGTCTGAAGTGAGGATAGCTTTCGTGCCGAGGTTTCGCCGATAAGGCATGGCAGCTTGAGTGAGGAGAGAGGCAATAGCCAGCTGCTTTGAACTATGGGTTACTGTTACAATTCAGAAGAAACTCCATTTCCAAGCTCCTCAGCCTGTTGTAAGAGATTTAAATAGAAAATTGCAAAACGCCGTGGATATGAATGCCTTAAAGTGCATCAAATGCAAGGCGCAAGCATCTAATCAAGCTCCACTACTTCGTGCCTTGCAGCTCCTTCATGTGACGGTCGTACCCTACACATGAACAACCGAATTCTCTTTCCAGCGAAATATAACACAAATAATCTCGTTTACACAACTGTTTGGCATTGTGATATGAGGTAATTGAAATTAAATAAAATTACAAGCCGAGTACTGGGAAAGACAAACATGGACCCTGATAGATTTACAAACCGACAAAACACCTGAGTGGAGAGACATGAGCATCGTATTTTACAACACGGAATCAAACCACGCATCAGTCAAAGTAACCCTTCAGACCGAAACCTATGGCGGCCCAAATACCCGCACCCACGGCAAACATGGCAGTCCTTTGCCATCACATCAGCATATAAAATCATTCGGCATCACTGTGTTCAGGACCACTTACTCAGCCCATTTCTTTCCTTTCCACACGATATAAACATCCGCCGCACAGATAATCATCGAGCTCAGGATAACCGTGCCCATAGCGTCCGTCTGTCCAGCACGATGCAGTGCAAACAACGTAGTAGCCATCGTGATATCGCGACTCCCAACTAACAAGCCCACAAGGCTCGAGCTAGCGCCAGCATCTGTAGTCTTCTCATCGCCTGTCGATGGCTGAAGGCTGAAGAGCTTAGCAGTGCGCTTGGTGTCGAACAGAGCGCCCGAGCCGAGGAGGGCGAAAGTGGCCGCAACGCTGAGCCCGAGGGTGTTCCAGGTGGATGGAGAGATGAGAGGCATCGTGGGATTAATTGGAAGGCGTTTCACAAGTTTAATGGTGTTTGCGGGGGAGATGGAGCAGTTGATTGACAGCCTGGAAGCACTCAAGATTAAGCCTTGTTCTTATACTGCCTAGCAGATAATAGGCAGCGCCACAGACTAAGTCTTGGCCGCTGTATGGCAGGCATTGTGAGCATTTTTGTGTTGAAAGGGCTTCTCCAAATCCAAAGGACGAATCAAAGGAGGGGAGTTTTCCCAATACAGACAGCTATGCGAGTTCAGCTGACTTTGCGGGGCGTAATCATGGGCTTGATTTGAGTCCGTGTATTTGGACAACTGGTGAGACGAAACCGTACCTGAGCCGGTCAAAATCACTGCGCATTCGGGGTCGGATCACTTGGTATCGCCAATCATCATTTATGTATAATCTAACTAATCGTGCCGCCCGCGGTTTTTAATCAATGCCTTGCATGACTTCGTGCCGCCAATAAAGCGTGTCAAATAAAACACCACAACTCTCCATGTACAGACAACATTAATGACTTATCAAGGAGTTGCCTTGCTCATGCTGATAAGTCGCTTAACTCCAACCTATAAACCGAGTTAGTAAAAAAGGACCTGGACCACAATTGTATTTTCTCAAGTCTTTCAACTTACCATCCAGTTACCGCATTCTTCAGTCTTATCTCGGTTAATTTCCATCTGCAGCTTTTGGGCTGTAGCGTAGTCCTTGGTTTGAATTGCGACGGCTAGCTGTGAAAGCTGCTCAATAGTTGAGGGCTGGACAAGCTCCTCGTTATTCAGGTGGTCGAACAAAATGTTCAGTCGCTTCTGCGTGTCCTTGACTTGAGGGGCAAATGTCGGAGGTGCCTTGGATGCTACCCGCTGCATATCTTGGCTCAGAATGTCCACCAACGCCTGAGCGTGAGCTGGGATGTGTGATCGGTCGCCGGGAGGATACTTTGCCGCCGGGGGTGGTGCGGTCTGCTGTGGTGGTGGAGGAGGAGCAGACGCGGCGGAAGGCGGAGGACCGGGACGACCCATCGGAGGGGGGCCAGTTGGCGGTGGCTGAGAGGCCGGTACCTGACCAGGAGCAGGGGCATATGGCGATGGGGCATATGGGCTGGGTGCTGCCGGTTGCTGTTGAACTGGTGGCGCATAAGGGTTTGCAGGGGGCGGAGGCCTGCTTGCCGGGCCGGGAGGTGGCGGCATAGAGGCAGTATACTGTCCAGGTTGCTGCTGAGTTGTCGTCACTGGCGCGTACCTGTTGGAAGCCGGAGGCCCGGCAGGAGGAGCGTTATAAGGGGAAGCTGTGCGTGGCATAACTGGAGGAGCCGCATGAGTTGGGATCGCTCCTGCTATGGGGGTTGGCGGAGCATATTGGTTGGCTGCCGCAGAAGAGGTTCGAGGTGGTCCAGTTACCGGTGGTCCGGCTAACGGGGACTGTACTCGAGGAGGAGCTGGTCCCTTGGGTGGTGGAGGAGGACTAGCCCTGGCACCGGGCCCATAAGGCGACGTTGATGATGGAGGAGGGGGAGGCATAGCTTGGCCCTGTTGAGCTCCGAAGGGCGACGCAATGGGCGTTACGCTGGGCGTTGACCTTCGCGGTGCAACCTTCGTCACCATAGGGACATCGTTCCAGTTCTCCATATTTTTGGCCTTTGATGGTGGAGGGCCCGATGATGGCGTTGTGTTTCTCGGGGGCCCACTGATAGGCGGTGGTGCAATGGGCGCTCCAGTGTATCCAAACTGATTCTGAGGCTGATAGCCCTGGGGTTGATAGCCCTGGGGTTGATAGCCTTGTGGTTGATAGGGGTTGACTGGAGGCTTGTACTGCTGAGTTGTGGAGACTGCTGGTGAAGTCTGCTGGAGCCCACCATATGGGTTCGTGGGAGCTGGAATAGGGGCAGGCTGAGGAGGCTGGTAGCCTACCACAGACGGCTGCTTTCCTGCAGAAGGGATCGATGGCGTTCGGCGACTTGTTGAAACCGGTGCAGCGGCAGGCTTCTTTTGTGTGGCCAGCTTCACGCGGCTCCTGGTCAGTTCGGCAGCTGGATAAGTGGCTGGCAGCAGATCGAGATACTTCTGCGCAACTTCCAATTTGCCCTGGCCAGCGAGGATCTCTGCGTATTCGGTGTACTTGTCGTATAGGGTCGCCAACTTCCAATCGTCTGTCTGTGCCAACTCTTTGTCCTGGAATTTGGCGACGTGGCGGAAGACAGTCACCTTTTCAATGAAACTCTGCAGCGACCGGGTATGGACTGAGAAGGTTGAATCGCCGGATTCCTCCTTCATTCCAGCTTGCTCTGATTCATTGAGCTCATCCACCCAGATGGTAACAACCTTCTCAAGCTTTGAACCCACAAGGTAGCAGAATGAGGCGTCCTTTCGTTGGCCCTGCTCGTTAATTCGGTCTCCTAGAGCCTCACAAAGATCTGGGAATTCAGAAGGATCCGAGAAAGTGCAGATAATGGCCATGGTCTCTTTCCAGTTCTCCAGATCTGCGTTGTATACAATATCCCATAGATTCTTGTCGACGACAGAGCTGATGAGACGCAGGTAGCTAGGGGTACCACTCTTGCGAGAGAGATAGGTAGACTGAACCTTTTCGACAAGTTCCTGGCCGCCACAGTTGGCAATGAGGAAAGCATCTGCAATACGATCCTCCTTTAAGCAGATATCAGTGGCCCTAGCAAAATTGCCGAGCATAAGAGCTCTTGTGATATCTTTCTCGACAGACGTATCGCCGTCACTGAAGAGGTGGAAAGGCTTATCGGTCTTGGCGCCCTTGTTGGCAGCCAGTCCAGAAAGGAAATCATCGCCATCGCCCTCGCCATCTCCAAACATGTTGGATAGGCGTCTGGGCTTGCCCTCCGCGTCCACAGGTTCCTCCTCTTTTGCAGGCGCCTCCTTCTCCTCTCCCTCTGGCGCGTCAGTCGAGGCTCCGTTTGTTAGGTCTTCTTGTTTGAAACCGAGATGCTCGACAATCTTGGAACGAGGATTTTCGCCAACAAGTGTCTCGATAACTGTCCAATCTGCCTTCTCCTCGTCGGTTTGAGCTTGGTCTTTCCTCTCTTGGCAAAGGGTGGCCACATCATTGGAGTTAAGAGCCTCTTGGAATTTTTCAATTGCAGATGAGACATCTGAATCGGCGGAGAACTGTGAGATTGCGAGCTTGGACGAGCGTTTCTGGCCAGCCTGAGTTGGAGATTCCCTGAAAACGACGAGCTTACCACCAAAGCCAAAAGAAGCACCAATGGGTCGCTCAAACCACTTGGGCGCCTTGGCCAATGACCAAGAGGCTCCCTGGGGTTGAGTCTGGGCAGCCCTGAAGAACTCCTCATCATCTAGGGGCTTTTCGTTGACAGCTTGAGACTTATCAGGGTTGGTGTTTTGAAGTGTTTGAATAGTAATTTTGCCGTCGAAGCTTGCTGTGGCGGAAAGATTGGGGTTGTGAGGGTGGAAGCGTGTCTGAAAGGTCCAGTTGGTAACCTCAGGCAATTCTCCGTAGCGCTCTGCCGTGTGTGGGTTCCACACAATCGTCTTGTTATCCTTGCCAGAAGAAAGCAACAGGTCGGGATCCTGTTGGCACCACGACAATGACAAGACGCCCTGCTCGTGTCCCTGAAGCGTCTTTTCCGGGGCATTAGAGTTGCGCAGGTCCCACAAGAAGATGACAGGAGTGTTGTCATCAGGGGTTGCCGTGAGAAGCTTTGTTGAGTTATTAGGGTCCCAAGCGATGGCGCTGACGGCTTTGCGGCTGTTGTTCAAGGTCAAAGATGCCTTCTTTGTCTTCAAATCCCAGACGGTCACGAAGCCACCAGGCCCTCCGGTGGCGAGAATGTGAGAAACCTTGCGGTTCCAGGCCAAGCAATCGATGTCATCGGATCGGGCCGCTGCGTTTCCTAGACGGAAGGGGTTCTCGATGTCGCCGATGTCGTAGATGAACAACTCGCCCTTGGCGCCAGCTGTGGCCAAGATTTGGGGCTTCAGAGGGTTGAACTGGAGTGCCTTGATAGCACCGGTGTGTTTCGTCGTCTTGGAGATGGAGGCGTCGGAAGCCCCAGTTTCGAGCTTCTCGACATCCCATAGTTCAAGGGTACCGTTCTCTAGAGCACCTGCAATGATTCCCTTGGGATGATCGGCGTCGGCAGGTCCCCAGGCAATATCGTAGAACCTAACACCCTTAGTAACCAGGCCAAACTGGTAGGGGAGAATGCTAAAACCCTACCTGGAGTCTGTGGTGATGCTGACAACGGGCTGCAGCTCGATGCCCTGCTCTTGGTTGTCGAGAGAGAGATCCCATATTTCTAGCTTGCTCTCGTCAGAGAAATCAGCGTCGACGGCACCGGCCTTTGTTCCGGTGACAACCATGGGCTTTCCGGAGCCGGGCGACCACGCAAAGGTGGCCGTTCGGGGGATATCTCGTAGGCGCACCATGGCGGCGGGGTTGCGGACGAAAGCAGAACTGGAAGAGGCGAATTGGAAAGGAAAGGGGAGATGGATGCCCAATCAAAGGCCTTGATGCAGCATTGATGGCTGGAGTTGCACAGCTCCCAGAATTTCTCTGAGCAGAGAGACAATCGTGGTGCTGGGAGGCTGACTTGGACAGATTCAAGGCCAGCTATGATGCCAGATTGCAGGCCACATGTTCGCATAGCTCCTCCCTGCCCAAAATCCGCGTCTGTGCTTTGCGACTAGCTGGCGACCGGTTCCTGCACGTGACGCCACTGCAGCTGCTGCGACTACTATTATCTGACGGTAGTAGGTACTGAAGCATCCAATGGATCTGTCATTGCTTCCTACAAGTAAATTACTATTGACAGCCCCATGGTAAGCTGAGAAACGTGAATTACATGAACAATGAGAAGAATTTAAAAATCTCCTCTAGTTGAATATCCAAGTTTGACGCAGCTTAATCCGCATGCCCAACAACATCAGGATGTACCTAGTAGATATGAGGCAATAAGACGGGGTTGTTTCGTGTGGGGGATCCAGATTGGGCTACCAGCTGCGACTCTGTATAGATAACAAGCCTACAAGACAGACAAAGTATCACACAAGATTGTGTATTATTAGGTATGATGATAGTTTTGTAATTATTTACTAGACTATACATTTTGATTAGCAGATACGTTGTTACGCAATTTTAGTCATTGAAGATCTGGACATAGAAACCGCCATTTAGCAGGGACGGAAGAAACCTCGGCAACAAGTCCTGATCTCTTCTCAAGTCATCCCCATACCTTTTGTCGTCAACGCTGCTTACATATCGCGCCCCCCCGGATTCTACAGGTAAATGTCCAAGATCTTGTTGTACATAATTCTCAACCGCGCCACTTCCTAGATTAATGAGCTACGCCTTTGGATTCTGCATCCTCACATTTTAGGTTGCCCTGTAACAGATCGAGTAAATTACTGCTCAGTATGGTTGGTGTCCCAGGACGATCGCGAGGTTGCATTACCTGCCGTAAAAGGAAGAAAGGAGTGAGTGCATCGTCACTTTCGCGCAATATTCGCCTTCAGATTTGTTAACCAGCGTCACCGCAGTGCGATAGGCGCACTCCTGCGTGCGATCGATGTGTTCGCGCGCAGCTATCCTGTGAAGGCTACGAGACGGATATGATCTGGCTCAACTCTACTGCAAGCACAGCGTCTAATCAGAAATGCTGTACACCGCCCCGGTTGGAAGAAGCAGTTTCAGGCATTCGACCGTGGTTGGTTAGCTATGCAAAGAAGAGACAAAGCGGTTCTCATGTTATTCTGCCAGATTCTTTCGCGAGATCGGCGAGAGAGCAGTTGTACTTTGGACTCTTCTGGAGTATTATGATACCTGACGGACCTCACTTTTCGCCCGAGTCTTCAGACTTATCTTCAGTTGGCTGGACAAGATTCATCGGGGACCTTTATAACACCGAGACTGCTCTTCGCTATGCAACAGTCGCCACGGCGACTTCCATTCTTGGAAGGATCAATAACGATGAACAACTACGACTGAAGGGTTTACAAGTGTACAATTGGACGGTTCAGGAGATGATCAAGGCCGTTAAGCAGCCGAGCCGAGCAAGGAGTGATAGCTTGGTTGTGGCGGCTCGAGTCATGGCGCTCTATGAGGTAGGTTTCTCTTGCAGAAAAACATGTCGTTCACTAGTTGATGCTGATAAATCATCTGCTTTAGCTTTTCTTTGGTCCCGACGGTGATCCGGGGGTGGCCGGATGGCAAAGACATAGCGAGGGACAGCTCGCCATGTTTCTTGCCCGAGGGCCAGAGTCATTTATATCAGGAGCGTCTCATCAGTTGTTCGTTGATAGTCGCATAAACATAGTAAGTTACGACTAACAGATCTCCATACTATAAACGAAACAAATTTACGAATGCCAACAATTACGGTCATACAGATTCGGTTAGCTATCAGACAGAGATGTTCATCTCCATTCAGCTCCGATGACTGGAAAACAATCCCCTGGACCATTACCGAGAAATCTACCAAAGACAAACTAATTGATATTATGAGCAGAATTCCAGATATACTAGCTCAGGTAGATTTACTATCTGAGGTTGGTACTCAAAACTCTGCGGATGAAATTCGAGAAAAGATCCTGCAGCAGTGTGGAGAGGTAGAGGTAGCCTTGGCAGGTTGGAGAGTTCATGTTGATCTATCCATCTATGACTATGCAATCACAGGTCTGCCCCTATATATACCGCAAGTCGACAGCGAGTTTTCATTACTTCACCTGAGCTGTGTCTACTGGAGCATCTGTCTAATGCTGTCATGCATCATAGAGTCCATATCTGAAGACTTGATGGTAGAAGATGTATCAGAAGACATGACAGACTCACCATATCTGAAGCGGCAACATCAAACATGTATAGGCAGCCCGGAACAATACGCTTCAAAAATTGTCAATTGCGTCCATCTCTTTTTTGAGCCAATGGCTGGTGCCGTTCAGGGCGGCTCAGGGCTCTTTCCTATGGTGTGCGCCTGGCGGTTCTATGAGCTGGCTGCTGAATCATCAGGTAAAAGAAGTGCTGAATTGCAGACTCTGTATGACCTATTTGGAAGGTCGTTTATGGGCAATCAGGTAGGGCGGTATCTAGCTCATCTACGAAAAAGCATGTGGAGGCATGATTTAGAAGCCCGTTGTACTAGAAGAGCTGGATTATCTAGATTGAAATACTGGATGGCCTGGGTTTAAAGAAGTTGCGAGCAGTGGGAAAATGCAAGAATGCAAATCGAGAAACAAATTGACAGCGTTACGAATTTTTAGAATACTTATCATCACTTCTTTAACTACCTATATAGTAGATGTAGCAGACGTTAGCAGATGTAGTAGCAATCTACGCATTTAGAACTACCTAGGTAGGTAGTGATAATAGGATCTCACAGTAATACTTTACAGCTGCTAAATATATTATGGAAGGATGTAAAAGGATATGAACGGAAAAGCAAAAGCAGTAATACAATATTATGTTATTCAGAACCTAGATATATATTAACCTCTATAGTCTAGATAATGTTGCCTATATACTAGCTTGAGCAGTGATAAACAGAGACAGGTGAATTGGTCAGGTTATTTATTCAATAGATAGATATGACATTCGTGAAAGGTGTACATGGTATTTCGTGACGGGGCATTGGATAGTTGCGAACCTGATCCGCATTAGGACGGTATGATGATTCTCTCTGGACGCCGGCCAGAGAATTATGTACAGTCGACTGTTGTTCCTGTTTCATCTAGAAGGGAGCACCTTTCTGACGTATTCCCTAACCAGCCGCAGCGCCGCCCTCACGAGATCTTCTAGCCGCCGGTCCTTTCGACTCCGCATCCAGAGGAGTATTATGCACAAGACGACGCAGTCGATCAGCAGGTGCTTCATGACGACGAAGATGAACCATCTTATCCAAGAGGGGAAACTCTTCTCCTTCTTCGACTTCCACTCCCGCCCCGTGGCAATCTGTTCGCGAAGAGCGGCGACTTCTGCCGTCAGCTTGGTGATGGCTCGCTCCATCTTCTTGGACCACCGGCTGTTTTGGAGGCTGATGGCACGTTCCTCTTCATCCCTTGCCACGGCATCTTCGTCGTCCTCGTCAATGTGCCGGCGGGAGCGCAGCTCGACGACATCCTGCTCACTCATAGGGCTTAGGATCTTCATAGGTCCATCGCTGCCACTCCTTGGCTGATGGAAGCTGTGTGTGGGGTCACTTGGATTGGCAGATGAGGAATCGGAACTGGGGACGTTGTCCTTGATCTGGTTCCAGACAAACTCGAGCTCAGCGACGAGCTCTCTCCCATCCCTGCTTAAAGGAGTTAGTTTCATATGCCAACATCAGGGAGGGTATCCAAGCTTACGATGTATTTGCGTATTTGTGCATTGTCTCGATGAGCGCCTCGACATATCGTCTCTTGGACTCAGTCCGGGTCAAGCCCTTTTGTGAATTCCACGCATCCCACTTGTCCCGCTCCTTCTGCAGCTCGTCCGGAGGCAAACCCGACGCGGCCGTAGGCATCTCCATGACACCATCCACGTCCCCCTCCATGGCCTGCTTGTAGAGGCCATAGAGCCGTAGCCGCTCGGAAGGGGGCGGCCGCGATGCTCCAGTCTTGGGTATCTTCTTGACGGTGTTTAGGGCATGGACAAAGACTCGATCTGCAGCATTGGGCGGTCAGCATGTACCATTGCGGGCTCGTGGGGGAGCAGATGCATCTGCCATTCTATACCCACCCACGGAGTCCGCCATCGGGGCGGCTATGACGGGGAGCCGTGCTGCTCCCAACGAGCCTGAAGCAACCTGGTGGAATCGCCCGGGAAACCCTCTTGCTTGGAATTGGTGTAAATCCCCGTCTTACTCTGCTTCTTCCGGAATGTTCTTTCTCGTGACCGCCAGATGGCAATTGTTGGGCGGAATAGGGCGTCGGTTGCGGATGGATTTGTTGACCCGGAAAGGCTGATTGATTGGCGATAAGGGCCGACGACGATTCGAGACACTGCAGTTGCAGGACAAATCGTCGAGGCTCAGCGCTGCGACAGGCTCTTAATCCGCAACGATGACGCAAGGCGAGTGGCAGGATGAGGATTCCGGTGATTACTTAGTCGTGGCAGGATAGTGGATGTCGAGATTATGTCTGCGGGCGTTCGTTGGCGATTGAGGCTCGGTCTGTCGTCCGGCTCGCAATTGAACCTCGGCGCGCTCGCGCTCCATAGCTCGGAAATGCTTTGACGCTACCGGCCAGGGGGCTTCGGCTGCTGAAAAGAGGGTGGCACAACCGCCTGCGCTGGGCCTCGCGTCATCGACTCGGGTATGCGATACCTGCCGCAGCACGTGAAAGTCGCCTGGGTGCTTAGTAAAAGGTACCTCAAGTGCAGACGGCGCCGGTTCTGCTTTAGTTAGGTCCAGTTTACCCCGGATTAGCTGCCCAACACATGAGAGGGCCTTGCATTGATTGCCGACAAAAGAAGTGGCATGCAACTCTGATCCAGTTAGATCTATATTTTAGATTTGCCTAGGTATCCAACGCTGCCTTACTGAAATTTGCAGGCTAAGGCAGCACATATCGGAAGATATCGAGTCCCCCCAAAACGTACCTATGATGCGACAAGTGCTCACCATAGCGAGACATTTCGCTAATAGTCACTCGATACATCGTCCCATTCCCCCATTCAGCTTCCACATCATAGCATTGGCGGTAGCATTTTGATGTACTCTATTCATTACAGCAGTCTGTTGTATGTATCTCTAACAGTAATAATCCAGCTCCAGGTTCGAGACCAAATCCACTCATTATTCTTAATCATGTAATGCACCCCAGATCGTATAGCCGTAACCGTAAAATGCATCACCTCATAGAAGGCTATTCACAAACGCATTCTCGTCTTTGGCTTTCATATACTGCCTCTTCTTTTCCTCATACGCCTGTATCAGTCGCTTGTTCTGCAATGCCGTCTCAGCTGCTTTCTGACCAGCATCCTTCTTGCTCAGGGCCGTGCCGACTGCCAATAGTCTCCCAACCTCGCCGTAGCCGGTAAGGTATGCTCCAACAGTAAACAGAGGCAGTCCAAGATTCTTGTCTCTCTTCTCGCCAGGTAGATCTTTGTAGTCAATCGTAACACCTTTGGTTACGATTTTCACGCTCAGCCGCTGCTTGGCACTTGAATCTGGTGCCTCTGACGCTGTCGGTTGAGATTCTGATCGTTTCTTTGCTGCCTCTGCTTTGTAGATGTCTTCCTTGATAGTCCTACCCCAGAGGGCCTTCAACCACTCCACGACTTTGGTCAGCCCATGTTGGGAATCCGAGAGAATTACTGCCGCTACATAAGCTTCGAACATGTCGGCTTGCGTCTTTAGTAAATCCTTGTCCTTTGATCTGCCTCGCCCTTGGCCTCTGTTATCACCAAAGCCATCTGGAAGCTTAGCCCACCGAGACATATCGTAGTGCCGAAAGTATTCGGCGAGAGTGACGTTTCGAATCAACCTCTCGCGGAGTTGGGAGCAAGCCCCTGAACGCAGCTGCGTGAACGTTTGATGAATGAGAGAGCTTGCGATTAGCTCCAGATATGCGTCACCTAGCCATTCTAGGCGCTCGTAGCTGTACTTTAGTCCAAGTCCTGGGTGTGTGAATACCTCATCCGCAAGTTTGGGGTCAAGAATAGGGGGTAGAGATGGCCATTCTTGATGGATTTCCGATGAGGACCAGGGTGTTACTCTGATATTAGATAACAAGGGTATGCTGGAAGTGTCTTGGGTGACTACCGAAACCTGTATTCTTCTATGTTAGTTTCTAACTGGCTGGTTGGATGATAAAAGAGCTGGAAAAGCCAAATGCATACCGTTGGTGTCGCATCAGTTACGGGTTGGGGAGTCTCAGATTCGGACACATCAAGAGATCCAATAATCTCAAATGAAGGAAGCAGCTGCTTGGTTAATCTAGATAGTCGTGATTTTACGCTCCCAAGCTGGAGCTCTGCAGGGTTCTTGCTCTGTGAAAACTGGCGCTTCAAAGACTGGAGACAATCTACTAGCTCATCTGCCTGTTCCGCAAGCAAAGTCAACGCTTGATTTGATGCCTCGGCGCTATTGACAAATTCATCATTTTGTCTGGGATCCCCAGTCTGCTGCCGCTTTGCCCAGTGATCCCCTTGGGATGCATTTGGTCGTTTAGGCATTTTATCTCTGACACCAACGCCGAAGATTATATGATGAAATTCCTCGCGTTTGATGTGAAGAATCCAAGATGAATTGACAGCGATTTTTGGGGCGAGTCGACTGACAGCCCAAACAGCAAGGCCCACATTTTGAGCGCGCAGAAGAGACTAGGCCTAACACGGCTTAGCCTATTTTCTTTTGATGTGCGCATTCAAACTTCAATTCAACGTCAAAAGCCGATGCCATCATTGGAGATCAAGCATGTAAAGATGAGTGTCCCTCGTGCGCGGTTGTTAGACTTGATGAAGGTAAATTCTCCCCCGAAATTGAATTGCTTAGCAATGGCCAGCTGACTTGCTACAGGCGCAATGCCAAGTATTCGCCACAACGTTCAACCCTGAGGGGGTTCGCATGGGCAACAAGGTCTTGCGACAGCGACTCAAAGGCCCAGCGCTCGCCGCTTACTACCCCCGGAAGCTGGCGTCGATTAAGGATGTGAAGAAAGAATTTGGTCCAGTGCTTGCCACGTGGGATGACGCCGAGGAGGATCGATTCGAGTACATTGAAGAGTAGGTGCATCAGGACGAGACTTGAAGAGACGGTCGACTAAAACTGCAATTTTAGACTCAAGCAACGTGGAAAGAGTGCACCGAAGAAGAAGAAGGGACCTCCTGGTATGTTGTAGCCACCATATCATTGTTTGTTTTTTCCTTGGAATATCTATCAGCTAATGATTCTGCAGCTCCCACCCCAGGAAAGAAGCGATAATCGACGCACTATCAGTTGTGTGGTGGCACCTCCGCTATTATCCATGTCCGATTCACATGAATGCAGATTTATGTTATCATAGTGGATGGATATTAAAGAGAGGGAAAAAGGCGTTGAAGGATATGGTGACTCAAGGTTTTGTGATGCCACTTGAGCTTGTAAAATCGACTGTACTGTACAATTACCCCCTTAGCTCGGGTCAGACGGCCTGACTCCGTTGCGAGATGAAAAAAAGAATTTTGTCTTAGACAATATGGATATGAATAGAGGCTTTGTGTCGACTAGAGACCGTCGCCGAATGGAATGAGAAACGTCTGTTGAGAACATTCAAGGTTTCTAGTGTCAGGCCCAACTACGCAGTGACTCTGATGCCAACCGAGGCGGTATTAACCTTGGAAATTCCACTTCTCATGAGTCATCTGGTGACTGGATTTGTAGTCGGATAGATTGCACTTCGTCGTCGACGCCTTAACGAAACAAAGCGCCGAGGGCAAACAAAAAAGGGAACAATATCGGTGTATAATGGCGCTCTTTGGAAGCTCGCTGTGATTCACAGAGGATTTTGCTGCCCACAGTTCTCAATCCACCAGTTCTCGAAGCGCTAAACATGTCCGCGAAATAACTGATGCATCTTCTTTCGCTCTCTCTTTTTCTTTTTAATGCATTTCTCGAAACCTGGTACCTTAAATACGTCTATCTACACTCACCAAAAGGCCATAATGAACGCAGCCTAATATCACATATATGTGCCTGACCTTGGCTGACGTATAAATCCTGCCTTGTCTTTTGGCCTTAGCGAGTAGCAGACAAGGCGGTGGCCCTTTTTGGCGATAAAAAACTGGCAGCCGCCGCCAGCTCCTTCCTCAAGCTGCCTGACAGGCCGTTCTTTCACCTGCGACTATAACCGACCACTAACATCTACTTCTGCAATCTCTGTCCCGTTAATTTCTCCTTCGTCTACACCACATCTCAGAATCGTCCACAAAATTTCCTTCTCCTTTCACTCTTTCAACTTTGGCACATAAGCTGCGCCTAGTCTAGCCCTCTCAGGGGAGCTTTTCTATCCCAACATAACTCGCCGCCGTTTCCTCTCTGCCCGTTATCTTGCCAATCCCTTCCGAGTATTTCCTGCGGATGAAATGTCGACTTCCGGCTCCTCTGGATCTACTCCTCAGCGCTCCGTTACATTGTCAGCAGGCACACCTCAGAAAGACATGTTGGTGCAGGCAGGAAATGTACTCCCAACCACTGCAGCTTCCAGTGTAAGTTTCTTACCGTCCAATGATCTGAAGTTTGCAACAATACTACAAGCGCCGAGGCCTTCGATTCTAGTTGGGAGTATGACAAACATGATGGCGTATCTCTGCTTACTTCCTTATTCTAGGACACTGGAACTGGCAGTACAATGAAAGAAAGGGGTATTTCGCCATTGACTACATCAAAATTGGCAAATCAAGGTTACCCAAAGGTAAGCGCTTCTATCACCTGATTTCGTGGCTTTCTTCATACTCACTGTTTGCGTAAAGGCCGCCCATAATCTGCCCACTAACAACTCCTATCATATGGAAAAGACGTTCGCGAGAATTCCAGAGCAGCAAATTTCCATCAATCAACAGAACCAGACCGTCAAACCGGTGGAAGACGAAGGCTCCTTCTTGAGAGTCTGTGACCAAACCCCTCCAAGCACTTCGCTTCCCATCACTCCAGTGACCGAAGGTTTCTCTGGCACAGCCCCGACTACGCGACCGGCCAGTGTTACACTTGAAGATCCTCGTCCAGATGCTGAGGAAGTTTTCCGCTTGAAACTTCAGCTGGCGCAAGCCCGGAACCACATCTCCAAGCTAGACCAGGAGCTTGCCCAGTCGCGGTCTGCCAAGGAATCTGACGCGGCAATCCCTCGCACCGAAGCAGCTCCTCGGGAGAATATTTGGAGCAGAGGCACCCCAGATGACACTCAGTCCGACACTAGTGATTCTGCCTCAATTGCCGCACTTAATCGTGCCCGCGGAATTTGGGGATCTACAAAGGCGTCCTTTGCCAACAACAACCCTCTTCATCCACCTGCTTCTGAGCCGTCTCCCGCTCACTGGTTTGGCGGTCGAGGATATAACCAGAGCTGCTTGGACCCAAACTCGCCCTACGTGCTAGTTGACAACCATCACTCTGAGCGTCAAGCCCCTGAGCACGACATCACCATGAGACCCCCATCGAATCGCCGTGGTGCTCGCTTCGACAGCCGAATGAATTCGAATCATCAGTTTGGAGGTTCTTTTGTCAATCTCAGCGGCCCAGCTCATCAAGTTGACTCGGTCGGAGGCCCAGTACCCTTCCCAGTCCCAGGCGCTCACGTTAGTGTTGGGCCAGCAATGGCTCCGATGGGCATAAACATGTATCCTCCGTTTCACCAACAAGCAATTGGCACTCCTCTTTCTCCCCATGCCTCAGAGTTCACCTCAAAGGCTGGCTGGAAGAATGAGGTACCCAGCAGTTCGATGGAGATCACTCACTATCATCCACATGCTGATGAAAAGCAGGTTGTTCCATCAGAGGGACCAACCTATCTCCCACCAACGGAGCCTCTCAATTACCGCCGGCTCCTCGATCGAAACGTGAACTGCAACTGGAAGTACATAGTTGATAAGATTGTTTGCAACAACGACCAACAAGCTTCCATCTTTTTGCAACAGAAGCTTAAGGTGGGCACGCCCGAGCAGAAGTATGAGATTGTCGAAGCCATTGTAGCCCAGGCGTACCCCTTGATGGTCAACAGGTTTGGCAACTTCCTTGTCCAACGCTGCTTTGAGCACGGAACCCCTGAACAGGTCATTAAGATTGCCGAAGCCATTCGTGGCAACACTCTAAACCTTTCCATGGATCCCTTTGGATGTCACGTTGTGCAAAAGGCATTCGATTCGGTCCCAGAAGAATACAAAGCAATCATGGTCCACGAGCTCCTCCGTCGAATCCCCGAGACTGTGATTCACAGATATGCCTGCCACGTCTGGCAGAAGCTATTCGAGCTGCGATGGACCGAATCTCCTCCTCAAATTATGAAATTTGTCAATGAATCTCTTAGAGGAATGTGGCATGAAGTTGCCCTTGGAGAGACTGGCAGTCTTGTTGTTCAGAACATTTTTGAGAACTGCCTCGAAGAGGACAAGGTCAGTGAGATCAGGAATTTCTTCGAAGGTGGCCGTAACCATCTAACAAATGCTCAATTAGCGTCCCTGCATCGAAGAAGTCCTCGCCAATATCGACATTGTGGCTCACGGTCAATTTGGGAACTGGTGCATCCAGCATATATGCGAGCACGGAGCTCCCCCAGACCGCAGCCGCGCCATCGACCACGTCATCCGATACGCCGCGGAGTATAGCACTGACCAATTTGCTTCCAAGGTGGTGGAAAAGTGTCTCAAGATTGGTAGTGCCGAGTTTCTCGGTCGATATCTTGATCGGGTTTGCGAAGGGCGCCGCGATCGCACTCGCATTCCTTTGATTGACATTGCCAGCGACCAATACGGAAATTACCTTATTCAGTGGATTCTTAACAACGCTTCTCCTCAACATCGTGAGATGGTTGCTGCCCATATTCGAAAGCACATGGTCTCTCTCAGGGGGTCCAAGTTTGGATCTCGTGTGGGGATGCTGTGCACCAACCACGCGGTGACGACTCGCCCCGGCCCAGGCGTTGGACCCGGCATGGGTAGCAGCCGCATCGGAGGACCGGGACCAGCCAGGTTCGGGACCTCTTACCGTTGATACGGTATTGGAATCGATGGTCTATAAGTGTGCGGGATGCTACCTACGACCTAGCAAGCCTTCCCCTAGGCGACTCTCGCAGCATCGTTTGTTTTTCTTATAGCCCATCTTGCCGGTTCGCATCATATCTAATTTCCACCCTTGTTGTTCTCGCCCAGATCACAAGATGACACAAAGAATTTGTCGACTTCTTCTTATGAACATTTTCCCATGCAATCAATTTACAGATCACCCGTCATCCTACGCTCAGCTGGCTACTGCCTGACTGGGTGCATTGGACACATTATGGTTATGCATTTTGAAATATGCAGGAGACTACATCTGCTAACCGTAAGGACAACATTCTCTTTGACAAGAGCTCAGATTGCATCTCGACATGTAAAGGCGATAGCATATTCACTTAGGACGGTTCGTACCCCCTGCATTTGAAGACGAGGCTGAGCTAACTGATGGCTTGGTAGAAGAAGCCCGATGGTCATTAGAATATTTTAATTGAGAGAAGGAAAAAAAAGAAAGAAATGGGGGTAGCGGGAGTGTATCACTTTGATGAAAACTGCATTTTGTTTTGCGCGGCGGAGAGAATGGAGGGATGTTATACGGAGAAGACTTAATTGTGTTAATAGTTGCAACGCTCTTTATTACAGGATTTCTCTTTTTGTTTTGACTGCGGCGCCTGCGTGCCTCAAGCAGATGGGGGCCGTAATTTCGAATAATGATGCTAGGACGTTTAATCAAGACAGAATTTCAGGTTGAAAGGGGTATGCGTATTAATTCGTGACCAGATATTTTCAGCTTGACATCAAAATGCCACACTTGAACAGGGAACGTGGGCTATCTTCATCCACCAGTAGACGCCATGAATGCATTTCGATATTAAGAGCCAGATGGATCTTTTGTCTCCATCGCCTTTGAGCAGTCGTGACACTGCCAGCATCATGAAGTCTCTGTTGTGGCTGCTGCCGTGTTCTGTGGCTCTACAGGAGGGAACTCGAGATCAAGAGTGTTCTCAACACCACCGGCAGCTGCCTCGGCATTTGCAGAAGCCTCCTTTTCCCAAGGCTTCCTGGGAACGGGCCGTGATCCAACAGGCTTCACCGTCTATAGGGGGTTCATGCGTGAGTATAGGAGTAATACACAAAGATAAACTGAAGATAGAGTTTGGTACTTACAGCATCTCGTTCAATAGTGTTGGGAATCTGTCTGATACCGGGAATTGGCTTGCCCTCCTGGAGGAGCTTGATCATTTCGGCGAAGCCAAGGGGATAAGACGGTTCACCCTCGCCGGAATGAGGCTGCGCGCTGCGATCAACGTAGAGATCGGCCTTGGGGGCAGCTTGTTGCCATGGGGTTGCGGAAGAAGAAGACGGCGACGGCGACGATGGCTGCTCGTATTCTTGGGGGATGATGTGCGGGGGTTGGTGGTCCGGGTTCTGGGCGAGCCAGGCGTGGTAGGCGGAGAAGTCGATTTGGACGCCGATGCGCTGGGCGTAGTAGAAGATGCGGGCGTGGGTGGCGATGTCGCGGAGGGAGCCTTGCGGGTTTGAGGAGTTTGGGGCGCCTAGGATGGCGCGGAGGCCGGACTTTGATGAGGATGTAAGTGAGATGAGGATGAGGATGATGAGAGGAGGAAGTGGGGATTATGAGAGAGGGTGGATTGGGGGTTTTGGGCGTACGAGAAAGGCAGCGTCTTTGGTCCAGGGATAGGCGTCAAAGGCTTTGAAGACGGCGTCTTGGTCTGTTAGTGAGCGGATGCGGTCTGCGCCTGGATATGGTTCCTGCGGCTCTGCCATTGTCTTGTTGTTTCTGGGTGTGGGTTTGTGAGGGGTTTCGGTTTGGCTGCTTTATGAAGGGCTGTCTTTATCTAACAGCCGAGTGAGACGTCATGCACTGAATATCGTACAAGAACAGCGGAAAGAAGGCAGAGTCAAGGCGAGTCAAAAGTTCTATGAAGTTTAGTTTCAAGGGACTCATGAAAATGGGCTTATAGCAAAGTAGTTGGCTCACCCTCTCACTGCATGTGAAGTGGGTGAATGGCGGGAGGTGGGCAAACCTCGGCCCCGGTTTTGGTAATGGGTTTGGCTGATGCCATTGGCTACTTTAAGTGAATGGCTGGGGAATTGCTAACCACCAAGAGAAGAACAGTTATTCGTCGAGGTACCAAGAACATCAACTTACTGTGTCTACTCATGCTTATTCACAAGGCATCTGTAGAGGGTAAACCAAATCATGTGCTACATCGCTCTTTTTGATGTCCATCTATCTAGCATTGCGTCCTATGGATGCCCACTTAACATCTCATATCGGGAATCATAGGTAGTACTAATAATAATGATAATAATCACCCACACAAAGCCCCCTCACTCTGCGTTTCCTTTTTCCAGCCAGAAATACACCAGATGGGCCACACATTATGCCTCCACAACCTTTTTATCTCTCCGAGTATATGAGTATACAACGCCTCGCAATCGTCCCATGAAATAGTAATGTCCCGCCAAATATTCGAAACGCTGGTTTTGACAAAGGAAAAAAAAAAGACAAAAGGGGAAAATGCACGTAAAACCTTGGCCGTCCCATCGCGAGCTCAACGTCCTTCGAGGGCAGCAAGCTGGGCAGCCAGGTCCCTATTCCCCACCAGGAGTTCTTCCAACCAATCTGCTGTCATGGTCAACATGGTGCTTTTGCTGAAGCCGCCCCCGCTGAGTCCAGGAACAATTTCGCACAAATCATCAAACCCTTCTTTTATAAGGGTTCGGCGCTTCTGTTCGCTGCGGATATGATTTTCTCGCTTCTGCTCCTCTGATAAGTTTTCGCGCGGCGGCTTGACTCCGTTCAAGGCTGACTTCCGTCGCTTGCCTGCCATACCGGCTTCCATGGGTGGCGATGAAATGGACCCGTTGCGATCGCCCTTAGCTTTCCTTCGCTTGGCGGCAGCAGACTTGTTTCCGTTGGCACCTTGATCCTCGCCTTCTTCTGTGCTATCCTTCTTGATCTTGCTCTTCCGTCTCTTGCGAGGGGGTGCGTCATCGTCGTCGTCTGGTCTCTCCACGGACTCCGATTTATCTCTATGTAAGCCCAACGAGAAAGTGGATTGGCCGTTGGTCGGACTATTAGGACGGGTTGTTGCAGCGCTCTTGTTGGGTTCCAAGCACTCGAGGCACTTGAGCTGCTCCTGATGCTGAGTCTCGACCGTTTCCTTATTCGCTTCGGGTGTATAGCCCTGGGTAAGGTTAAAGTTGGAATCGGAGCCCCATTGATAATCCGCGGGGATGGCTCGGGTGGTGGAATTCTGGCGTCCTTTGGATCCCCACATCCACTCTGTAAAGGTATTATCAATCTCGGTGTGCGCCATGCCTTTGCGGCTCTCCTCTCTGAACTCTTCCAGACCCTGGTGGCGGAGGTGGCCAACTGGAGGGCCAAGGGGCCGCCGCGGGGCAGATGAGTCGTTGTTCTTGTGAGCTCCACGCATACCAGATCCGTTTTGCATCAGGGTGGCCGCGGCGTTCAAAACATCGTCCGAGGGGTGTTGCTGGTAAGTATTTGGCTGAGAAGGGGGAGGTGGTGGTGGTGGCATTAGATGTGATCCAGACATGGCCATATGAGAGCCATGGGAGTCGTTGCTATAATTTAAATGTGATTCTTGGCCGAGAGGCGCGGCTGATTGAGATCCATAGGAAGTGGCCGTTCCCATCAACTGTGGAGGCAGGTCGAACCACGCATTGTAATTCAGGCCTTCTCCGAAAGAGGGCATGTTGTACTGGTTTGCTGTCATGTCGTCGAAAAAATCACTGAGGAACTTGCTATCGGTTTCGCTCAGCAAGGGAGCGCCGGGGGCCGGCTCGGGGGCATCGAATAGAGGTTCCTGATTGCCATCGACGGAATCTGGAGGGGACAGCGTCAGCATGGCTCTAAAGCTAAAGTCCTACGCACAGCAGGCGGTTGGGGACAAAACACACATCCGAAGGGCATCTGGAAAGGATCGGAATCGGGCTGCGACGAACCCATCCTGCTGGGAGGCTGCCGGACGGCGAGCATGGGTGCGCCTTTGCAAGAGAGATGGAGACGGGACGAGGCCGTGAAGCTTTGCGCTGGACTTAGGCGAGGAGCAGTGGCAAGAAACTGGCGCTACGAAAGCCTTGGCCTCGGATGGACATTTGCGATAGACGGCTGATTCTATAGGGCGCACGCGATCTTAGTTCGAGAAGCACATGAAAGAAGCTGGGGGGAAATCCGGGGTAGCGGAAAAACGACGACGGGGGGGATCGAGGTTTAAAGGTCGAAGCAGAATATGAGGTGAGGCCAAGTTGGAGTGGGGCGCAGGTCTGTCTGTTCAGCGGCTGGGTCACGGTTTCGGTGCTTGTCCAGGTAGTGTCCAGGTGGTGTCGTGGTGGTGTCCAGGGGGGGTTGGAGGGCCCAGCAGCGCGCTGGTTTTGGCTGGTGCACCGCTAAAACGGGTCGCGGTTTGCGGCACAAGGGAAGTGGGAGTGGATCCGTCTGGTGCTGTCACAGCCAAGTCTGCTGAGCGTTGAAGCACCTTGTGTTGACAGCTCAGCTCTCAGACAGAGCACGACGACTCAGCTCGGCAGGGCTTTACAGAAGCAAGAACAACTGGCAGTCAAGGGCGGCCAACGGGATGGGAAAAGCTGGCAGCGTACGAGTACTGTACCAGCCGGTTGAGGCGTCACTCCACTCAACAGGCGACCCCACGAGGGGCACGAGGACATGAAAGGAATCCAAGTTCCTGTACGAGTACTTTGCCTGTAAGCAACAAGGAAAGGAACCTGGAGCAAAGCAGGCAATCTAGGTGCAGAGGCGGTAGCGGAGCCCTCGGGCTGCGGCTGGGAGCCTGTACTTGTACTGGCGCATAAATGAACGTTGTTGCAATATTGCTAGCGCTCGGGAGGCTAGGGTCGTATTCATTGATTGATTGATCGATTGACTGTTGGATGCTAAGGAACTACCCAAGGTACTAGGCAGTTGAGGCTGCTCTTCTCCACGCGCTTCATGCAACACCAGCGGTGGCGGTGGGCATGAATCCGCTTGCTTGTCGGTTGCGGCTGTGTGTCAATGGTACTAGGTATGAAGGAATCGCCATTGCGGTCGTATTATTGTCTGGACCTGTACGAGTACAACCGTCTGCCGTCTTGGGGGATGAACCAGGGAAAAAACCAAGCACCCCTGTCCCGTCAGGCCCGCTCTCTTCAAGTCACCTGGTGGGTTTGGGTTTGGCAGAGGCGTATGGAGTGGCCCTAGCTGCAGCCAAAAGTCTTGAGTTGTCTGGTGCAGGAGTACTAGCATGGAACACTGATTGCCTAGTAGCACCTAGTAGATAGGGCGCTTTACCTCTTTATCGAGGGCTTTCCAGCGAAATCGGTACTTACAGGCACTTGACATCATTCCTGGTCATCCCTTCTAATTTGCAGCGCAAGCTGGTCCCCCCAATACTTTATCTTGTACCTCCAACCCAGTTACTCAATACCCCCCGTTTTATTCAACCAGCTGCCTTTCTTCGGCTTTGCCCACTATGCTTCAAAGCGAGCATCACATGCCATTTCGTCATTCCCTTTCTCGGCTCACCCAAGGGCACAAGACACAATAATGATGAGCAGCAACGAACATATGACGGAACGCTGAGATGCATCTAGGAACAGGCCTGCCGCCAAAATGTTCCGTACGGAGATATGCACCCCCTCCGTTGCACTGCTTCCTACCGACCTGCTCAACTCGGACGTGCCCGTAAAAGTCTTGTCTCAGATGGGGGTATTATTAGATTTGTTGACGAACTTTGGTTGGCGTTGCAATCGAATCAATAAGGGCCCCCATGCAATGCCGTTCAATGATCACCATTATGCCGAAGAATTATAGTTACACCGTTCAGTTACAGTCATCTTAATGTCCTTTTTTTAGGGCGAGGCGTTCATGTAGTCTGCAATTGGTTTGCCGTGTTTCCCCCCCTGGCCCTGGTTGCCAGATCAGAACATCGGTCTGTGCCTCCTGTGCCTCGGCCGAGGTTCACGAAATAGCTACTAGTCATGGCTCCAGCGTCGCAAAGATGCTTCGCCTCCCCCCCTGGCATTTCGATCTCGAAAAGAAGGAAATAGAAGGAGAAAAACATAAGTTCCCGCGTTCGGTGGAGCTCGGGTTCGTGGCATGTCGCCTTGCAGTAACATCGTCTGAGGTTAGCGGTTGATTGATCTGAGGAGCCGGTGCCCCAGCAGAGATGCATCCCTCCCTGATTATGCTTGTGCATTGTAGCATGCAGATAGCAGTGATGTGAATAATATGAAGAGCTAATGAATAGGGATATGCACCCCAAATTGGTTACCACCATCCCGTGTTCCAAAACAAAATAGTGATACCAATATCAGATGCCAAACGTAGCCATAATAGCAAGGTTCGTAGATAACGAGCAAATGGTACGGTAGGTATCTGGCAGAGATCAATCTACTAAAAAAAAGTACCCAGCAATCGTAGCAGATATTATACAAAAGTACCCGGGAATAGCATCGGGTACTGCATTTGAAGAACCGGTAGAGCAAAATGCAAAAGAGTCGCATCCGGCAGCTGCTGGCTACTCTGCCGAGGCTCCAGATTCGAGATTCACACCCTACCCGTATGAGGTTGAGGTTTCGCTACAAGTACTCGTACCTGCTCTACGGCCCTAGTGCGCAATGCTTAAAAAAAGGTCCCCTTTAAACGTTCAACGCCAGAAGCCAACGAAACAATCGGCTTTCTCCTAGCTTGCCAATTAGCAAATTCTATGCTTTGCGTGTATTCCAATCTTGGTTCTTCTTCGAGACCGTTGTCGATTGTCCCCCTTTTTTCTCTTCCCTGCCACCAATAGCCGTGATACGATAGTTCGCACCTACATCATCGCGCTGAGAGGCGGTCGCGTCACACTCCCGCATCAAGCTATCAAAGCCGCGGCAGCGCCAGCAGATCCGTTACAGGCATCCCCCAATCATCCAAAGCGAGCGGCGCGTTACACCTTACGAAACGCCATTCGTCTGCCCTGAATCTTTTGGCCCGGGCACTGCTTCAGGCAGAGGTCCCTGCGGCCACTCCGTTAGGCGTCTCGTCTCTGCCCAGCTGAACTCGCCCAAAACAGCGTTTGCCGGCTCTCCAACTCCATCATGGCCTTGACACTGGAGATGCAGCCCATGGCATCAGCCCTGCGATCTGCCCGGTCCAAGGGGCCGCTGAGCTTCAAGTCTCTGCCCGCAGCCCTGCGGCCGCTGATCCGGGCCTATCTCCTGGGCTATGCCTCGGCCGTTGCACCTCGGCTGTTGACGCTGATGCTGCAGTTCATCTCCAAGAAACGCAAAAGCGCAAAGAAGTATCTCTCTTCAGACAGAGACGAGCGGTCATTCAAAGAATCGGCTTTCCGGATCCTGAGAACCGGCCTGGATCCACGACGATTCCCCACGTTTTGTGCCGCCCTGGTGGGAGGCTCGACTTTGCTGCAGGTAAGAAGATGACTAGAAGTCGGCGTTGGGCGATGCTTGATGACCAACCCGAGATGGATGGTTTGGGGAGCATCCCACCCTCACCCTCGGCCAGCTTCCGCTTGTCCGTCCCACGACAAACAGAATACGACCGTGTAGTCCCGAGTTCGTAATAGTCTGGGCTCAACAGTGGCCAATGCTAGCCAGCTGTAGTATCATTGCCAAGTAATGCGCTGACGATCAACTTGTAACATCCATATAGGAACCTCTACTCAAAATCATCAGCCGCGTTGCCACCCAGCTCAGTGCGGGATCACAACTCAGGTGAGCCTCCGAATATAGACACACTAGCATTACCATCTTGTGCAACATTTATATTGGCCGAAAGCTGACAGGTGGTTTACTCCTGCTTGGTTTGACACAGACTAGCACGATGGCTGTCTACATTCATATCGGGATGGCTCAGCCTCCAGCTTCTCCAGTCTAAGCAGACAAAGACATCCCCTTCGTCTTCGTGGACAGATTCCGGTCTGGCTGCAGTGCAGCAAGGCTTGTCTGAAGCCTCAACCGGCGCCTATGGCGGTCGAACGCTCGATCTTACTCTCTTTGCTGTCACCCGCGCCGCCGACGTCCTCGTCGGTGAGCTGTGGTCTCAACGTCGCTCCCGTCGCAAGGCTACGGGAAAGTGGACTGCGGTTAGTAGCCTCTCTTCACTGTGCTCTCTTCTCGAGCTAATTATTTAGATCGAGCAACTCATGTCTCGTCTCATGGACCCCGTCGTATTTGCCGCCTCCTCCGGCCTCATCATGTGGGCATGGTTTTACTCTCCAGACAGCTTGCCTCGCAGCTACAACAAGTGGATCACGTCTGCCGCCTCTGTCGACCTACGTCTCATTGAAGCTCTACGACGTTGCAGAAAGGGGGAGCTTGTCTACGGCAAGGAAACCGGCCAAGCGCCGCTACTGGGTTCCATGTGCGACGACTACGGCCTGCCTACAGAATGGGGTGACCCTGCCAAGAACATCCCGTTTCCCTGCGACCTCGTCCACATGGGGTGTAGCCCATCCTGCGAATATCATGCTATTAGCCGCTTCCTTCGTTCTTGGAGATGGTCCATGCTGACCTACCTGCCCCTTGCCCTGGCTCTCCAGTTACGCAATCCCAAACGCATCAATCTTGCTAAAGCCATCACCGGCTCTACCCGATCATCCACTTTCCTTGCTACCTTTATAACTCTCTTTTACTATGGTGTGTGTCTGGCCCGCACTCGCATCGGTCCCCGCGTTCTCGGCAAAGATATACCGAGCCGCCAGCGAATCGACGAGGGCGTATGTGTCGGTACCGGATGCTGCCTCTGCGGATGGAGCGTGTTCATCGAGACGGCGGGCAGAAGGAAAGACATGGCTCTGTTTGTGGCGCCGCGGGCGTTGGCAACTTTGGTCCCTCGGCGGTATCCCCTGGAGAAGCAGTGGCGGGAGAAGTTGATATTCGCAGCGAGCACAGCCGTTGTATTTACTTGCGCCCTCGAGAATCCAAAGAGAGTCAGGGGCGTGTTGGGAGGTATTCTGGGCATGGTGTTGAAGAAATAAAAAAAGGGTGTAGGGGGCATATACGGGTTTCCTCTTTGGGTTCTGTAACGTGGACATGAATCTCCTTTTCTTTTTCTTTGAATCTCTTAGAATAAGCCCCTTTTTTAGAGGATATACACAGACAACCCTGATATTACAATTGGTAAATAAATACATAATATTAATTGTTTATTCTGTATGATCCATTCCTATTACACGATGCTCATAAAAACTATGGGGGTACTTTACCCTAGCCAAGAAACAACTCCAAGCACAAAGATACACGTCAAAATATCGGTTCTCACAGTGGAGAAGATTTGGAAATACCGCTGTCCAATCTCGATGTAGCCTCGATACGGCTGCGGCAGGTACGAAATAGCGGTCGCAACAAATCCCGTGGCGTTAGTACTCCTCTTGTCGAGGAACATCCTCGTCGATAACAGCAAGACCTCGGCAGTGGCAAACGTCCAGAAGAACAAATTCTTCCGCCTTTCCGCCTCCACGTCCACCTCTTGCTCGAATGCCAGGGCGGTGCGCTCGCGCTCGACTTTGCTGCCGGAGAAGTTTGTCGTGAGGACGAAGAATAGACCCAGGCCAAGAGCGACTAGGGCATGGATGAGGCGCCAGAAAGATACTGACGAGGATTTGGGTAGCTGGACTGCAGCTTGCTGCTGTGGAAGATTCATGTTGGCGAAAGGGTTGGAAGCTCCATCTGCGCCACCGAAGCCTGGTATCGAGCCCGAGGACATCATCTGGGACATCATCTTCATGATGGGGTCGTCCTCCATGCCAGGCGGCAGAGCTGGACCCGTCGCGCCGGGAACGGGACTGGGTTGATCAGAACGATCGAGACCGAGCATCATCTGGCGCAGCTGTGCCTCAGAGAGCGATGGCTCGGGACTGGGGGAGAAGACGCCATCGAGGGGCTTGCGAGATGTCTTTTTCGGGACGAAGAAGTGCTCTGAGATGTCGACCTCGGCAGGATCCGTGGCGTGCTCGTCTGATGTAGACGCCTTCGATAAGGTGGCCGGAGCGGACGGGGCTGTAGGCTGTGAGTCTTGATTGATCATTCCCATTAGCACACACTTCACACAGGAGAAAAGAGAGCTTTCAACGGGCTCCTTGAACAAAAAAGAAGAAACATCAAGTGATGTACGAACCTCCAGTGACACGACCGCCGACGCCGGTGATTCTCTCCAGTCTCGCGGATCCTCCAGCTTTGATCTTTGCTTCTCTGCGCTCCTTGCGAAGCCGCGCCTGCTCTGCAGCTCGCTGGGCGGCGGCGTCGGAGTCGTTGGAAGTCGCGGTGCTGTCTGCCATGTTTGCGCGGGCAGCGGATTATCTGAAACCGGCGAAGAGTTGCGTGGGAGGTTTTGTTCGAGCCTGTGGCGGAAAAGAAAAATGTCGGAATGGCAAATAAGTGGCCTGAAGGTGGACAGCTAATGACAGCACACGAGACCCCACGCACTGCATGCACATGATACATGGGCCTACCTATGGAGGGGTCCAGTAGGAGGTGCATATAGAGGTAGGTATGCTGTAATTCAGCCTCTAATTCTACGTCATGAACTCTGTATGATGTTCACAAATTGCATTAGATAGGATTAAGAATTATATGAAAAAAGGCACACAACAACCAAAATTACATTTTATTCTATCTTGTTATCCATTTGAACGATACCGCCAATTGTGTAGATAGATATTGGAGCTACCATATCGGATGAGTGCGCACTACATGGCCAATTGAGACAGCGCAGCTGAGCTGAGAACAAAATAACCAACAGTCCTACTAATTGACAGCATATAGCTACTAAGTAGGTAATAGGCATGCGCAACCTTCAGCAGCAACAGACACAAAATAAGATAGGTTCGATCGAGATGAGGTTGTAGTGGTTTCCATCGAGGTGGGAATGTAAATAAAGTCAAGGCATTGGCAAAATTAACACCATGCGGGGATCTTTCAACATCAGATGGAACTTGCTTCTTAACAAGAAGGCTGCCAGATTGAATTCAACCCGTGGCTATGGGATAAGATGATTCACAACTACCAAACTCATAAAGGGGGCAGAGCAACAATCATCTGGTGGCACCTATACAAGTCTCACAGCGCTATGGCCCTTTTTGCCAGCACATACAGGTATTACAGGCATGCAGCTCACATTCCCTCGTATTAACACCAGTGCATACTTGTACGAGGACTTGCAAGATACTGTATCGCGAAATCACCCCCTCGCCTCCTAAAAGTAAACAACCACATGTCCGGGGGTTACCTGTAACTGCCAACGAGCAAGGATCAAAGCGCAGTCCCGAAATGAGCTTGTTGCTGTTCCTAGGCCCGATATGTTCATCAGAGCACGCGCCACCAGTGATGACGCACTGTGCCAGTCGACAGCCGTGGACGTGTGACGGTTGAAACTGGTCCCCTGACTTGCCTGATCACTCACGGGCTGGGGGCATCGCACAGTGCAAAAACAACATCCTGTCGCACACCCCGGCACCTTGCACTAGACCCAAAAGTAGCACTCCAGATTGTCCCGCGGCCTTGCCAGCTCCATCACCCGAGGCAAGAAGAGAGACGGACAATCTTAACCAAGCATCGCCGTTCCCACAAGTCAGCTCGTCGCCGCCCAGATGCATCGTGCCGCTGTCAGGGCGTTCCGGACAAGTCACCGCCCCAGCGTGCGAAGCCAAGTGCGGAACCAAGGACGACATCACCTCAATCAGATTCGCCAGTCCAGCACCTCCCATGTGCCTCTGAGATCGTCCATGTACTTCCGTCGTCTGCCCGTCGCGCTGGCCTCTGGTCTGATCCTTGGATACGGCGCCTGGCACTACAACGGCGCCGACTTTGTCCCCGGCAGCGCCGTCACTCGAAGCTTCACCAACACGCAGGCGGCCGATGCCGCGCCGACGCGCACCGTCTTGGTTGTCGGAGCCGACGAGCTGAGACAGGGCACCATCGTTGGCGAGGGGCCGCTGTACAAGTCGTCGACCGAGGACGGCCGCAGGATCGTCGAGATGCTGACGCCCGACCAGGCCACGGCCAAGCTGCGCCGCCAGGAACAGTCTTTTTATGTCAATCGCGGCCAGGGCGTCACGCGCTACGACCTTGTCCAGCTGGGGAGCAACGATCCCATTGAGGACGACCACGCCGAGAAGATTGTCGAGGTGCCCAACCGGGCCGCCGAGGAGCAAGTTAGCAGCAGCGACTGGATGTTCTGGGGAGTTTTCGATGGTCACTCGTAAGTATTATACGTTGAACCTTTGTCTTGTCATCGTGGTACAAAGGCATGCTGACATTGGCACTCTCTCTTCTAGCGGCTGGACGACATCAGCGACGTTGCGAGAAAGCCTCATTAGCTACGTGGCTCGAGAATTAAACAGTACCTACAAGGCCGCCTCCAACGCGGCACCGGCCCCCGAAGCCATTGACTCGGCTATCAAGGCCGGCTTCACCCGCCTCGACAATGAGATTGTCCATAAAAGCGTCGAAAAGGTCTTCAAGGCTAGCTCCAAGGCCGTGGCTGCTGAGCTGCTGCAGCCTGCCTTGTCTGGCTCTTGCGCCTTGCTATCCTTCTATGACAGCAGGAGTAAATTGCTGCGTGTTGCATGCACAGGCGACTCTCGTGCCGTCTTAGGACGTCGAACAAAATCCGGCAAATGGATAGCCACGGCTCTCTCCGAGGACCAGACAGGAGGCAACCCTAGTGAAGTTGCTCGCATGCGCATGGAGCATCCCGGCGAGGAGCACGTCATCCGAAATGGCCGTGTCTTGGGTGGCCTGGAGCCAACCCGTGCCTTTGGTGATGCCGTCTACAAATGGAGCCGCGATGTCGCTGGAAGACTCCGCGAGAACTTTTTCGGCCGGAGTCCCTCTCCCTTGCTAAAAACCCCTCCCTACGTCACAGCGGAACCCATTGTCACAACGACCAAGATCGAGCCTGAGAACGGCGACTTTGTTGTGCTTGCTACAGATGGACTATGGGAAATGTTGACCAACGAGGAGGTTGTGGGCCTTGTGGGCCAGTGGATCGAGACACAGAAGACGGGGAGGCCAAGCTCGCAGTTTGATAGGGCATGGTCCAAAGTCTTTGGCTCGCAGAGCAAGCCGCTTCCCGTAGAACAAGGCAGAGAAGCAATTGGGTTTGATGGAAAGACACCAATTCGCGTTCAGCAGTGGGGAATCGACCCCGAAGCAAGAGACCGCTTTGTCGTCAGAGACAAGAACGTTGCCACTCATCTTGTCCGCAACGCTCTTGGCGGAGCCAATGACGAGCAAGTTTGTGCTCTCCTAACTTTGCCATCGCCCTTTTCAAGGCGATATCGGTTAGTCCCCTCTATATTTACCTCCTCTCTGTCCTCACCAGGGACACGTGCTAATCCCATTCCAGCGATGATTTGACTGTTCAGGTCATTTTCTTTGGTCAAGGTGACAAGACAAGCGACAAGACCGGTGATGTCACAGTCAACTTAGATGCAACAACAGATCAAGACCCTAGAGCTAGGCTTTAGAAGTATTGGCTTAAGTTTCTACCATGAGCGGCGGTAACGGCATTGCTAGCTGTACAAATATTTGGACGATTGAATGAACTAAGGTTGATTTTCAATTTCTTCGGTGCTCGGTGGCAGCAGCGAATGAGATAAACTTCATCCGGCAAAGAAGACTACGAAGACATTGAGCCCAGGGGAAGTACTTTCCACCAAAGGATATGTGTGCTCCCCCCATTTGCTGCATTCTTTTGCTACTTTTTTCTCGCAAACCGTTTGCTGCGGTGTATTTGAGTAGGGCAGCGTTGTTGTAAGGCATGGCGTACGGTTTCTAGAGAAGGGGGCAGGGTGAGGTGGTAAAGGGAATGGAAAACTTGACGGTGTAGGAAGGGACGATTTATTGCTGGCGATCCGAGACACGGTGTTGGGGAGTGTATTATTTGTTTGCTATAGTATCTAATTGTTTAGTGATTTTTCATCGACACGACACCCTGGAATGGCGGACAGTTTTTGACGAATGACAGCTCCTATTCATCTGCCTTTTTTAACCTCTCATCTGTAATTGTAGTGTTTTGTCGTGTATAATGGGCTATAATTTAACAGTGATTTCTGTGGTTGCGGTCCCAAGATGGGGCCCCCGTTGTACGACCCTTGCAAGTTAGGAAAAGGAACGAGTTGCCACAAAGAAACAAGCACCTCTAGGGTAGTTTGATTTTTGTCGATTTGTCCCATCAGAATCAGGAATTATTTCGGGAGCGGCGATAAGAGGATGACTGTGATAGAATATTAAAAGAGGGTGGATGATAGCGGATAGGGCTAGAGCAAATTTTTACTTGAACAGCCTGGTGGGTGGACAAAGGCAGTTGCTCTGCATCTTATAATGACACGATGATATAGAAATCCTTGAATGTTCACGGGCAATTCCCATGACTTTTACAGACTGCAGTCCATAGCAAAGGTCTATGATCATCTTTAGCGCGCAGCGATCCAACAACATCTACGGTCTGGTGGTCTAGTGGTATGATTCTCGCTTAGGGTACACCCTGAAGCTTGCTTGCGAGAGGTCCCGGGTTCAATCCCCGGCCAGACCCGTTGAAATGCTCTCTCGGCGTTCCTACTTTCTTTTTGGCAATTTCCATATTTGTCTGGATCAATTAGATCTTTTTTTTGACGAAAGCCTCCTTGGATTTGTTTGTTAAGTTGTCGTTACAATGCGAAGTATTTTTTTGCGCCTCGGTCAGCCAATAATAGGCTTCAGATCTATAACAGCAACGCTAAGAGACATAGATGATGTATATACACAGGGGTATCATGAAGTTCCAACACACATAACCGTCTATACAATGAATCATTAGGACTTGGATTTCGGCCAGAGCAGTTTCCTCTGCTTGATGCAAGTAATCATTGTTGCAAAAATGCTAACCCACGCAATGACGAGGGCAATCGTCATGGCGCATCCGCAAAGCTGCAGCCCCCTGCTCTCAAAGATATTCCCCATGATTTCGGTTGTGGTGACCTAAAACAGGAGGAAACAAATGAGCGAAACAAGGTTTGTTAAATAAGCCATGGGGCATGAACATGGGGTTGGTGCTTACGAGAGCCGTATTTGGAAATACGAACGACCACCATGTCATCTGGAATGGCATGCCCTTTCGCGTCCGTAGATACTTCCAGAGTGATCCAATAGAGACGAGGAAGAACCACATGGAAAGGCCCCAGAACCAAAGGGCCACAAGAATGGAAATAATCTTGATAATGTCGGCGCTGTTTTCCGTACCGAGGAAATCGGGCGGCAAAATCTCACGGGCTTCGCTCCCGAGTTGTGCTTTAAAGAAAGTTAGAATTGCCTTGACTTTCTTTCTCTTTGAAATCTGAATCTTAAACTGACCAATGGATCCAGCAGTGAAAGCATATGGTCCAATTGAAATGAACTGTGTCATATGATTAATTCATGACCTAGGAGCCTGTTCAAAAGCCCGGAAAACACTTACAACACCAGGCCGTTGAAAATCCCTGGGCAATTTCTGCGTCATCAGCCGGTATATGAAGGCGGCAGATATCATGAGAGAGATCAAGCATCCTGTGCCTTGGGTTGCGACAGCTGATAGAGCAATGGCTGGGGAATATAGCACGTCAAGACGGCCAGTGGCGGAAGCTGCCGAGATGAGGTTGCAGGCAAACGGCGCTGTGAGCATGAGCGGGTATGCAGGAAACACCCAGGTCGGAGTCATCATATGAATTGGGAATATTCTGTTGATGCATGTAAGACATGGCAACTCGAAACATAAGACCAACCCAGATCAAGAAGAGACAAACTTACAGTGTGGACCATAAGATGAGATACAACCCAGCACTAGCAACGGCGCTCAGCCCGGTGTATATCCAGAACAAGATCTGCAAAGTTTTAAGGAGCCAGACACCGCAATGCGGAACGCCAAACTGGCATATGTTGATGAGAATGACGGCGATACTAACGATAGATGGTAAGAACACTGATACACTTCTATAACTAGCCGACTACTCACGAAACAAACTGTCAAACGAAGTGTCAGTTATTGAGAGATTGGAACGATGACGGGAGCTTGAGCTGAGGCTTACAAAGGCGGGTATGAACAAGGATTCTACTTGATCTGTAAACGACTTGGTGAGACTTCCGGGGCGCAAGTAAAACCGCATGGACAGCAAGACGCAGTTGGTGAGGAAGAGCACAATGTTAAGGAGGCAGAAGAAGACTCCAAAGCCATTCACCCACCCGGCTTGATAAACCACTTGTATTCAGGTCAGTCAAAAATCGCGGGTCGGGGCAGCAGAATCCATACATCCATGAAGGGCGCTGGACACTCCTCCGGTCGCCATTGTCTAGTGGTAAGAGTGAGCTGGTTGCCTCACTACATATATATAGACCAGAATCTCCCTCAACGTACCATGGTGAAGAAGGTCCATTGATAACAAGCAATGCGGTCTTTAAGACCAACTTGGCGAGATGAGCCGCCTTTCTCTCCATCCAACACAGAATCGAGATTGGACGGCCCAATCGAAGATTGATACATATCGGGACTAACATCGCGACTTGGGGGATGCCGGGCAAGTTGCATTCGTTGCAACCGTTGCAAGCGCGGGTGAGCCCGCTCCAGAAACGTGACGCCACCGGCAGTTGGTGTGGCAGCCGATATCGAGATCCTGGCCGGCGTCGTGGCTCCAGAAGCCGTCGGCGTTGGTCCAAAGAAGAAGCCGGGCAGATTGTCCTCCGTGGGCGACTCATAGCCGTCCGGCACGGCGAAGCCTACAGAGGCACCACGCTGCGAGGCGGCCATTGCGGGGAGTCGAGGCTGTCGGCACGGCGGTTGCCGAGGCTGGACAGCAGATGGATGAGGAAGATATGGCTGGGCTCGGCGTGGGTGAGGGCAATCTGCACATAAATAAGGTGCAGCAGGAAGACGACGCTGTCCAGCACCAGCGACCCCAGATTGGCCAGAGGCATTTCGGGCCGGTCCTGACGTCGGATATGTAGCCCAAGGCCCAAGGAGTCTAAAGGCCCAAGGAGTCTAAAGAGCCTAGGGGGTCTAAACAGCGGCCGGGATCGCGGCAAGTTGAGCGGCGAACTCAGCGGATCGATTCCGATGGCTCAGCAAATGATTCCTAATCGGCCCTTGGTGGGGTAAAGAAAGTGCGACGGCGAGGAAAAAAAAACGAGCGTTTTCCCCTTCAGTTTAGTCGTCAGGTTTTGCAGCTTGGCTGCAGCGGTCGTGTGTCGGTAAAGATGCAGCAATTGGACGGATCAATGTTTGTCGGTCAGTCTTGGCTGGGGAATAGCATCTGCAGGGGTTTGGATCCAAAGCCAGCCCTAGCAAGAGAGTGTACGAGTACCGTACGAAGTATTCGATGCTGTGTTTTTCTTGTTCGTTTGTTTACTGCGCTTGACTGGCTCGGCGATGAAAACGACGGTTATTGAAGTTATCGCTGACGGCGACTATTAATCATTTTCTGGCGGCTGGAGATGACTTGAGGATTGTCTTGGGCGCGAGAGGCAGGCGGAAAATAATACTGTTACTGTGCCTCATTGTCTCAGTAGCCCAGCTTGGCTAGCAAACACCACGGCAACACCATCCGTGATTAATATCTATATACTTTTCATACAATTTTACTACCAAGAATCATGCAGCCAGCATCCCAGCGGGCATCCTCGAGGATGCTTCTTGAGTAGCAAAGTTGATGAGGCATGAATCGGAGCATCTGGTTGTCACGACGGAGTACTACCTCGGTAATACGTAATGGTATGAATACATGTAGGGCCCTATCAAATCACATATTGTAGCCGTGTGAATGTTTATATCTGCTGCTACTATTGATGGCTTAGAAGCTCTATATATGTTCTGCAAACTCGAGATGCTCGGTACATGTACCCTGGCACTCTCTGAATCAACGCTCTCGTACGAATACAGAGGCAGACACTGTACCGGTCTAGCTGCAAGGTGGACCAAGAACACCAGGTAGCCTATCATTCTGCTATTCGCATACGTAAAAGGGAATGTGACACAACATCCCGCACTGTACGCAGATATGACCTGTTCCTCGCCTTGACACATCCTGGTGGGAACCTCAGCCTGTGTCAGTTTTCTTTCCAATCGTCATATTGTTACAAATAACCTGGGCCAAAAAAGAAGCAGAGACCTTCTGACTGTAACTGAAAAAAATCCCTTGTAGACTGGAGCTTGACACTTCTCCACATTCCCCAGACACTATTCTGTCTCTTGCTTTACAAATGTCAACAGAAGCTCCACCAGGAGCAAAACGCCGATGCATTTTCTTGATGCCAAAGCTGCGCACGTGACCTCGAAAGTGACACATGTTAGCTGCCGTCACTACTACCGCAACCGTTGAATGTCGTATTGGACTTCATCTCATCCAATTCCCAAGTCCACGAGGCTGCGCCTTTTGGACGATAACTCTTCTCCGTGGTAATGCGCCTCTGTATGCATCTCCCATAGCAATACCCCGACCGCCACTATCGAAGCTCCTATATTTCAGGCGCATCTCCTCTCCAAACTTGTGCTTCTTCCCTATCGACGAGGCGCATTGCGCATCCGCTGTCCAGCTTCGGTCCCGTGAATATAGACAACCTCATTGCACCCAAACTTCCAGCATGAAGGCCTAAGATTACACGGGATATTAAAAGCGCGACAACATAGCCATGACGTTCACAAATGCCCCAGTAACCAGGCTCACTGTCTTGGGCTTGGTCTCGACCTCAATAGCCGCTAGCCTCTTCGATGCGAAACACTACTTTTACATCTTGATAGACACGCACATTTTTCGCTATCGACAATTCTGGCGGCTCTTAGCTTACCAATTATGCTATACCAATTCAACAGAGGTGCTCTTCGCAGCAATCTCGCTGTATAATCTCAGATCTATTGAGCGGATGTGGGGATCAAGGAAATATGCAGTAAGGCCTCTCTTCTAATCCATTTCGCTGTTGTTATTGCGATGCGATGCGATTTACTGACAAGGAGAAACCTACAGTCATTCCTTCTCATCTCATCTCTACTCACGGCCATATTCCCGCCACTCATCCTTGCCATATTCCGACCCATAGCTCCGAGTTTGTTCAACTACATGCCGGCCGGGCCAACACCGATCATCTTTGCAATTCTTGCGCAGTTTCACGCCATGGTCCCTCAAATGTACAAGTACCGCATAGCAACGTCTCAGGCGCCACCTACAAACGAGCAGTTTTCCGGCGTAACGCTATCAGACAAGTCTTACCAGTATGGTATTGCCTTTCACCTGGCTCTACTGCAGTGGCCGGGCTCCGTTCTTGGAGCTATGATTGGTTGGGTTGTAGGATATTCTTGGAGAGCAGGAATGCTACCCACATCCTTTACTACGTGGAGGCTACCAGGTTGGATGGTGGGCTCAAGCTCCTACAAGAGAAGCGCAGAGTTTGAAGGATTAAGGCGAAGATTAGAAGGGGAAGCCCCGGCAACGGCTGTGGCAACTGGTGCTCAAAGTCAAGCCGACGGCCAAGCCGATCGACGGCGCACGATGGGCCAGCAGATTATGGACCAGTTTCGAGAAGCGTTATAGTATATACGTATAGTTGGCACCGGTTTGACTGTAATTACAAGCCTCGAGATCACGACGATCACACGATACAAAACAATAAGCTAAATGTTTCAGATCCCGATTGAGGGTTATATGATTGCTTCATTTTCGAAAAAAGCATGTGCTGATGGTGTATGGAATTGTACATATGTGACTCTCGCAGCCGAGATAATCAGGGTCACAGGTAAGGCTTGGCCCCTCGACTCTATGCAGAGACTCGGGTACGAGTACTCATATATCTTTTTTAATAAAATGTCTTTACTGCTGTGGGCATACGAGTACGCAACGGAGCCCTAGGATCTTCTAATGAGGGTGGATAGGGCCATTTCGGGGATCTGACAAACGTGGGAAATTAATTGTACCCGCATCTACTCGGAGTGGCTACTGGGAGTACCCGGTCAGAGGTACGGAGTACATGGAAGTAGAGCCATCTGGCTGCGAGGGGGTGGCAACGCGCGCAAAGGTGCTCATACCAAGGCTGCAAGGGAAGATTTTTCTTTTTCTTATTTCTTTTTTCGTTTGCGCTGCTGCTACTGCTTCTGCTGCACGAAGCCTGCTAGGTGCATATGTGGAAATGAGGAGGATTGTTGGCTTGCAGAAGCTGAACGTGCTCAGCGCAAAATGCAAAAGGCAGCAGCACGCCGTCATCCAACGCAATCCGATAGCTCGGCAGCCGGAGCCACAGGCCTTGCTAGGATAGGCCTAGCGGCGGGATGGCAGAGGACGAGCTTTCAGGGGTAAAGACGCCTCAACGAGCCTAACAGCACTCGCTGCCAATGATGGCCCTGGGATGTCGTCTGATGGCCGCGAAAAGGGCACGGCGTTTTCCCTTGCATGAGGTACGCAGCTGAGGGGCGGGTTCCAGTGGCTGCAGCTCCCCCAGGGCACAGGCGCTGGCCCTTTAGTGGTGCCGGGGCCGCAAAATAAGACACAGAGCCTGTCGTGCAGCGCCTCCGCCTGCTGTGCCTGGCCTCCCTCGTCCACCGTAATCTGCGATTGGGCCCTGTAATTGTGGCCACCAGCTCCTTTCCCGTCCGTCTTTTCTATCCCCCTCCCTGCCTGCGGACCAACATTGAACTTCCAACTCCCAACTACTGACTGTTGACTCGGGCTAATCACGGCTGTCCCGTCGTCCTAGACGCTGCCGCTGCGCCATTGTGCCTTTTGCCTTTTCCTTTTTCTTCTTGTTCCTTTTTGGTCTCGGCTGCGATTTTGGGTCTGGCTTTGGACTTGGGCTTGTCCGTTCCTTGGAGTGCGACTTTGCGCCAGCGACTCTCTTCACATTCGCTCCTCACGACCTCGGCTTTGGCTTCGACTACACCTCACCGTCTGCTCTACGAATTTGATGCCGAGCCGCACGAACCTCTTGCAGCCAATTTGATCTCGAAATCCACCATCTAATGTACTAATACGAACCAACGCGTGACGAACTCGAACGCCCAACATGAACGGATATCAAACGGAGCGAAGCTCCTACGACGACGAGACGTCCAGCGTAACGACGCCAATTTCAAGCAACGGCGACCATGCTATAGTGGACGGATTTGAAAAGGATGGGGTCAATGGATATGAACAGACCGGCCACCAGCTCGAACCGGTAGGTTATGCGCCAGTCACACCCACCAAACTGGCTACAGTGTTGACGCGTTCTAGATGGATCCCAACGATGCGCCGAATGGATCGCTTGCCGACCTCAAGGACCCGATTCAAGTACACCTGCTCACCGAAACTGCGCTCTCCGACAGCAAAGAATATGAAATACTATCTCAAGAAGAGGTTGATAGGCTGAAGAAACAGTGTCAGTTGCTGAGCCAGCGGGTAGAGTCCACCAGGTCCAACCTAGCGATCCAATCGAAATATCGAGATGCGGCGGTGTCCATGGCCAAACTCTACGCGGCCGGCAAATCCGAAGAAGAGCTTCTAGACGATCCCAGAGCTAAGGAAGTGGAGCTAGAGAGGGAGACGACGGAGAAGAAATGCGAGGAATTGTCGCGCGAGCTTTTCAACCTTGAGAAGAACCTCATTGGGCCTCAGAGGCGCCTACTTCAGCATACGGCTGGTATCCTCCAGCTAACCCACAAGGCATCCAAAAGGGCGGCAGCACGAGCTTTGCAAAACAACAATGAGGTTCCTGGCAGCCCCGAGAGCTTGTACACCTATTCTCAAAGCCGAGATAGTCTAGCGCAAGTTGTGGACGAAGACTATTTTGAAGACCCAAGCCTTTACCAGCTCGATTCACTCCATGGGCTGCAGACTGGGCATCTAAAATCGGCAATCGATATCCCCTTGAAGTCACCGGTCCGAGAACAGGCTACTCATCTTCGGGGGGAGATCGACAAAGCTCGGGAGGAAAATGCCTTGTTGGTGAATCTTGTTGCCGATATGGAGCAAAAGCTGGAGAGTCTAAGCCTCTCCCTTCGAGAAACCATCGTCAAGTTCAACCCCGAAGTGAACGGCGACTACCTAGACCCTCCCAGAGAACTAGCCACGGGTGATTCAAAGCCTGGTGATATGCTCAGGAAACAGATTGACTACCTCGAGAGTGGCCTTGTCGCTGTGCAAGCAGAACAGGAGTCTTTTATCAGTAGCGGCGGCGGCAACAACCACAACAACGCTGGCAGCAGTAATTATCTCCTAGATGATGGTGCTGAGCAGATTGAGTCCGTTTTGGTTGGTCTTTGGAACAGGATGCAATCTGGTTTCGCCGCAAAGAAGCAGCAAAATGAGGAGCGCCGAAAACAACGGGCAGAAAAAGGATTGGTTGATGATGATGACACATCCGACGATGATGCGTTTGATGCAGATGAAACTTACAGCCTGATTGCCTTCTCATCCAAGGTTGAGTGGCTTTATTCTCGAGCCTCAACGTTGAAGGACCAGAAATCTGTGCTCAAGAGACAGATTAAACAGCAGCGTGAGCTCAACAACAAGACCGACGCCGAAAAAGATGAGGAGATTGAGAGAAGGCAGGATGAACTGGACCAGACTCGCTTCTTACTCGAACGAGCCGAGAAGGATGCCATGGACGCCCAGACTATGTTGGCCGATGCTCTACAGGATCTTGAAAAGGCTCAGGGATCATCATCTGGCATTAGTGAAGAAGAGCTACACAAGCATACTGTCAAGATAGAGTCCCTGGAAGCCGAGATTGCCACGCTACACAAAAAGATCGAATCCTTTGAATCCGAAATCGAGGACCGAGACGCAAAACTAGACGCCCTAGATTCTGAGGTTGAAGCAAGCAATGCAAGGGCAGACGCCTTGGAGACTGAGACCCAAGCACACAAAGCTCGGGTTGATTCTCTTGAGGCAGAAATCCAGGCTCGTAATGATCGTATCGAGGCTCTTGAGGCGGAAATTCATACGCGCAGCACACGGGCGGAATCGCTAGAGGCTGAAATTCTCGCACACGGCATCCGCGTTGAGTCGCTAGAGGCTGAAGTTCAAGCACGCAGCACTCACATTGATTCCCTTGAGGATAAGATTCAAGGTCACAATTCGAACATTGCATCTCTTGAGGCAGAGATCCAGTCACGAGACGCGCAAATCAGATCTCTGGGGGCTGATCTTCAAGCACACAGTGAAAGAGGTGGATCGTTTGAGGCCCAAATTGCTGCGCTGGAAGCCGAGAACAAGAAATTTGTCGAGTTAAGCTCGCAGCTCGATGGCGCCTCCAAGGAGAAGGCAGCAGCCGAAGAAATGGCCAGAGCTCTGCAACAAGAGGTGGAGAATATCAAGGCAAGCCACGCCAACAAGGACAAGGAAATTGCTCAAAAGGATGCGGATCTAGAGCAGTTGAATATGACACTGGTGGAAATCAAGACGGAGCTCACATTCGCTAGGGCGGAGCTGGACGGCGCGTATGGTTCTCGCGCCGAGCGTGCGGCGGATGCGGCAGCACTGAGCAACCAAGAAGAAGTCGTCAAGCTGACAGGCCAGGTTGAAAGACTCAAGAAGGAGTTGGCAGGAACCGTGCAAGATCTAGAGGCGATTACCAAGGAGACGATTGGAGCGGAGCGCGAGAAGATTGACCTTGAACAAAAGGTCGATGAGGCCCTCTCTGCCAAGAACAGCTTGGAGGCAGATCTCGAGAAGTCTCGACATCTGATCGCGAAGTTGCAGGAGGACCTTGATAGCGAACGGTTCAAGGTCGGTGTCTCACAGGGAGGTGTAACAAAGGTTGGCGCTGGTGCAGCTCTGCTCAGCGAACAGTTCAGGATATCAATGAGAGAGGAGCGGAAGAGGTTCCACGAGGATATCAAGGTACGTGCACTGACAGAAATCTAGTATACTCCGACGTTTGATACAGTACTAACGATGATGTTGCTTGTAGGAGGAACGCGCCAAGTACCGAAAGCTAGAAGAGGAGTACATTCGGCTGAAAAAGAGCAACGCAGCGAGCAATGCTCCTCCAAGTCCACGATAATCCTCCACCGGCCTTGGTCGAGTAACTTTTCCTCCCTTTTTTCACCCACACACTTCATGTCCCATCAAGCGTCGCTCGCCATGCCATTTTACCCATCATCACCTTTTAATCTTCTTGTATATGAATACCAACTCGAGTTGGCTTTTGCTTCGATTTGCTTCTTGGCTCTATATGGATGGTTTAGGCCGCTGTTTTTGAAAACTCGACTCTGAGTTGCGGCGGTTACGCTGCTCCCAAGGTTGATGTTGACCTGGAAAAGCCCGCGCGCGTCTGGTTCCTAGAGAGCCACAGCTGTTATCTTGGGTTTTTATCTGTTGTCTTAGGATAGATTTGTTCACGGCATACAGGGAGCCTGTGATTTTGGATAACGATTATATTTGAAAAAAGAAGGTGGTTGGATGATTAAACTAAACTAACTAGATCAATTGTGTATTTAAATAATTGAAAAAAAGCTTCTTCATTTCTTTTTGGACCGACGATGTAGAAGTCGTCTGAGATGATTCCACCAACATCTGTGGTCATTTACTGAAAAGGCCCTCCCTTAATTTCCGGCTCCTGTACACGACCTCAGATTAATCCCAACTGTGCAATATTCACCTTTTTATTCAAATCACCGACTCTCCAAATGCCTATCCTTGGAATATGATAATAAAAAGACCTCTCCCGTACACAATAACGCAAGTAAGTCTCCAAGAAGTACCTCCCCACTGTATTTCCTTACCAAACGTACAAGAAACCCTCCTTCTTTTTATCTGCATTAGGAAACGCCCTTGCACGCTATTGGTCGAAAAAAAAAAAACCACAAAGAGCGAGACAAGGCTGCCCACTGGTTTTAACCCGGGGAAACGTGAGAGCGAGGTGGTATTCGTACCAGGTAGTGTTTGGGGAAAGGTTTAAAAAAAGAAAGTTGCGTTTTCCCTGATAGGGAATTGACTTAAATAGGTAGGTTACATGCCCTTTACAGTCATTCAAATAAATACTAAAAGGAAGAAACATCTGGGGAATAGTGCTGGCTAACGATGGGGGAGAGAAAAGAAGCGTATTGTAGTAAGTTGTTCTAGTAGGTACCTACCAATGATTCACATTCACTTTATGCCAAAAGACTTTGAGAATTAGGTATTTGATAAGATTCAACGGTCTAGTGTACTGATCTAACACTTTTGCTATCTTGTCTCTGTATTACTCTTCCGCGTGTGCAACAAAAAGAAAAAAAAGCATTCTCCTCCTCCTTCCTTTTCCTTCCTCTCTCTCTCATATTCTATGAGGAGGATCCCCCGCTCTATGTAAACAGATTCTAGCTGCCGGTAAACAAGCACGCGTCCTCTCAACCAAACACCAAAGTAAATAAAAAAAGGTAAGAAAATCATGATCTTGAACATGAATTAAAAAAAAAAAAAAAAAAAAAACAGCCGAAACAAAAGATGAACATAAAACAGCCCCTTTGGTATCGAGCAAAACGTAAAATACTAGTGGACCAAAAGAACTCAATCCACCGTTGAGCCTCCTCCCCGGTTCCAGTAAACGCCATATTCATAAACAAAAGAGTAGAAAAACAATCCAAAGTTCCGAGATTTAAGAGGGCAAGCAAGTGCGAATTAAATAGGGATAAGATGATAATGTAGTGTGTCTGGAGAGTAAAGCATGCGCAAAAAAACTGCTTTGAGAGTCGCGAGTCTAGCGCAAAAGGGGGGGGGGGGGGGAATCTGTAGAAAATGCTCAAATGGGCTGTACATGTCGTGTATGCGTATCAGGAGGAGTGTGTGTTCTAGTGTATAAGCAAGGGCGTGACGCCTCTTTCAAAGCAAAGAGCAAGCTCAGATTTGCATCGACTCGTCGTCTACCGTCATTTGGTCGACATCGTCAGCATATGCCAACTGAGACCAAACGCGCCAGTGAAGGATGCCAAGGTGTGCCAGTCTGGTCGCAATGTCATCGAGACTAGCCTCGTCGTAGGGCTCCCGCAAATGGCCGTCGGCCTCGCGATCCGCTGAGCCAGGGCGGCGGCTAGGGACACGGACACCAGTTGCAACGGAAAATAGGGAAACTCCAGAGAGCCCCTTGAACTCGCGCACACGATGGCCGAGATCAGCCATCAGGCGGCCAAGGAAGTTCTCCTCGATGTCTCGGTAGAAGCAGGCATCGACATCACCGAGGGCGGCAGAGAGCCTAGCCTCCAGCTCCGGTAGGGCAGTGGATGGCAGGTTGACAAACCGGAAGATTTGCAACGCCATTGACGGAGCCATCATCTGCCATCGCGCAGAGGGCTGGCTTGAGGGCGGCGATGTCTGTAGCAGTGCGACCAGTGTGGAGAAAAGCTCGCGGGCCTTGGTCTGGGAGTCCTGTCTAGGCGCAACATAGGAGGGAACGACAAATGAGGATCGAGGAGATGAGGAAGCAGATCCGGCCACGCTGTGGACGACGCTTGACGGCCGAGAAACGGACGGCGGGGTGTTGAAGTCGAATCGATCCATAATGTCCTCGACGTGGGAAGCTCCGTCGGATGACGGCGCTGCGGGACTAGATCGGCGGCTCATCTTGTCAAAGTCCTCGTAGACACGCATGCACACCTCCAGGTTGATGGCATCCAGAACATCAGACCTCAGCTTCATCAGACGCTCCTCGTCAAAGAGGAAGGTGTTGGGCAGGCGTTCGTCCCAAGCCGACGGCAGCATCAGTCTCGACAGGGCCTCGAAGAAGACACCCATGTCGCCAAAGGATTGTGAAGGATGTGATCGGCTGTCGGTGTACGCCTGCTCCGCCTCCTTATACCACTGCCTTGACATGCTGATGTCTGTCTTGCCGGATTCCATTCTCTTAATGAAGAACTTCTGCTCGAAGTGGGTGGTGTCCTCGATCAAGACAGGTCGCAGGCAACGAATCTGATGATTGGCCACGTCCAACTTCATAGCCTCGAGAACACTAAGCAGGCTGCGCATGCCAGTTACAAGCTCGTCGAGATCCATGTTCCGGTTTCCATTGCTCAGCTGGTTATACATGGTGTCAACCCACTCATCGCGCATGGGTGCGCAGTGCGATTTCAGCACACGCGAGAGCCACAGGGCAAGCTTTTCCAGATCAGCAACACCCTTATGGAACTGCTGCATGAGAAGCTCGACGTTGAGGCCCTCGTCTAGGAACTGGCGGTCTCGCTGGGGAACCAGCGTCTGGATGATGTCCTTAACAGCCTTGAGCAGGATGGGCAGCGTCCACTCGTCGCTGTCGCCATGCTTGTAGATGAATGTAGGTCTGTCGATTATGAACTCTGACAGCTCCTGCTTTAGCGTCCTCCAGAACTGATTGGCCTTGTCCTGCTTTCTGCGGCCCTTTTCTCCATCCAGATTGGGACGGAAGTGAAGCTCTGGGTCGAAGTTGATGTCGTGGCGAAGCTTGGGGTTGTGGATGATTTTTGAAACGTCCAGCTCGCTCAGGGTAGACCTTGTGACGGGAGGTTCCAGAGGTAGTGTGTGCAGGGAGGATGGAAGGCTGGGCTCTGGGCTGGCAGCGGCTGAGGCCGCCGCAGAGATGGCAGAGTCAGACGAGGGATTGCGGGTTAAGGGCGCAGACTCAGGCGCCGAGGCACGGGGGTCGGCCTGACACTGTCGAGGCGAGACCTGTGATGATTGTGCCATCTCCTGCGCCGTCTCCTCCTGGCTCACTGGAGGGACTTCGGACTCCTTTATAGGCTCTGCGTCGGTCTTGGGCGGGCATGGGGCCGAGGTTGACAATTGCCTTCGGGATCGCTCTATCGATCCTCCTGTCTCCTGCTCCGGTAGCATCTTTGCGGGTGTGGAAATGTCGAAATCGAGAGTCTTCTATATTCTATGAGAGTGATGTGGTCTCCGTAGCCGCTAGTATCAGCGTAGTGTGAATGAAGCCGCTTCTAGTTCGGTAAAGGCGAGAAGAGCTGGTGATAGTGAGTGTGTGTGTGTCACCTCGACTGCAGAGAGCTGATGATTAGCATTTAACTTGTACAAGATCTTACGCAAAGCCTCTCCAACAAAACAAAAGTGTAGCCAATTCAATGAAAGAGACGGTTCTCAGCAGACACAATCGGCTGCTCCAATGTCACCACGCCCTGGCTCTTGCGTTTCCAACAAGCCCACAATGAAAGGACGTCTCTTTCAGGGGCGGGGCGCCGTCCAAGTGCCGGAGATGGTACAGGTCGAGCTGAATGCCGATTGGGCTGGAGGTGGCTTTGTTGAACGTGTGTATATACGTACTTTGGTGTATAAAGAAAGGTGGATATGCGGTTGAGGATATATCCGGAATTCGGTCTTTTTCCTTTCGTCTCTTTGATTCTAAGATTGGTCCGCCAGGTCTGAGTGTGAAGCCCTGTTCAATTCAAGACGAATTCGCTGGGAGGCAATTCTCGCTAACAAGACAAAGCCGGATTCGCAGAAAGGAGCTGTGGTGAATGACAAGCACAAGCACAAGCACAAGGATACGCCAAGTGAAGGTGGTGTAGATGCAGCAAGCAGTAAAGAAAGGTATGGTATGGTATGGAGGCGAGAGATGAGAGATGGAAGATGAGAGGAAGAGAGGAAGAGACGAGGGGGGGGGGGAGGGTAGAATAAGAGAAGGGAAAAAGAAGGAAGAGGAAAAGTATGGAGGACAATTAGTCAAGTCTTGTACTTGTAGGAGGCGTCTTGCAGCAGGACTAGTTGCTAGCAAAAAGAAAAAGGAGCGGAAAGACGGGACCCTGGGAAACGGAGATGGCACGAGGATAGCAGGGACATATATCCAGGATCCGGAGGTACGAGTACAGGTCAGGTCAGGTATGGGGGAGAGGCATGGCCGGTACCTGCACCGGTACCTGTACTCGGGCCTAACAACACAAGTACATGTACGAGGTCACCCAGCACTGGCGCATGCAGGCCCAAGAGACCTCCTGAAGGGCTAGCGCTTTAGTGGTCTCGCGGAGGGAGGACTGCAATCTTAGGTGTGCCTGAAGTACCGCATACCTGGCGGTGGGCGCCCAAGAGTTGGCGTTGCAGCGTGGC